CCCATAGTTATATCACGGTTGTTCACCAAAATTTATGCATACTGTTTTTACTTTCAGACAAAATTAGAAGATAATGAACTATTGAATGAAATTCAAGCTCTTCAACTTGAAGTTGGTTGGGGTAACCCATTAGCTTATTGGGAGACATCATATTCACAGTAATCAATCGTCATGAAAACAATTTGTAGTGAACATTTTCTATTTTATTAATAAAAACACTATATCTTTTACATAAGGTTTTAACTACTTGTCAAGCATGATAACTACTAGTCAGGTGGTGTTTTGGGAACTGATTGCTATAATGAACTACTTAACAATATTTATCAAGTTCATACTAGCTGACAGCTCTGCATCAGTGAACATCTGTCGCAGGATGTTAACTCTGTTTAAAAAAGAATTTTGAGTTTGGTAAAGCGAAAAATACTTCTTAAAAACTTGTCCACCTAGTATATAGTAACGGAATGACTGAATATCGTTGATAAATATGAATGATGTTTCAGGAGATGAGAGGATGTCGGCGTTCACGCGATATACGTCGCACATATACCCAAGTATCCTATAACAGCCAAAGTACTTATCCTACTCCAACCAAAGACAAATCAGAACACTAGGTTGATCAGAAACGTTGAGTGATGACTGTTTTACTAGCTAGGGATCGTGCACGAACAACTAGACGTTTCACGACAGCTTGCCAAATAACGTGGATGCTTGACCGTGCACCTTAAGCTTAACAAGCAGATTTAAACAGTGAAGGTCAGCACCCAGTTTTGGGTGAAGGATGCTGTAAATTGCTGATGTTAGATGGCTGGAGGCAATCGGCCAAAGGAAGCCTTGCCTGATCTAGGTTTCGTGGTAATTCGTACTCACCAGTCAGTAAGGCGTATCTGTTACCATGAAGAAACTCATGTCCCTTCTGATATTCGAAACCACGTCACCCAGTGCTGCAGTCAGAGACGTTATCACCGAGCTATGCAGGCTCACGATTGACCTCCTGAAGGACTACATTGAATACTAAGAATTCACAGTGCACTGTGATGGCGAGCCACCTAGCAAACGTGACTGAGAGAATTCAGTCTACACCACAGATATGACTAGACACATTACAGTAGTTACTGACTAGTGTCGAATCAAAAGTAGAATGCTGCAGATTAATAATTTTGTGGAATTATTTACAGTTAGAATGTAATTACTTTTGCTTCGCTTCACCGCATACACATAATATCCGCAAATTACAATACTAACAAATCCTATTGATGTGCAGTACAACAACAGATATTTTACCCATTGTCTTAAGGCATGCAAAAGCAGATCAGCATTCCTAGATGATTATTGTAGGTATAAATGAGATTAATCCATGGATCTAGTGCTTATAAATGCAACTTCTTACAGATCTTATGTTCACCCGGAATAAAAGCTCAATTAGAATAAATGGGGAAACTGAAAGGGCGATATAATGGGATTTTATAATACGCCACCAGCAAGGGTTGTAAAATGCCATGTGATCTGTTAAATGCCATTTACATATATTATTCAGCATAACTTTCTCCCAGTTACAATACAGAATTTTTCTGTAAAACCAGTAGTTAAACAATAATAATAATATTTAGTTATCAATAACAAATTTCGGCTGGATATCAATGAGGGGAGATTTTCAGAAAGGTCAGGCTCAAAACAATTGATAACTGAGAGGAAGTGTTATAGATGAAGAACCGAAAAATAGAATTAATTTATTGAGATTCTTCTGAATTTACCTGACTAAAATGGTCTGTCTGTTTTGACATACAGATCCCAAGCGCATACGACGCCTTCAGGTAAGGTCGGTAGCAGCTTGTAGTAAAAGCACGACATTCGTCTTGCCATACTCTGAAATCACCAGCTGGATCCACCTCATCTCAGTGGGCGGATTTCCTGGATTCCACTAAGAGTAACCCTTGAAATTAGTAACAGTGCATAACTGTTGAATGTCTCTACTCTCGTAAATGCAATTCGGGATTTAGAATGCCATCAACCACACACTGGTAGCATTCGAGATAATAAGATGTCCATTTTAATTTATTTAGATATGAGTACCTATATGTTGGGAACACGTATAAATACAACGATCCAAATCAGTATTACTTTCCTCGATGGAAGCATGTTGTTGAAAACTATGAAGGTATATAATGACAGAAACTAGTTAGAAATTTGACGACACTAGCAAACTTCAGACCTTCATTAACAGTTGTCTTCGCTCAATATTCAAGATCAGATGGCCGGCCAGAAAAGATCAGCAACAGGGATCTCTGGCAATGAGCGAACAAACCAGGAACCCATTGTGAAACAAATAACCAGGAAGAAATGGAGATGGATTGGCCATACACTGAGGAAACCATCGAGTGACATCACTAGACAAGCTATCGCTCGATTGGAACCCAAAAGAGAAGCGGCGAGTTTGTCGTCAGTGCAAGGGTGACTTGGAGGAGGTCGTGTGAAGAGGAGATGAAAGCATATGGGCAGACTTGGAGCGGGATGAAAACGTTGGCAGAAAACAGAAGGCAATGGAGATGTGCAGCTGAAGCCCTATGTTCCTCTAGGAATTAAAGGATATAATAATAATAATATGTTTATTGAGCAAATGAATGAAAATGGTATGCTCAGATGTCAATAGAAGTAAGAATATAAAGAGAAAATTGCGCAAATCAGTCGACTTCTAAATAAGGTTAGCTATTGAATCTTACACAGAGGCATAATTTTTTCCCACAGAACAGCGAATTAGTTTGGAAAACTTTACGTATTCAAGGGCGAATTTCGTTCAGAAATTGTTGTCTACATCTAAATGTTGGCAGGTTCGATTCAACCATCAACAATAGCTTGGATTACCTTGGACTTAATAAGATTTACAGCGTTTCATCCAGATCTGTCAAAATTTCACTTCTTTTGATGATAAACATTACCTATCTAGTGTGTTCTTCAATTTCGAACATATGCATTTTGATATCTCAACAACAAAGAAATACGATCGCTGTAATCATGGGAATCACAGGCGTCTTCAGAGGATAAGACCTTAACGGTTGAAAAATGCTACAAACAAGAAAGGAACTTCTGCTGAGATTCACCCTAAATGTCGAATTCTTGTTATATAATGAAATACATAGACAAAAGGCAGTGGTCCAACACTACGTACTGCGTTTGCAGACTTTATGTCAAAACCTGGAGACAGTGATGAACGATAAGTAGATGACACTTTTATTTAATTATATTGAGAATGGATACCTATTGAAAGCTTTATCACAAAAACTTCGAAGCCTACAGCGAAAACATTCACACTTTTTGTTCCCAAAGTCCCCTCTATCCAACCAAATCCGCAAATCAACGGGTACTCATTGGGAAAAATAGTAACAAACAGTTTGTCTCGTTTATTGAAGAAAATCTTTGCAGTTGAATTTCCACTTACTTTCCATATTTGATAACTTTATTTGAAATAGCACACACTGATGCAGTATTGATTAATGGGTGAGATTTAGAGCACAAATTATTGCTCATAATCATATAAATTTAGCCACAAGGCTTCATAATTTGTCTTGCATATATATACATATATCTTCCTCTTTCTGCCCTCCCCCTTTTTGGCACTTTCCTATCATTCCCGGTTTAGGCATTGCGTCATTTTGACTGCACATGTGCAGTGTTGAATTGATAAACAGACACTTCGTGATTAGCCTCTCTTTTCACCTAACTATATTACTTTTTAATACGTTCACCTACTCCAACCGATCGGGTGATTATAAGCAAGTGAGTGCAATGTAATGACCAAGCTTTTCTCTAAGCTACTTAACTTAGTAGGGACAATTATTCTAGGTTTAGCTAAATTTTTATGTTCCAATAATCTAGTTTACCCTGATCTATTCGTTTGATCTCACAGTTATTACATGGTATTTGGAAAATTTTATTATTTTTCCTAATTGGACTTACTCTCTCTACAAAACTAATGATTTGAATGAATATGAAGGATTAACTACCCCCACTGATGGCATGTATTAATTCACCTGCTCCAATGGAGCTAAGCATGCTGGACTGAAATTTACCCTCATGATTTTACAGATGAGAAAAAATATTCCCCCACTGTTCCATTCTGGAAAACCTGATAAAGTTCGAACACTTACTGAACTCGCGAACCGATTTCAGAGTCACCCATGTAGTATGCAGAAATCTTGCCAGATTTATATAGGAAATATAAACTTCTTGAAGTAGCCTAGTTCCCACTTAAGCGTAGAATTACACAACACAACTGAAACATACATTCTCGAAGTATGAAAACCTACTAAATGCCAAAACAAACAAATTTATTGAGGGATCAAGTGAACTACGGGTCTGAAATAAGATACCACTTCCAACTTAGCTTAACCACTCGCTCCCCATGCTATAACACTTTTTAAAAATTCCTTTACGTTCCCAGTGGAACATAGAGCTTCAAGTTGAAGGCTTGAAGTTTCTGTAGCGGTGCTGTTTATTTTTACAGGATGAAGTTGCTAGCCTCATGCCCAACCTTCCTTCTTTACCAGTCTTATTACTTGCTTAGCGAGGTAAGGGAGCGCTTCGGCCGGGATCGAACCCCGGACCAAATGGGCCGCAGTCGGCGAGCATTTTACCGTTGTGCCATGCTATATCACACCAACAATAAAAAATGAATTTCACTTAATGTAAGGATATATATATTTTGAAATTAAACTTCTTCCAAAATATGCATACAATGAAAATTAAAGACAATCGTATGAAAGACAAGAATGGAAGCAATAATAAAAATAGAAATTAAACAAACTCCAAATGAGACAGAAATATCATTAGTATTATCTTCTTTTTTTATTAATTACAAAACATAATGATCACAGAAGTAGAAAATAACAAGATATTATTACAAGTAGTAAATAATAATAATAATAATGATAATATTAATAAATAATAAAAATCATGATCAGTTCATCTCATATGAATTATATGTGGTCATATAACAGTGAACAGTCTCATTGTTTCTTGCCTACTGCTTTCCGTCGTGTACGTACACGCCAACCTTCTGTATGCTCAGCTAAACTATCATACCATTGATCAGGTAGTAGAGGAAAATAACTGTGCAGTTGATAAAGGAAACGTTCACGATACAAATCAGGTGTAAGTATAGTTGGCATTGGTCCTTGTGCACTTGTTATCGTTTGTTTAATAATCATTTCAAGGCGTTTGTCAAGGGTGAATTTACGCAAATAGTCAATTAAACCGACTACAAGTTGATTAGATGTTGTATCCACACCGACCAATAATGAATAATCCATAATAAATAAATTGGCTAAAAATGTTGTATCTGTATTTAGACAATGTGCTAAAGCATTCTGCAAAAAGGATAAAAGAAACAAGCGAGCAAAGATGTATATTCAATGTTAATTAATTCTATTAGATGAACAGAAATTATAGGTTGGAGGATTTCATCATGAGCTGACATCAGTTAGAGGACAATTAGAAAACTCACCTGGGAGTACTGGACAACTGTTTCACCAGCCTAGTTAGGGACTCTTCACAGGGTTCGAACCCAGGACCTTCCACTTACAATGCGAGCTCGTATAACATTAAGCCACTGGGACCCAATTTAACAGCCAGTCCGACTTCTGCCAATTCACGACATATCCCGACCAATTCGTAATGTCTTCTTCGATGAGTTACCAGTTCATTTTCAACTTGCTGTGCCCTGCTGGTCACAGCTTCCCACTACAACCCCACATAACTGCCTGAATAGGGTCAGTCCCCAGTGAGCATCAGATAAACTTTTCCAAGTATTAGTTGTGTAGGGATTTTGTTTGATTCGTTGGAGGATTTCATCATCAGCTGGAGAACCAATGGGAAACCTGGGAGTACTGGATAGCTGCAACCATAAGGTCTTGGGTTCGAACCCCGTTAGTGGGTACGTGCTGTGAAGAGACCCAACTAGACGGACGAAACAGCTGCCCATTACTCCCTGCAGGTTTTCCAATGGTTTTCTAACTGATATCAGCCCATGATGAAGTCCTCCAATCGATCAAACAAAATCCATACAAAACTAATACTTGAAAGAACAAAACTTATGACTGTGCGGCTGTGTTCAAAGTACAACTTTCCACAGAAGTGTAACACTTCAACTTGGGCAGGGATAGGGAAAAGAATTTCAAGGGAGCTGTAATAAGCAGAAATGTGAGGAAGAAAGAAGATTAGTACTTAATGGATCTGGGGAAATACAAAGAATGAATGCATCTGCACTACTGAGAAGTTTTTCAACCATATCACCAACAGTTTCAAACCAATGGCTCTTAGAATCCAGTTTACACCCCACCCCGTGTGTAACTCACACTAAGTTATATATTATAAGTATCCAAACGGTAGATGTTATGAATTTCCTGGAATAATTTGAGCGCCAAATCAAATTCAATCATCATAAATTATTTTTAAAACTCCCAGCGTGTTTAAGAAAAAAATCAAAATAAGATTTATCTAGACACTTCGCTGTGCAAACTACAGCTTCGTCAGAAGAATTACTTGGATTTTATTAACTATCAAAATATGTAGTCAGAAACACATTACATCAACTGAAGTGGATTCCTTTGAAGGTCCCCTGTCGGTAGACATTTGTACCCATAAAAAACGTAAACAGCCATCATCACATGTGGTCATGTGTACATATTTGACTATATATTTTGATGCTTAGTAAAATTCGAGTGATTCTGCTCAAGAAGCTGTGGCTTATGCAGCGAAACATCCAAAAAAAAATCTTGTTCGATTTTCTTTGAAACACGCTGGGATTATTTTAGGTGTCTTATAACAGTTAAACACTTCATGCGTTGACACAAGGATTTCATTTAACTAGCACTAATCTTTTCCCGACTTAATCCTGTGTCAGCTAACATCGCTCGTCGAGGAGGGTGATGGCTCCACATGCGCAACACATCTCCTAGCCATGTCAGTCGATGGAGGTGCACAACCTAGTCGATTGATAAATCGATCTAGCCTAACACTTTATTTCTTTTTACGAGTTGACCACAGAATGATATCAGTTACAGAACCATTGAAAACCAGGGACTACTGGACAGCTGTTTCATTCTAGGTTGGGAATCATAGGAATTACGCACCCACTGGGGTTCGAACCCGGGACCTTCCAGTTACAAGGCAAGCCCGTAAACCATTCAGCCACTAGAACCCAATTCAATGGCTCATGAATTCTAACTTCTACCGATTCGTGATTTAGCGCGACAGCAACCACTGTCGTAGGTGGGACATCCATCCTCACACGTGACATCCGGATGAACCTCACTGGTCACGACTTCTCGCTGGAACTCCTGGAAACTCCACCCTGAAGCAAGTCACTAGGAAGCATAGGATTAATTTTCTATACTTTGGTTTGTAAGGGTTAATTTTGTTTTTTACGAATTGATCACGGATTGATGATTCCCAAACTAGGGTGAAACAGCTGTCCAGTAGTCCCTGGTTTACAATGTTTCTCTAACTGATATCAATCCATGATCAACTCGTAAAATACAAAATTAACCCTTACAAACCAAACTATAGAAAACTAATACTTTATACCTAACCTCAGTATTACTCATTATATTCTACAGATGTACACACAGCATCCTAATACAGCATATTTACATATGGAACGTATATACAATACGAAATTCAACTCGACGTTAAAGTTGAAAATGTTATCTGAAAAGATAATGAAAGCTCCGTAACCAAACCAATCAACAAAAAAGAGTACGTGACACCAAGAATAAAGAGGAACAGAGGATTTAGAATAAATCAAAAGTGACAAACAACGTATATACTACTGATCTTTGTGAATAATTTGAAAACACTTGAAACATTCAACTCTGCAGAATCTGTTTATGAGACTGTTCTATTCTTAATATAGAAAGTGTTTGTTAACCATGCAGAGATAATTTCAACAACGAGAAAGTCGTCTTTAATGCAGGAATAATCATTTATCCCACATTAATGCACTTTAAAATAAGAAGTATTTGGTCTTTAGCTATAAAGCTTTATATACGAAGAATCCAACCAAACGGCCAAAGTGATAAAAATGATAAGTTGAGAAAGCTTATACTAGTGTCCATCATGAAATACATTTAGACGTCTATACCGTAATATAAGTGAAGCGATCTGTTATCGCTTCCTACAAACTAAAAATTTTAATGCAATAAAATTTTTAAGCTGAAACTTCTCAGCTCATAGTTGAACGTCATAAATAGTATTAGGAAAGAAAGCAGAATTTCTCGTTAACAAGAGGAGCAAAGCAGCCCTGCGGTGTTCAAATCCCTTCAATCTGACTAACAAGTACTACTCGTTGATGTGATTGGTTTCCAGCTACTCAAACCCATCAACAATGATGCGTACATTCATGATTGTCACTTACAGTATTAAGTAAACATCCTGGTGGCCTGCTTAAAACTTGGGCCACCAAAAATCTCCATCATTATATTGCATATAATTTCCCTTGCTAAATTATTATATTATTATTATTCCCTTGAGTTCCGAGTGGGACATACGGCTTCAATAGCACATCTCCACCTTGTTCTGTTTTCTGCTGTCCTCTTCAGCTAGGTCCACGATTGAACAAACTCTCTCATCTCTCCCTCACATGATCTCCATGTTACCCTAGCATTCACGACCCACTCGTCGCTTCCAATTTGGATCCCACTAGGGCACTGACCTGGCGTGCGCTGTCACCCGGGGGCCTCTTCAATCCAACCCATCCAACTCCATTTTCTCCTATTTATTTGTTGAGCGGTCGGCTCTCGCTGCTGGTTTGTTCCACTGCAGAGTTTCTTGCTGCTTATTCTTTCTGCCCATTTGATCTTTAGTATGGAGCCAGCCAGCGAAGGTGGCAGGTGTTGATGAAAGTCTGCAACAGGCTGTTGGAAATCCTTATCATGACAAGCTGGCCGAATTTCTGACTCGTAAAGAAGAACCAACTTCACATTGGTGTTGGAAATGAGAATCTTTTCATTTATGCTGGCTGAGTCAGTGCAGAATAATTCCAAACTGGTTTTTCAGGTTGGTGAAGGCGTATCTTGCCTTTCCGATTCCGGCTGGCTTTGAAATCTTCATCTGTTTGGACTACGTATAGTTGAAACGTTGCTTCTCAGATAAGCGAAGGGGGCAACCACTGCTACATCTCTCCCGTTGATGGTGATTGGTGCTGGTTGTTGTTGCTGTTGGCGGTTGGCTGGTTATCTTCATCACCTCCGTCTTCTCTGTGTTTACCTGCAATTCTGTCTTCGCTGCCTGCCTCTTCAGCCAGTTTGTTGATTTTCGCTTGCAAGTCTTTGAGTTTGTATGACATTAGACATACAGCATCTCCGAAATCCAGATCTTCCAGAGTCGTGAGCGGCAGTTTATCCCAATACATGAGATAGCTGTTCCTGAATTATGTGCTTGGTTCTCAGAATGTACTCCTGAGTTTTTTCGACTAAATCTTATGCATTCATTAGAGGCAAAAAAGAGATATCATAATTGGTTTGTTTGCACTTCAGGTCAGAGAGCGTTATGTCACGCAATGTACTACCAATTAATATTTTATTTGAAGATCTTGAACGAAGGGAAGTTATCATGCAATAAACTACGCTGAAAATTCTGTAAGCTATATAAGCAATGTCCAGGATAAAGCTTTACTATTATTACTACTATGTGGCGATTTCAATCTACTGATGTCCATCTTCATAGGGGGAAAATATACAAAACATTTTACATGAATACTACGATATTTTTAATGTGTTACATTTTTATTAATTTAAATATAAACTGTAACACAACTAACCTTTGAATGTACCCTCAAGTACAATGGATTGTCTATAGAAGCATTCAATAGATTCTGATCCAAGAGAACCGGTATATGTTTTTTATCAATTTCTGATGGTAGACCATTATCTTTTGTTGAAAAAGCAAGTCCAGAAGAGGAGATCGCAGAATTTGATACGGTTTCATCCATTTCCTGAGCTGGATCTGTATTACAAGTAGCAGTGTTTGTACTAAGCGTAATATTATTTGATGATTCATCTGCTAATCGTTTACGAAGAGAACCTTTTAAGTCGTAGATGTAGGCTAAATGCGTACGACCATGAAACAGATTTTCCATTACAAGAACATCAAATCGATGTGCTTCACCTGAAGCAGAATTTTTGAATCCAACATGAAATATTCCCAGTATTCGTGATAATACGCATAGACGCTGTTGAATAAAGCAAAATCAGGCGTAAATAGCAGTTTCTAAGAAAAGCATATCAAAATTATCCCTTCAGGTAATTACAATAATGACAAAGTAATCGTAAACTTATTGGGGTCCAGTCATATTATTTATCTAAACACAAACATGATATAATATTTGCACCAACAGATGCACCACAAAAAAATAAAGCAAAATAGAGAAAATAGAATAGATAAGTGACAGTATCCAGAAAGCAAGTAAGCATCATGATCAAGAGTACTTAAAGGGTAATTAATCATTTCATGTAACCTTCCGAAAAGGAAGAAAAGAAAAGATACTACAGTAGCACTGATTACGATTCCCGCCATTATCTACAAACACATCTCGTGCCACTATCTCAGAAGGACATTAATAAACGTGAAAAGTTGTAGGAACTAAAAAGTAAATGATAAGTGAAACAATCTCGGATAAAAATGGCACCATAATCAGCTCCCAGGATAGACGACTGGAACGCTGAAAAGAACACTACGAGGAGCAGTTTAATTGGCCCACAGCCACGCTCAACCTGCCGAACATCCAACACCACCCTGAGTGGGACATAGACACAGGTCCTCCATCCCTAACTGAAGTTACTAAAGCTGTCACCAATCTGAAACAAGGTGAACCAGCGGGACCTGATGGGATGACTCCGGAAGTATTTAAGTACAGTTGAGACAGTTTACTGTCTGCATTAACTGAGGTACTAGGAACCGTCTGGGAATCAGAGGAAGTCCCATCGGGTTGGTGTACGTCACAGATTATTCCCATATACAAGAAGGGAGACAAATCTCCCTGTGATAATGACAGAGGGATTAACTTGACTAATATAGTATCTAAAGTTCTAGGCTCAATAATCATGCGTAAACTAAGTGGTGCTCGGGAGGCACAAACACGAGAGAGCCAGACAGGCTTTAGACCAGGAAGAGGGTGTATCGATCATATCTTCACCCTCCGACAGATTCTAGAACATAGGCATACTTACCGTCAGCGTCCAATAATCGTCATATTTCTTGACTTGAAGGCAGCATTCGATTCTGTCGACGGAGAGGTATTCTGGCGATGCTTGGCTGTAAAAGGAATGCCGAGAAAATACATTGTACTGATCAAGACACTCACTCTACTCGAACTCAGGTAGCAAGGTGAGTTACCATTTCAAGTGGTGACGACTAGTGGTGTCCGTCAAGGATGCCCACTATTCCCTTTTTTATTCAACTTCATCATAGATGTACTAATGGACTTAACCCTAACTCATTTCAGAGAAACAGGGATTGACTTGCTACCAGGGAATAATGTCGTCGACTTAGAATATGCAGACGATATAGTCCTTCTAGGCGAGGACGCTGACAAAATGCAGAGTCTTCTGAACACCTTAAGCTGAAATCTACGAATGTTCGGCATGCGATTCGCTCCCTCTGTCAAATGCAAGATGATGCTACAGGACTGCACTACACTGCCTCTTAGTTTAGAAATAGGGAATGAAGTGGTAGAGCACGTTGACCGCTTCACTTATTCGGGAAGTACCAACAGTCCCAAGGGGTTGATCTCTGACGAAATCTTCGCATGGATACAAAGAGCTAGTTTCCCATATGCCAGTTTACGCCGTCTCTGGCCTAGTAGACGTAATATCCGACTATCGACAAAAGGACGCGTGCACTGCTCATCAGTCCGCTCCGTCCTCCTTTATGGCAGGCTGTGTGACCTGGCCATTGAGAGTGGAAGACATGGAAAGCCCGACTAGCTGTCTTTGATCAAAGGTGCTGTGTTCTATTTCCCGTGTGAAGTGGCATAATAAGGTGAGGAATATTGAGGTTGGGCGTTGAGTAATAGGTAAGGAGAAGAAATCAATCGACGAGGCTGTGAAAATACATCGACTGAGATGGTTAGGACATGTGTTATGTATGCCTAGCCATCGCTTTCCTCGACGACAGACAATGTTAGCTAACATAGGGTCAGACTGGAAGAGACCAAGTGGTGGTCAAACCAAAACATGGCTTTATCAGTCAATGAAATCCACAACAGTTAGTTTAAGCCAGCCAGTCGCGTAGGAAGATGTAGACTTCCTGAAAGGTTGGAGTCCTCAGAACGGTCAAAAACAGTGGTTAGAAACAATCGGTGACATGGCTCAAAATCGTTCTCAGTGATGGTGCAGATTTATCCACTCCCTGTGACTTATGATTTCCAATGAAACTATATTGTTCTTCGTTATTACTATTCCTTTGTCTCACACCTCTGTTTACTGTCTCTATTATGCATTTCTTCTACTTTCTTCTCTTGCTTTGTGCACTACAAGGAGGGAGTGTGGCGACTTGAACTTCCGCACAACGGTGCAAAGTTCTATTTCGAAAACAAACAGACAGACAGAGGAACTAAATTTACTCTTGGTGATGATCGTTACGCATTGATTGTTACTCTTTAAAGGGAGTTTATACATTTAACCAACAACAAACACACATGATAATAGAGAAGATTTGCAATTAATTGTGTTCTCTGATCTGGTTTGTTTAGTTGCGGAGCTTTTGTCGTCATTTTGGACAACATATTCAGCGCAATTTTTAGCATAAAGTGAACTGCTTTATATTTTCCACGAGTGAAGATAAAATTATTACCATTTACAAAATAAATTGTATGAACTGTAACAGACATTAACATCGGTCAACAAAGTGGGTGTCCCCTTTGAATCAGAACCTAGGAACACAAATCAGCCGTGAAAAGATATGATATATATTTTTTCATATCAATGCATATACATAATTGTGGACATCAGTTTGATTGAGATAATGTCGATATTTCACTCAGAGGAAACACCAAAAGTGCCAGGGAATTCTTAGAAGCCTGATACTCAAACGAATATTCAATTAACAAACACGTTAATATAGACGAAATATGTCAACTGATAAAAAGTAAATCAGGTGACCAGAAAGTTTAAAATCTAAGTCAACAGAAAATGATCAATACATATGTGAAGATGGTTACCGGAAGACGCGATTCTATCACTCATGGAAAAAATTAAAATCAGTTCACTTTATGCTAAAAATCGAGCTGAAGATGTCCATAAGGACGATGAAAGCTCCGCAACTAAACCAACCAGCTCAGAGAACACTACTAATTGCAAATACGCATGATTCCATATGCATAGAAATCACTATATATTCAGTAACAGATTAGACGAGAAATATCAAAGACAAAGAAATCAGGATATATAACTTCAACTGTACACTATCTGGGTTTCTTTCATAAACTCTGTGGTAAGAAAACAAACAACTGGATTCAGATTACTATCATAGACATTAGACAATCCAGGCTAACTGACTGAGTCCCATCATAGAACTTTGCACAGAATTGGAGCAGTTCAAGTTACCCCACACTCCATGTAGCACACAAAAGTGGAGAGAAAAAAGAGACAACAGTTAGTAGAAATGCGAGGGAGAAACAAATATTAGCATGGAAAAACATGAGGGTTCAGTGGATATATGAGAGATCATGAAGAATGAATGCATCTGTCTGCCCTAATGACAACGAAGACCATAACTAAGTAGTCAAACCAACTGTCAAATGCTTCATGGACTGCTGACCCCTAGCTAGAGATACAAAACAGTAAGTTGGCGATTAGTCAAATTACCATCACATAACTTCGGTAATGGCAACATGAGTACATATTTTTCATTCAGAAAATACTTTTAGACAATTTGATTTTACCCAATAGTCACTGATTTAAATAAAAGGATGAAATGATGAACACGTACCAGATTGGTAATCAAGTTCATCAGGAGATATAAAGTAGTTAGAACACCAAGACCCACTCTCCAACTCGCCCCTAAGAAAGACGTGTACATCCAGCTTCCCTATATGGGGCATCATAGCTAGACAAAGACTGAACGCTGCTGTTGAAAAGACTTTTTATGCAGCTAATATCATAATAATAGAGAATGTAAAGCCAATATATCTATCTAAACCCTTTGAACATGCGAAAAATGATGTCACATTCTATTGTATTTACCAATTTGAATGTACGTATGGAAATACACACATGTAGGGAGGACTCATCGATCTCTGAAAGTAAAAGCTGGCTTCAGAGCATATTCCTAAATGGCTCCAGAAACAAATGGAATCTTTAGAACCTATTAACGATGAGAACAGGAGACCTAGCTCTTCTATTGCGAAACATATTATAGAAACAGGACATAAAATTGACATTAACAGATCTTCTAAACCTATCTATAAAACGTGTTTGTGGCGATTCCTAAAGTTTTTGGAAGCCCTAGCAATTAGAAAGTTCAAGCCACCTTTATGCGTTCAAAAACAATTTGTCATCACATTAAACCTTCCTTGGTAAATTTTGTTTTGATACCATAGTAGATGTACTATTGCCTCTCTCATTTGGTTTAGTCATCACAATTGTTATTTTGACCTTCAATATGTCCTTTCAACTTGTCTATTTTCTCACCTCTTACCTCTTTACTAATTTCTTCTATGCTCCTCTGACAGTTCTGTGTCTGATCAGATTGTTCGAAATGTGTTGCGTAAATACATTACACGATTCAGACAAATTACGTCTTCATATTGGTTTATTTAAATTTACAAAGGGAACTAATTGTTTTAAAAATGTATTAGCAAAATATAAAAAAATGCAAAGGATTTCTTACCTGATCAAGTGCTGCCGTAATTAGATAATCAAAATATTCCTGTGAAATCTCATGAAATGTCTTCATCTCAATTGATGAGAGTTCTTTGATTACAAATCGTTCATCTACCAATACACCAATATTTATAAAGAATAATTGTTAATAGCATTCTTAATTAGATACTACAACTGCTATTCACCTCAAAAAAAGTTTATTTCACGGACGATCTAACTGTTTCAATGCCTGTTAACTTCAAGATGGATTGTACTAAGATGAACAGCTTTCTATCAGGAGTCAGCAGATAGTCTTCGTCTAATGGTCTTAAACCAAGTCATTCCAAATTTCAGACTGTTAATTTCAGTTTCCGATGTAAACGAAAGTTAAATGAAGCTGTTGGTTCCTATGACCCTTTCAAAATTGATGATACTGATATAGAAACCAAGCATGAAGTTAAGTATCTCGGATTAATTCTTTCTTCTGACCTATCCTGGTCTTCCCATGTCTTAGCGATTTCTAAAACAATATTTCCTCTGACTTTTTACATTAAGAAGTTAAGGCACTTAGGCAAAACCCAATCACTCCTCTTACAGTTTGTCAACTCGTGCATCTTACCTATTCTTCTTTACTGTTCACCTTTATTCTTTCCTTGGTGACCTAAAAAGGACTATGTCATACTTTGTAGGACTGTGAAGACTGTTAGTAGGGCGAATGGTGGCATCCCATTGGACCATGTCGTTGATAACGTCATTGATAGACACTTGATTTCATGCAACGAATTTGTTAAAGGGATTTTGTCAGTCTGTGAGAATTCACTTTACCCGCAACTTGCACCTTGCGTCTTGTCAGGTAAAACAGCAGGTCATCTCAAAAGACTTTATGCGTGCACATCTAAGTATAAAATTTCCACGATATGTGCCATTTGGCACGTATTGTATTTGTATTTATAATCCCCTCACTTCTTTTTGTTGATTTTCTCATAAGTGTAAACATCATTTAAGCTCTGTAATAATTGTTGTTTATTGTTTTCCCCTCACTATGCCATATCAGGAGAACATTAGATTCAATGCTGCTCTCTAACATGCTAAAATTTCCAATCTGTATCGACAATATTGTTTGAAACAAACCCACTGTTCTCATTATAGGGATTATTATCATTTTGTATTTAGCACATTTTTGAATTTACTCCTACCGTAAATGTAGACGAATTCAGTGGGCTAATTTTATTTATATTTTGTGTAAATTAGACTCAATATCGTGACAAAACGCTGAGAATTCCATTGTGTATTATATAAGTACTGCTTTTGGAATAAAGCAGATTAGTATTAATTATTATTATTATCATTAAAAATAAAGATAACAATTCATTCATAAGTCAAACTATAGGAATAACATTTGACTTAAAAACCATGTGCATATTTTTGCACTGGCTTATCGACCTTAGTTAATATGTGAAAAGCAGTGATCCTGAGCTGCTCGCCAGATATCAGTGGGGAACAGAGTGGCTCAAGCCCATAACCAACTAACGGAATTTGAATGGCCTAAACCAGTAATTTACAACTCTCTTTCGTTCCACTATGAAACAACTCTACAGAGACCCCCCCCCCCTAAAGATCATATGCCGTATCGAGCTGAGGGATTTAAGGTCTTCTGGTGGTCACATTCCTATACAGTCACTAGGTCAAATCAGAATATGCATCTTATTCAGGGGAATTCAATGTTCTAGAAACACTAACAGCAATGCAAGACAATAAGATACAAATCAGTTAACCACATGAAATACATTAACGTACCCCGAGTTTTCATAAACAAAGAACCAGATTTACCACCACGTGCATCCCAATGATAGCATCTTGATAAGGATTGTATGAAACTTTAAATAAAATAATAAAAGTCATGTCAACTAAGTAGACCCATAAGGAAATGTTGATATTTTTTTAGAATATAAGTGGTGATAGATAATTTCAAAAAAACACTTGTCAGTAGATTCTACATGACTGTATGGTTTTTTGTAGGTCAGACTTCCTGAAGTCATTTACTTCTGTAGAACGATATATCAATGGAGTGACGACTGGAATTAAAAACAAATTGTTAGTTATGTCTGGAGTCAAAACAGGAACTTTAATGTTACGCGTCAACTGATCTGCTGATACGCCCCCCCCCCACTTGACTTAGATACTAATCACTTCTTAATGATATTTCTATCAACTGTCATATGAATAAGACAGATATATAACTGTTTACTCACTACCAAGCACACTTCCCGCAATACCGTGCAGACAGGTTCATGTTAATCTTTAAAACACTATTCTCATAATCTCTTTATTGGCTTCTACTCTTGATAAGTTCATATAACTTTCCGCGAGATGATGCAAAATGAAACAGTATTTGACCGACTATTCTATCTATCTGTCAAGCTCTCGGAATATATAACTGATGAGTCAGTCCAGAGTGCGTAATACACAGGAAAAATGTCGCTTTTCTGTGTGGATAGTATCTACATACGAATGTTATTCAAGCACGTAATTCCCTAGAACTCTTTAACTGGAAGCAGATAAATAAAAGACCACCAGCAGACAGGGTGTTTAGGAATCCAACGCACAAATTTAACAAGTTGACTTGAAGGGGTTCGATTAACTTCAAGTTTGATTACGAGCTAACGTCAAATAGAAAGCCACTCAAAACTAGAGAGTACTGGACAGCTACTTCATCTTAGTCTGGAAACTCTTCGGCAGCAGACACCTATGACCCTACCAAAGGTCGAACCCAGGACCTTTGGCTGACCAGTTAGCCACCAACAGTCACCTAGTAAGCTGAAGGTTCTGAGTTCCGTTCCCGCTTAGGGACATGAGTGCGAACTGATGAAGAGTCCCAGGTAAGGACGAAACCGCCACCCAGTACCCCTGCCTTTCAATGGTCCTCTAGTTGAAGTCAGTCTATGATCAAACTAGACGTGGGTAATTTGAAATAAATATTTCAATCTAAGCATTCATGAATGAATAATCAGAACTTAAAATAATCAACGAAACATCTCGTCAATTTAACACTAAGGCGGATCAACTGAATTGTGACAATCATTTTCCAATTTAAAGAAATAATCAAGCCTACTATAAAGATACAAAATGATTTATTAATTTATGTAGATGGTTTTTTTAAAGCCATAAAAAATTACTTTGACGCAATCAGAAGGATACATACAGTTGAAGAGGTAAGTGAATTGGCCTACGGTAATTTAATTTAATCACGCTGTAAAAGAAGAGCGACTTAAGCCTCTGCAAGAACTAGCGGTGGATAAATGATTTTCAACATCAATGTCAAGTCGGTCCTTCTATACTGTTCAGAAACGTGCACTGTGTGTCACGAAAAGGATTTCCAACAGGCCAATGCAGATTTTCACTAACAACTGCCTTCTCGAGATCCATACTGAAGATCAAATGGCCAAAAAGAATAAGTAACAAAAAACTCTGGCTGGCTACAAACCAACCAAACTAACCGATCGCTCAACCAGTATGTAGAATAAAATGGAGATGGATCGGGCATACATTGAGGAAACCGCCAGGCCATCGCCTGAGTTGAATCCCAATAAGAAGCGATGAATAGGTTGTCGGTGCGAGAGTGACATGGATGGGATCGTTGGAAGAAGAGATAAGAGATTATGGGGCGATTGTGGACCCGGCTGAAGGGGATGGCAGTAAATAGAATAAAGTGGAGATGTGTTGTTGAAGCCCTATATTCCACTCGGAACCTAAGGAAGTAATAATAATAATATAATAATTTAATCTATACCTCTATGTTATATTCCAAGCCTTAAAGCCATCAAATGTATGTAAATTCCGTATATTTTGGGCAACATTATTCTACAGAAGTAGGTTTGCATTACAACTGCTTTTTTTTACATAATGTTAAAATATAATGCTAATAATAATGGTAATAATACAATGAGTAAAATGAATCTTACGTCATATCTCCATTGGGCATTACAAGTTGGCGTAAACGGAAAAATTCGGAGGCATAATAAATACAGCAAAAGAAATTAGTCGAGCTATCAGAAAACTCTGGAAAATAAATTGAATAACAAAATAGAAATAAGTATATAAAATAATATCTTAGTAATAAATTCAAATTCAAATAAAAAATATATAAATAGTTCTCATAAGGGGAAATCAACTATCTAACGTTTTATAGATTTACTTCTGGCATTTTGTAATCGTGAAAGATAGTTATTTTTTTTATTGCTTTACATTCCCAGTGGAGGAACATAGGGCTTCAGGCTAGAGGCTTGAAGTTTCAGTAGCAGTGGTGTTTACCTTTACGGTATGGGGTCACTAGCCTCATGTCCAACCTTCCTTTCTTTCAGGCATAATTTTCGTCGGCTTTCTATTCTGTTTCTAACTCTGTTATATGTTGAAACTTTTAGAAACAGAATAGAAAGTTTACAAAAATTATGCCTGAAAGAAGAGATCCGCAGAATCGTTAAAACGTTGCAACCTTCCCTCTTCACCAGTATTATTATTGGCTTAACAAGGTAGGTGAGGGTGTCGGTTGAGGATCAAACCCCATACGACATGCATGGTCGATGAGCATTCTACTACTGTGCCACCAACGCAATGTGAAAGACAGTATTCTTCAGTTATTTAGGAAAGAACTTGGATGGATTAACTGGCATATGGTTCTACAAGGGCAAATACTATAAACACATACCTCTAATATATAATTTACATCTCACGATGTAATTTGGAGATAGAAATAGATAATTTCTATAGGAGCTTCTCTTCAATCTACCACTGGATGATTGTATCGCACACAGTTTGAAAAATGTTGAAATGTTGAAATCAACAGTCGAATATTTCCTGTTGTATAAGGTCCATGCGAACGATACACAATTATGATGGCAAATGTAACACAGGTCATGTATTACACAAGCATTTAACAGCTACTAAAAATTTCCTAAATTCATTCTCATGTTATTCTTCTTCTTAACAAGAATAACTTATGAGATCTTAAAGGTTTCAATTTGTATTAAATTTTCAGTGGGCAGTACGTAGAAAAACGCCTACCACTGCATGGAATAATCAAAAATTTAGTCATATTCTTGACTACCGTTATCTCACTTATTCGCAGCCCTGATGACTGAAGGAATAAAACTTTTTAGAAGAATTTTAGTTACAACTGGATATTCATTGACTCAGGGATGAATTAAAATAAAATTCTGCAAACTAAGATTGAATCCATTTGAGACATGGCGAACAAATTTTGAACCATTTAGTCCATAAGAAAAAAAACCAAACTCAAACCATTTAGACACAGCCCGATTTATTGAGTAACACCTTTGACTTGAAAAATAATCTAACTCTACCTGTATCTCTCAGAAGAGTTTCAAGATTTCTTGAAACGTTGAAAGCAGTGTTTTTCCAGTTATTCAGAACTGTTTCGTGGCAAGCTGAAAAAACACGGTCTGAATACTTCGGTGTGCGCAAATAAAAATTCAGAATGGCATAAGGAGTAATGATGGTGGTTATTCTCCGGTGACAGATCCCTTTGTCTAATTAGGTTCTATAACAGATCAGAAGTAACATGTATAGCAGAACAGTTGGAAAATGTCAGCATTATTCTTTGAAGAACCAAACCATAAGAGGTATTATTTGCTACGAAAATTTAATATAAGCAATCACCATTTAGAAAATATTTTGTAGATACTGAAATCAATCAACGAATCAACAACTTGTATAGTCTTAATAACAAAACAATGGAATGGAATGTCCGGAATGCACATCGTCTGTCTGTCTGTTTTCGAAATAGAACTTTGCACAAATGTGCGGAAGTTCAAGTCATCACACTCACTCCTTGTAGTGCACAAAGCAAGAGAAGAAAGTAGAAGAAATGCACAACAGAGACAGTAAACAGAGGTGTGAGACAAAGGAATAGTAATAACGAAGAACAATATAGTTTCATTGGAAATCATAAGTCACAGGGAGTGGATAAATCTGCACCATCACTGAGAACGATTTTGAGCCATGTCACCGATTGTTTCTAACCACTGTTTTTGACCGTTCTGAGGACTCCAACCGGTCAGGAAGTCTACATCTTCCTACGCGACTGGCTGGCTTAAACTAACTGTTGTGGATTTCATTGACTGATAAAGCCATGTTTTGGTTTGACCACCACTAGGTCTTTTCCAGTCTGACCCTATGTTAGCTAACATTGTCTGTCGTCGAGGAAGGCGATGGCTAGGCACACATAACACATGTCCTAACCATCTCAGTCGATGTATTTTCACAGCCTCGTCGATTGATTTCCCCTCCTTACCTAGCACTCGACGGATGCCTAACCTCAATATTCCTCACCTTATTATACCACTTCGCACGGGAGATAGAACGCAGACACCTATGATCAAAGACAGCTAGTCGGGCTTTCCATGTCTTCCACTCTCAGTGGCCAGGTCTCACTCACAGCCATAAAGGAGGACGGAGCGGACTGATGAGCAGTGCACGCGTCCTTTTGTCGATAGTCGGATATTACGTCTACTAAGCCAGAGACGGCGTAAACTGGCATATGGGAAACTAGCCCTCTGTATCCATGTGAAGATTTCGTCAGAGATCAACCCGTTGGGGCTGATGGAATGCACATCGTAGTCAACTCCTATTACTCCAAAACTACCGAAATATGGGAAAGTGGAGTAGTTTTGGTACTGATACAGAGGTTTGATGCACTAAATTAGATGAAAAGGTTGAGTGTCAACGTCTACTCTTCAAACAGTTTAAAAATTCGTATTAAGCCAATATAAAAAAGAAAAGACGTTCAGTTTGAGAATAACATCGATGAACACCTCTTCATTTTACATGAGTCTGCGAAAATACTCACAGTAGGTAAAGTTTGAACAAAATGCTTACGGATTTTAATATGACGACTTCGAGATACATTTGATTTATCATTTCCCAAGGATGTAGATGATGCAGAATGATGAGCACCAGTTGGTAAATTAGGTGAATGTGATGATGTCAGTCCTGACAACTTTTGATCTCGAGGTGTAGTTAAGTGTGATGATGTTGGCGCTTTACTGTTGTTAACCTCTAACATATGAAATCAAAACATAAAACATTAGTATTTTTACAAACTAAAATGATATAAGACATATATATAAAATTTGATATCAATAATCCCGCTATGACAAATAAACAAGGCCTTGAATTAGGAACCCACAAATATCAAAGCGATAAAACTAACAGGGAAATAAAGTGAATAAAAGATAACAGTATATAACGACGACCTGAACCAGAAACAAAATCGGGAAGTCAAGCAGGCATTAGTCCCGAAAGGTATGTCTACGCTTCGCTCTTTCTTAGGAATGATTAGCTGTTGCTCACCTAAGGAGCTAAAGAGAGTGATGCAGCCACGGAAAAACTGAAAGGTCTCCTCTTTTGGGAATTGTTACCAACACAATATAATCGGAAACTACTCATCTTAGTTTCAGCTACAGAAGCCAAAGCGATTCCACTGCAAGAATTTCCTGACGGGAAAAAGTACGTCAGCCAGGCAGAAAGATTTGTGGGCGTCTTCAAAAGAGCCATACTGAAAGTAAGGGGGGCTAAGCAGGAAACCATATAGAATTTCTTTTTTGTGTATCACATCATTCCATTGGTAGAACAGAGGGAAATCCCTGCAGAACTTCTGATACGATAAATGCTACGAACGCACCACTACTTCATGTCGCCATCACCATCACATCAAAGAAAAAATAGTGTGGGGTATTTCCACAGGGGAGACTGGGTCTACGCGCGTGTCCAGCAATGGAGGGAAACAAAATGCGCAGAAATTCTGAGAGAATACCAACATGGAACTCTTATGAACGAGGTTAGAGTCAAACGGGAAAGGTGGATGAGACATAAGACCAGATACGACATCGACATACCACGCCATCAGAATACGAGCTACCATTGGATCTGATAGCTGAAACTTTCCAACTAACACTAGTCAATCCAGAACCAAGCCGAGAGAATCCGGAATTCATAAAGGCGATTTTACCTAACCGTTACTTAGGCCGCGAAAGATCCCAGCCAGTACGCCTCCAAATCGATCCAAAGAAAAGAGGATACTAAATTATTCGGTACAGCTTCTCGATTTTCTTTTGTGAGTATACTATGGGCTTATTCTTGTCCTTCTGTCTATACACTGATAGCAACAGTCCACCAGGGTTGATTTGAATCTTTCTAGGTCCTCATCAGAGGAGGCGACCAAGTCCTCTTTAAAACGACATGCACTTAATCAGCTCGAATCAATATAGTCTGACATCACATAACTGGAATTAAATATATCACAAAGGAAATATGCACTTCTGGACCTTCCAGAGGCTATGAGAATACAATTTATGGCATATGTCGATGAAATCGCTGAAACTAATTCCTCGAAAAAACGAATACAACTGATGAAAGGCTTAGAAAAGCCGAACTCCCGAATGTAGATTTCCTGCTAATCCAGAAAGGTACGTCTATAACTTTTCTAGTATGACTCTTGAAAAACTACAACTTGAAGCGTTATCTCTAGGACCTAAGTTTTGCGACTTTCGTACGGAGATGAGTTAGATTGACACCGATGTACAGTTCGAGAACTTCTATATACAAACAGGGGACTTGGTCGCCTCCTCTGATGAGGACCTAGAAAGTATTCTGTACAATCTTTTCAAGATGAAGTTGGTATGGTGATCGATGTCCAGTCTGGAAATAAAGCAATCAGAATTGGCTCATGTAAAATAACACACACTATTTTATTGATCATGATTATACACAAACTGACATAACATTTGGGATTTTTCGAATCATTCGTAATAGTGTGGATATATTCTTTCCGACCATTCCAATCTGTTGTCAGTTGCATAGTAGTAGCGATTGTACCCAGCAGACGCAAAACGTTAGTGGGGTATACGTGATATCCGTGATTACTGTAATCATACGAGCCAGTGCGGTTTTTCTTATAGGGGTGATACCACCATATGGGGCTGATTGATTAATTGAATACCACTAGCTGGAAACCAGGTACATGGCTGATTGCCCGAAATGATCGAAATTACTATCCGGCATTCAGATGACTCAGGTCTGGCTAATAAGCACTACTGGCTGATGTAATAGGCACTCAGCAATTTTACTGAAACCATTGTAAGAAACAAAGGTTATTTGAGCTTGTCTCACCAATATCTAGTTCTGAATTGTGTGACACACAAGTGTATGTTGTGCATTCAATCAACCAAATACTTATCGTCATGAAGGTGTCCCAATGACCATTTTAGTTTATACACTCATTTACTTCTTGTCGAATCGATTACTTGGGTTCCTTTAAAATTCATTTTTTTCTAATTCCTTCAAGTTCCCAGTGGAACATAGGGCTTCAAGCTAGAGGCTTGAAGCTTCTGTAGCAGAGTTTATTTGTTACAAGATGGCGTTGCTGGCCTCATACCCAACTTCCCCTCCTTGCCAGTCTTATTACCGGCTTGTAGGGGTAAAGGAGTGCGCCGGCGGGGAATCAAACCCCATGTGCATGGGGTTTGCAATTAAAATTCATTATTTTGTTATTATAGCAAATCTATTTTCAAAAACCTGTACAGCTTGGTTATCATGTGCCTTACAAGGAACTCCGTTTCATCTGCCTTCAAAATGATCACATTAATCAATAGTGCTTTAAATCTCCTTCATGGCAAAGAATTACACAACTATTTGCCTGTTCATTGTCTAAATACTAATGACCAAGAAATAATGGTAACATAGAACCAATAATTTGATAACAGAGTTCAGTGTATTTCCCTCTTGAAAACCGAAATGTTCAGACTACGCCAACTGTGTGATCTATCTTAAGACTAAAGGAAACCTTGAAATGCTGTCAAGATAGTTAACAATGACACAGTCCCCCGCCTAAATTTAAAATCATCATACCTCAAATGTCAACAATAAAACGAATTGCTTTACCTTGATGAATATCTGATTTCACAGAAGATTCATAGTCACCTGGATTAACTACAGGCACTTCATTGTCCAGAATAACATTAGCTTTTTCATGCTCATCAATATTCCCCAAATCTGATATATCTGTACGAATAGCAGCTGACTCATCCTCAATCTCTTTAAAACTAAAACAACAGAAATATAGACAGTATAACTGCTCAAATAAACACCAGTATAAAAAAAAATTGAGTGAAGAATAGCCTTTTCAATAACTTCCACTTCTGGCTCTACAATTAACAATATTGACGTTTTTTAAATACTGTCAATTTGTTAAGTTAAGTAAGATCAATGGAATTAAAGTTCACAATAGATGCATAAATAATTGTCATAAACATAAAAATGTAATAGCGACTAGAATATTAAATAAAATTAGGGAAATTTCCACAACAAATTGAGGATCATTAGAGCCTTGATAGCCAAAGTGAGGACAGTGTCTGAACCAGCTTCTTTTGGATACATAAGTTAAACTTTTTAATGTGGATCCCAACAGCCAGCCTCAGCAATATGTAGTAGACGAACTCTTAAGGTGAAGTTAACATTAGTTGGTATGCGGTAAGTGACTTTGAAAACCACCTCGTTAACACCAACCATGTGATTTGTATTCACAAGATGAGATAGAATAGCGCTATGAATGGAGCAGTCAAATTGATAGATACATATAGAGAAAAGGTGAAATTAGACAGCTTATCTTTTACTCTTGAAGACACAGCATAATTCAGCAGAATCGAATGCTCTTTTTACCACAAGCCTAAGGCATTGTGTTAATATTTCACTGTTACCCCCAGGGAACAGAATTTGTAAGAATACGGCTGTTTTAGGAACTGTTGGTACCTTGAATTCATATTCTTATCAATAAATTTTGCTGGATAACTGTTTTCACTCAGCAATTAACTAACATACAAGATTCAGGTTAACATTCTCAATAGTTGTATTTCAAAAACCATATAATAGTAAGGAGATAAATATTCTGTAATAGACGCTTCATTTGGATTTTAATTAGTTTATTGTTATCGAATAAGATGTATGAATCAGTAAGACAGTATGATAACGAAAGAGCAGTACTCAGTGTAAGTATATAGTAAACAGAGACTTCCGATGAAAAAGAAACTGTTATCTTCACAGTGTATAAGTAAAGCTTTTCAATGCGTATGCTTGCTTACTGTTAGACATTATATATATATATATATATATATATATATATATATATATATATATATATACAAAAATACTTTCCATTTAGGTAATGATAAGCAATCAGGGTATAACTAAAATAAAATTATTTAATATCTCAACAGAGAAGACATTTCTTACGGTTTTATGCTGGAAATAACAATCACAGACTTAATGGGTAAACCAAAATTTAGATTGAATACAAAATTGTTTAAATGAAAAGAAATATATTTTAGCAGATATGAACGAGATATTGGGGGAAAAATGTACAGATTAATCCTCATGAATATAATATCTATAACATAACTAAAAGCTGTAACTAAGATCCTGCATACAGATTAGCATATCAAATCGTTAATTCACCCTATGTTTAGATTAATGCTATTACCCAACTCTCCTTGAAAACTTCAATGTGAACAGCGGTAAACAAAAGATCGCTTGCTAGAAGAGACGAATCGATGCAAAGGATGAAGTCGATAAGGGAAGTGTAAACACAACTGTATTTTTCACTAATAGTCCCATCCCAATGACCGAATGGTATACGAGTTTGCCTTGTAAATTGAAGGTTTCAGATGCGCCCCCTGTAGGGACATGGATGCGTACTGAAGAGCCCTAGCAAGGGACGAAACAGCTATCTAATACTCCCTGGTTCTCAATGGTTTTCTATGGGAAGTTAATTAAATTAGTGACAAATGAATAGAAGACATTTCCATTGTGATGAAGACACCTACATATACTAACATTTGTTTATTATTGACTAATGGTAGAACCTAAAATACATAAATCTTCTTACTTAAGATTTTTAAATTTGATGTGATAAAACAAATTTCAGCTAAGACTCAAACTCGGATCGAATTGTTGTAAACACCCAAAGATTATTCCCTAGGATAAGTATGTCTAACAGCAGCCTCCCCTGCTGTCAGTGCCAGCAATTATTTAAATTCCACAGTTTACTGATAGGCAGTTTATTAACAGTGAGTAGACTGTTTCTGTTGACGCACGTGTTTATCCGTAGACGCTTATTTTGATAGGGATTAAAAATGTTTAATTGATCTGATTTAACTGCGTTTTACTGAATGTAAATGGTAATATAAACTGTATTACATGAAAATACCTATACAAATAAATAAATAAATACATAAATCCAAAGTAAACTCACTTAGCGAGTGCTGACTGACCAAGTTGAACATCTGAAGTAAGCTGTGTCGACACTTGAAGGGTGGAGTGCAGTCAACCAACTTCCGTTCATATTCTGATGTGCTAATATAAAAGAATATATCGCATTCCAAAAGAGGACAATTTATGGTTATTGGACAGAAAGGTAAAGTGAGAATATATACATACTACTGCAGGGAACGATGGTCCACACGTACTCGAAACGGACACCCTAAGCAGTTAATATCAAAATCAGCGTAGGTATCTCATCAAAGCAAACATTTCGCTACTGGTAGTGGAGATTCGCCTGTTTTCTTACTGGGGTAAGTAATGATGCTACCTTGGCTGTCACAGGTTACCCAGTTGCTATAGTAAAAATTTGTAATGTGATCACCACTCATAGAAAACTTGAGCACCTTGAACAAAAGCTTTCCGCCAGGAAAAGTAATCAGATTGCACCAGCCATGAAAGATGATGTTTACGTACATTAGAGTCATCGTTAATCAAATGAAAAACTTCAAGAGTGAACACGTAACACAACTAACTCTAAAAGCATATACTGAAAATTGTATGTGATATGGTATAAAATATCGAGAAATTAAGAACTTCATGCCAGAGAAGTTTACAGGTAATAATAGTTTCAGCTGTCAAGTAATTTCGAAGATTAAAAAACCGAAGATATTATTACATTGATGTGTTACCATACAAAGTCCTAAAGTGATGACCACTCATGAAACAGGGGTATAAAACAAGGATTGGGGTGGATTTACATTGGTAATTCTGCCTCCGACACATCATTTATTAAACTTTGCATCCCTAGTGGCATGCAGGGATTCAAGCTTCAAACTTTGAAGTTTCATTAGCGATTTAATTGTTGGATGGTGATTAGCAGTGGAATCCAGGACACGCATTTCGTCCTATTTTGGAACTCGTCATCTGGGTGTACCTGCATTTCCAAGTGTGTGATGTTGTTCCCTCCGAGGCTCGAACCCAGTGCCCATAGTTTCAAACGCCAAAGCATTATCCACTGGACCCCTCGGGCACTAGAGATAAATATTTTCACGGGATAGAATTGTTAGCCTCACACCTGATCTTTCCTCTTTAACATGCTTACTGTCGGTTAAGTGACGTTGGGGATTATATCAACCAGGTGATCGAAGCCGGACCATTTGTGTGGGTGGTGAGCATTCTATCAGTGAATCACCGACACCGCTAACACCAATAACACAGAATTACTTTTAAAACTCATAAAATAAACAATCATTATCATCGATAAAACAGAATTAAATCAAAAATTCTTACGTTAAGGCAAAAGCAATGATTGAAGTGAACTCTCGATCATTAACATATATATCAGGATTAGCTAGTAATAATTGACAAACAGATGCAGGTGGCCGACTACAATCACTACCTTTAGATGTTGATTCGTTTGAAAGACTTTGTGATATATAAAATTGTTTTAAAATTGTTATACAACTTTCATCACAAACAATTAATTGAGGATGTTCATTTGCTGGAACTGGTTCACCGAACACTTTTAAATCCATAGCTGAAGAGAGAAATGTATGAATGAAACGACGTACACCAGATGTGGAAGGATTAGTTTGACTTGAAATTGTAGGTCGGATATGATGATCAGTGGTATATTCCGCCTTGTTTGATTGATGATGATTCTGATGCGTTAATGTGGAACCAGAAATTTCTGGATCATTTCGTTGGTAAACAGCTTGAATGAGAATCAAAATTAATTAAAAAGGGAAAATACACGTTTAAGCATCCATCTCTGTTTACTTATTAAATAATACAAAATTATATGCCACGGATTAAGTAAGGAAATATAAGTTTCTTTTCTATAGTTGGTTTGTAAGGATTAGTCTTGTTTTTACTAGTTGATCATGGATTGATATCAGTTAGAGAACCATTGAAAACTGAGGAGTACTGGATAGCTGTTTCATCCAAGTTTCGGAATCATCGGGACAGTATGCACCCACTGGGGTTCGAAGTTAGAAATCATGGGCCATTGAATCGGGTCCCAGTGGCTGAATAGCATACGAGCTTGACTTGTAACTGGAAGGTTCTGAGATCGAAAACCGGAGCGTGCAAACGGATGTAGAGTCCCAGCTATGACGAAGCAACTATCAAGTACTCTCTGGTTTTCTAATAGTTCTCTAACCGATATTAATCCATCGTCAAACTTGAAATAAGTCAGATCCCTACAAACTAGCTCTCTACTAACCTTAACTTTAAGGCGTCAACAATGTTTGTAATACATATGTAGGAAATGAGATTCAATTGTAATTAAAAGTCTGCCAATTATAATTCAGTAACGGAAAAAATTACCCACACATTGTTGGAATGTGTAGAGAAATTACCTTTCATATTTATAGTATCCAAGATTGACAGGTGTTTAGAAGAATCTACTGCGATATTGTCGTCCGCTGCATTGCTTTTACTTTCATTATGCAGAGTTACATGCTGACTATTGTCCCCGAAGGTATAAAGACTTGCCTTGAAGGAATTAAGTTTCGAAGTGCTTTTAATATATTTATACGATTTATTGTCATTTTTTGTGGTCTGATTCACTTCAAGTAAACTAGTCGTTAGTGGGTGGTCATCTAAAGGCGTTTGTGTAACAGTTGGAATGTTATTACTTGAATTAGCTAATATTCTAGTCTCACTTTGATCGACTGCAAGGGAATGAACCGATTTTTGGAATGAAATTCCACTCGTCATACTGGATGAAGAAAGATGTTCATCTGATCTATCAAGGCATTGAGATGAACCCTCTTGAAGTGATACACTTAACTTTGCAGTATCTGACAGACTATTCATACTATTCGCATTACTTAAGGTTTTCGCAGATGTTGTTTGTATGTTGTTGTCATTGCCTCTTTTGCTGGTGTGGTTGTTGTCGTTGTTGTAACTGCTATTTGAATAGGAGTTGAATGATGGATTGCTGACAGCTGATTAACAGAAGTTGTATGCGTCGTGGAAGCATTGGATGATGTGCCTTTTTTGCGTGTATCACGAATATTTTTCTCAATCCGCTTCATTAGTAGTTCGTATTCATTAAATCTAAACATATTTATTGGTATAAAAAATATGTGGATGTATAATAAGTTTTTTTCTAACAAAAGTCTAGTGAAATGACATATTATAAATAGTATTCATAAGTTAATTGGTGGGTGGTGACTAGCAGTGGAATCCAGGACAACACGCATTTCGTCCTATTTATGGGACTCGTCACCTGGATGTACCTGCATTTCCCAGTGAGCGATGATGTTCCCACTGAGGGATTCCACTGCCATTCACCATCCACCAGTTAACTTCTAATTACATGTCTAGACATCGTCGAAGCATCTGCATAAGAAGCCGACATGTCAACCTGAGACCGAGCACTTCGGTCCAATCAATCGACGGTAAAATATAAAATTCAATTCAATTATTTATAGGGCTCACTCACACAGACAAACAATCAATCATTAAGATATTTTCATCTGTCCGTCAATAACATTCTTATTTCACTTAGTGAAATATTCGTCTTTTACTAGTCTAATCCTGTCAGGAAGATTATTATTATTATTATTATTATTATTATTATTATTATTATACCAATAACTGTTTCATTCAATCAGGTTCTAGATGGAAATGAATGACTGATTGGCTTCAACGTAGAACTTAGCACGGAAGTGAAGCTTCAAGAGGTCATCTACAATTGATTCTTTTCCCAAGAATAATCTTCATCTGGCTCCACGACTATTAATAGGCTTTCGTCTCCTCCTCCTCCTCCACACGACCTCCATTTCATCCTCCAACGCCTAACACGTCGTTTTCTATTCAGATTCCACTCAATAGCTTGGCGCATGGTGCTACTAAACGGTCTCTACGGCGTTTATCCAATCTATCCACATTTATTGAGCATATCTGTTGGATAGCACGGTCTTGATTGGTTTGTTGCCAGAGTTCTTTGTAGCTAATCCTAATCTAGCCATCTGGTCTTCAATGTAGAGCAAAAACGGCTGTCTGAAGTCTGTTGGAAATACTTTTCGTGACGTGGTAATTGTCTTATACAAGGGGAATATGAAGTTTGTTTGAACTCAGTCGCCCGACAGAAATTTTCAATGTACCAGGATATGAATCATGCATATGATATGGTGGCTGATGATACTACCCAGTTGTCCAGGCTAAATAAGATGGAGCAGGACGCAATCTTCGGACTTACCAGCTGCAATTCGACTGCTTAGGTCAATGAGTATGGCACTAACTAATGTAAGCTTCAATGAAAAATATTTCACAGGATGAGCAATGAACTATACATTTTAGTTACAAAACTATAATCAGCTTAATGAGGTATGCTGCAGCCTTAACTGGGCGATTCACCACCTACAGATTAGTAATTATAAGTGGGACTACGATTTGTTCATTTCGATTTATGAGGTATCAAGGTTTAACTCCTTGCCAAACGCTTATGTTTAGGGAAGGTAATTACAGACATTAACCAGTACTCAGTATATCAGTTGTGTACTGTGTAATGGTAAATGAACTCCAATAATTATTTTATGAAAGACTGAATAGGAGTAACAGTTGCAAAGAAATGATATTGACAGACATTAGTTAATGAAGTATAACATGAAGTGTTAACCGTTCAAAAAGTAAAGTTAGAAGCGAAGACTGAGAATTTCATAAACTGGCAGAAAACAGTTTACATGTTAAAGTCGGATGATAATTAACACCTGAAAACCACCCGATAGATGGTTAAAGTTTTCCTGCGCAAAAATGAAACTATAAAGCAGCATAAGAATACTCTTTAATGTGCTGTGATACAGAAAATTAAGGCGGACTTTTCGATTAAACCCTTCTATTCTTATATGGGTTACTCTAAACTATAGCAGCCCAAAACGAAACTATTTAATGAAGACCTTGACATATCTCTATCGACCAGTCAGATGCGTCCGAAGCAAAAGTGCATAACAGGATAACGTGCTTGTATATGTACCAAGGTAACTTCCCAATTTCTCATTGCAGTCCACATAGTTACATTAAACCGATTGCTGTGCATACATTCATCGAAATAAATGTAAATCATCGTCTTTCTTGACCTATTCACCGTTCCGACCTTCTTTTTTAGGTGACTCTAGAAACTTTCGACGGAATTGGTATGAGTTTCACTGAAAAGATTAATGAAGTCGTCCATATGATTAATCACGTTGTGAATGTAGCCCAGGGATGACAGTTGGGTGTAGCTACTCCATTGGTCTCAGTGAATGGTTGTGGTGTGGTGAGAGCAGGCTGCTAGCCGATTGGTTGGCACTAATCTACGTTAAGGTCTAGGTCACTAATATGGGCCGTGAGAAAATATGAACAAGCCTGAGTCAACAACCAATCACAGCAAAGTTAACGTGGCAAATATGATTCGCAGAGAGAACTCTATTTGTCAAGGAATCCCGAAACAACCAATCAGAAGCCTGCGTTTGTCTACCTAAACAACCAATCAGATGACTGCGCTTGTCTATAATAATGTAGTTGAAAGATTAAATACGTGTTGATTTTCATAATAAAACGATCTGTTGCCTGGCCCTTGTCTTCTGTTGTTACATTTGGTGTCGCTGCCTACCGACAAATGAAAAGCCTATACCCTGCAGTTTTTGATGGAGACATATGGATCTTCGGGCAGGACTTCAAGGCTTCTGCGCAGTTGAGTGGCGTTCAAGATCTGTCAGCGATGGAGCTGCTACTTGAGACGCTGCTGGGAGGTCGGGCGAAAGCAGCATATGAAGGTGTGGGCCGAAGTATGGACGAATGTTCGACAGGGTCAGGCAAACAGTTTCCAAAGTGGGAAGGACCATATATGGTCACTTCGAGATGGGGTTACGCAGACACAGTCGCAATGGCGAACAATGAGAGGCGCGTGAACGTCAGCGAGCTCCAGAAATGGATACAGCGAGACAAGCCAACGATGACGCCTGCACCAAGTAGATCAAGCCGACTTCAGTCGCACGTATTTGACGGGGGGACGAGTGTGGTGAGAGCAGGCTGCTAGCCGATTGGTTGGCACTAATCTACGTTAAGGTCTAGGTCACTAATATGGGCCGTGAGAAAATATGAACAAGCCTGAGTCAACAACCAATCACAGCAAAGTTAACGTGGCAAATATGATTCGCAGAGAGAACTCTATTTGTCAAGGAATCCCGAAACAACCAATCAGAAGCCTGCGTTTGTCTACCTAAACAACCAATCAGATGACTGCGCTTGTCTATAATAATGTAGTTGAAAGATTATAAATACGTGTTGATTTTCATAATAAAACGATCTGTTGCCTGGCCCTTGTCTTCTGTTGTTACATTTGGTGTCGCTGCCTACCGACAAATGAAAAGCCTATACCCTGCAGTTTTTGATGGAGACATATGGATCTTCGGGCAGGACTTCAAGGCTTCTGCGCAGTTGAGTGGCGTTCAAGATCTGTCAGCGATGGAGCTGCTACTTGAGACGCTGCTGGGAGGTCGGGCGAAAGCAGCATATGAAGGTGTGGGCCGAAGTATGGACGAATGTTCGACAGGGTCAGGCAAACAGTTTCCAAAGTGGGAAGGACCATATATGGTCACTTCGAGATGGGGTTACGCAGACACAGTCGCAATGGCGAACAATGAGAGGCGCGTGAACGTCAGCGAGCTCCAGAAATGGATACAGCGAGACAAGCCAACGATGACGCCTGCACCAAGTAGATCAAGCCGACTTCAGTCGCACGTATTTGACGGGGGGACGAGTGTGGTGAGAGCAGGCTGCTAGCCGATTGGTTGGCACTAATCTACGTTAAGGTCTAGGTCACTAATATGGGCCGTGAGAAAATATGAACAAGCCTGAGTCAACAACCAATCACAGCAAAGTTAACGTGGCAAATATGATTCGCAGAGAGAACTCTATTTGTCAAGGAATCCCGAAACAACCAATCAGAAGCCTGCGTTTGTCTACCTAAACAACAATCAGATGACTGCGCTTGTCTATAATAATGTAGTTGAAAGATATATAAATACGTGTTGATTTTCATAATAAAACGATCTGTTGCCTGGCCCTTGTCTTCTGTTGTTACAGTGGCACGTAGGACTAAACGTTAATGAAACATTGGCACTACGACTGGGTATCGTCTGGATATATCCATTCGGCAGGATGGTGTCATATAATCCCAAAACCCAATGTTGATTAGTACTCAATTCTATCATCTTCTCCCTTCCTATGAGCTTATTATCCAAATAGCATTTAAATATTAAATCTGGATGAAATTTGCTACATGATTCATGTACAGCATTCATAATTGTGCCAATATACTGAGGGCCTATCTGATTGGTCGCCCGAAGTCATTGATCCATTCATTGGGTAGTTTCACTTTGGGCTTCTATAGTTTAGAGTCACTCATATGATATGCACATAATTGATGAATTTATGCACAAAACTTTATATCCACTACAATTAAATATACACAAACACAGCGCAGAAAAAATGCTGAGAAATACTTTACACAAACGTTTTACGCAATTTATCCCTCCTTTATAGCAACCTTTATGCCCAGACCACCTGGAATAAAACCACCCATTACATACAAGCCAACAACAATAACAGCGCTAAAGTAATCCTGAAAAACAGATAGACGAATGTATTTAACAAAAAAAATGGACTAACCTGAAATTCCAATCAGAAACAAATCGATATATCCAACGTTTCAATTCATTCACTAATCTTTGCACAATATATGTTAGTTCAACTGAAGGAAAGAAGAAGAGGTGACAAGCAGATATGAATGTCTGTCATAAACAGTAAATAAGGATCACTGAATATGACCGTTCAGTTTTCCAGTGTTATAATCACAACATTATTAGTACAAAATAATCTTTACAAATGCATGTTATACAAAATAATAATACTTTGAGCGAAATTCTATATTTACTGACTTTCTCGTCAGCCTCAACACTTATAAATGCACAAAAAAAACGGCGAATTTATATCTGGTGTAAAGCATGTAATATAAGTCTAAATGTTCTTAAATAATAACCATTTCTGAACGCTATTCAACACTGAATATTTTTTCATTGTGGGTTAAAGCTAGAACCAGGAGTGTAAAATATGTCTTCATCAACCTGAAATCAGTTTGTAAATCTTCTGCGCTCAGCAGTAAAAACCACTAGATTCGGATTATTAACACCAATGTCAAGTCGGTCCTTCTATATGAGTCACAGACTGGTGTGTCAAGAAAAGGAATTCCAAAAGGCCAGTGCAAACCTTTATCAACAGCTGTCTTCGCTGGCTCCATACTGAAGATCCAATAGTCGGACAGAAAGAATCAGCAATAAGAAATAACAAACTAAGAACCTATTGCTCAACAAATATGTAGGAGAATATGGAGATGGATTGACCGAACATACGTTGAGGAGGTCGTCGAATGACATAGCGCGCCACGCCATCGCTCGAGTGGAATCTCGATGGGAAGCGACGAGTGGATCGTCCTATTTAACATTTATATGCAATACGTAGCATTAAAACAGCAATGGAAAAGAAAAGTTTCCACTCAGTTGGTTCATTAATAAAGTTTACTATCACACTAATCGAGAAAAAAGACATACCAGGATTTAAGTTGGATGCTACTCTCATCCAATCATGATATTGAATTCCATTCTGTGTAACATTATGCATCCCTGTTGTTTCTCCGGAGCTGTTATTATCACTAGAAATACTATTCGAGTGATTTCGTATAGCCTGCTGTTCTGATTGACTACTGGAAACGATTTTACCATTAAGATCTGAAGTTAGTGCAGAATCGATTTGATTTACATCTGATATAGCTGATTGCTGATCAGTGAAATTCATTATAGTTCCACAGTTGTTCTCATTAGCCGAAACATGTGATTTAGAACTGCCGTCCACAGGCTGTGATATATCCGAGGTATGATTATCTTGTTTCTTCAAAGGTCTCTCATCATGCTGATAACCATCGTCTGGATAGAGAAGAAAATTTAAAAATTCTGATCTTTCATCCATTAGAATGCGACTAGAATCAGACTGTAAAACGCGAAAAGATGGGAGGAAAAAGAATAAAAGCAATGGATAAGAAAGCAGTTGTGCACGAACAAATTTTAATTACGTCTATTACACAGGGCATACACATCCATGAAATAGAATTTACAAAATATTACAAAGCATATCCAAATATAGATTGAATTGAACTTGGTGTCAAATCACCTGTCAGTAAAAGACGAAAATTGATATTTACGTACACGCAAATATTAACTGGTAGGACAAGTATTTGATCAAATTTTTCAGTCAATTAGACAACCCTTCAAAACCACTGAAAATTATTTTATCCTATTTAGGGCCTAGGAAACAAGTACCTTATCTAATCAACCAGTCGGTTAGAATTCAATAGCCTATGCGTTCTAACTCTCAGGAACTTGCGATATTAGCATCACTACCATTAACTAGATGTCACCAACGTAAACCCATCATCACGTCTTACTCAGAAGACAAACGTTATAAGGACTTCTTACTGGAAATGCACGAAATCCATCTCTTATGCCACAGTGAGTAATTATTCATATTCACCTATACATAAAACACCCGTGATCAATAATGAATACCTTAGAGGTCGAATTCTCGAAGCAAAAATGCGAGGCCACCATCACTGGAATCCATGAATTCGTATTTCTGAAGACAAACACTCCCCAATGGCACTGAATACAGGTTGTGTTATGTTACTATCTGGTAGATATGAGAAATAATGAGTCAATGAAGTTCAGAGCCAGAGTTTAGACGATAAAGTAACCACCCTATGGACTGACGCTCTTATCTTCGACTTTTTATGACGTCCAGTGTAACACATTTTGGGATGTAGGATGAATCGATTATTTATTAATCCTGGATTTTTAATATCTCTCTATCTTTTATCCGTTCACAAAATAAATTACTTGAAAATTAACCAAATTCACAAAAACTCATCTCAAACAATTAAATCAGCATCCTGTATCCATCATAGATGAGATGAAATGGTTATGTTGAAATGCGCCGAATAACTGAACAAATGTCAGATCTAGATATGGTGTAAATAAGAACAAAAATCAACAAAGTTCGAAAAACCGTAGCTTCTCCTTTGGGTTTATCATTATGTGACTATCGGATCAAGTTTAAGGGGTGAACACTGTATGGAACTCAACCTGCAAAGACTTACGATTCTTTTCGTTCGATCACAGCTAAATCACACTCACCTAAATTTATCAGGATGTACCTAACTAAGAGATTTTTAGTAAGATTCAAAGCCTGTTGTAAAGATATTGACTTATTAAACACAGGTAAGTCATCGGGAAACTATGAAGAATAAGTTACAGCGGAAATATGATTCAGTTAATGGTACTGTTTCATTGTGTAATACATACAATAAACTAATTATTGGGAAAAATCTTTGTTACCCAACACCATCGCAATTCTACTCTGAAATTAATAGTGCATAGGAATGTATGTACAAAGCTACAATGTTAAGCTGTTCTAGTTCATAATCTTAAAAGGAGAACATTTTCTTTCGAAAAATACGAACAGTTAAATGAAAATGACAATAGAGGAAGAGCCTTACCTCAAGAACTTTTAGATAAGCTTCAAGCATGGCAGATAATTCACAAGATATTGTCTCATTTTGTAGATTGGCAATATGACATTTAATTACAGTGTGTATAGTGTAGTATCTGTGGTAGGAATAAAACGATTTCTATTAGAATTAGTTTGTAGAAATATTTCATAGTAAGAAAATTCTTCGAAAAGTAACAAATAAGTGCGATGATTGATTATCACTAACCTCCGTTTAATCTTGAGTACGGTGCAATATGGTCAATAACAGACAAACAGACAGACAGACAGAGACAGATAACCTTTTAATGATCCTAAACAATTTGCTTACAAACATGGTAGAAGTACCTTGGATGCTGTGGTTGTCTTATATCACAATGTTGTTTGTTGTTTAGACAAAGGTGCTAAATATGTTCGTGATGCTTTTGACTCTGTATCTAGGGTCCTTTCATTAAATAAGCTTTCGTTGACACAAACAGGATCCTGGGCTAACAGTTGGTCGCATTCTTATTTTTCTGATACAATGCAGTATACTGTATATAATGGCAAATCTTCTTCTAACTCGCTTACAAAAGCCGGTGTTCCTCAACGTGTCGTCCTCTCTCCTTTTCTTTTTTCTTTCTTCCTACACGACCTGTCTCATTTAAACGAAACTAACTTTGTCGAATATGCAGGTGATCTGACTGTATCACTGCCTATCACTTCCAAGTCTGACTGTTCAAAACTTAATAGCTTTTTGTTGGACATCAACAAGTGGTCTAAATCAAATGGTCTTATGTTAAATCCTTCCAAATGTCAGGCAGTCAACTTTACTTTCAAGCATCGGCGTGACTTACATGAACTAGTTAGTTCCCATGATGCCCGCCTGTAGCATAGATGGCACGGAAATTGAAACCAAGCCAAGCATTGAATAACTTGGATTAGTTCTTTCCTCTGATCATCCATGGTCCACATCCCACATCTTATCTATCTCTCAGAAAATGTTTCGTCTTACCTTCTACATTAAAAAGTTAAGACAATCAGGTATCAACCAACCTTTAGTTTTGGAATTTTTAAACTCCTGTATTTTACATATTGTACTCTATTGCTCTCCATTAATCTTTCCTGGGCTTCTCAAAAAAGATTATATCATATTACGAAGAGTATTAAATGCTTTGAGTAGGGCTTGTGGTTTGCCACTGCATGAGCTCGCCAATACTATAGTCGAGAGACACATAAATTCTTGTACAAAATGGGCAAAGGCTCTACCGTCAGACCCTCTGCACCCCCTTTATTCACAACTATTCCGTTGTATCTCATCAGGTAGGACGAGAAGTTAATATAAAAAGTTACATGCCCGTACCACTGTGTACAGAAATTCTACAATACCCTATTTAACCCGTACTTTACGTGATGAAAACTCTGTTAGACGTGAAACACATAAGTAATTAGCACAGTGAATCGACTCTTTCATTGTTCATCTTTCTGTATTATATGGTGTCACACTTTCTATCGTTTAATTATAACTTTGCTATTTTATTTCAGTTGTTATTACTATTATTACTACAATTTTATACTTTATGCATATTTTTCTCCGTATTGCATGCAATATTTCGCTATGTAGCCGCTATAACAACGTTTTATTATTATTATTATGTAATGTTTATTTTTAATTTTTTGTCGTTTTTGAGTAAATTAGATGCAATATTGTACGGAATGCTGAAAATTCCTTGCTGTATCACTAGTACTGTTTTTGGAATGAAGCAAAAGCAAATTATCATTATCATTATTATTATTACAGTAACAAGATTACGCAAAACGTGTTACTTAAGGGGAGGAATTCGATCAATGAGTTTTAGATGGCTAGGATATGCATCATTTCTTGACCAGAAATGTTAACTGAAATAGGATTAAGCTGGAAAAGGTTGGTCAAATGACAAAAGGAAACAAATCCATGATGAAGTCATTAACTATTGCATCAAATCATGTAAGAAGTTGTAGACCGGTCAGATGACATTCTTGATATACTAAGGATCGACAGTCTGAGTCTGTTGGTGACATGACTGAAAATCGTTAATTATAGTTTCATTACTTCACTGGATTACTTCGATGAATCGTGACAACTTGAACTGCTACCCCTTTCTACAGATTTCTACGCTGACAAGTCAGTTAGTCAAACACTGGTCATCACCTGACACACTTAAAGAAGTGGTAGAAATGCCTAATTTCACTGACTGTTCTATACAGCCACTTTCACAGTAAGAAACAGTAGAGATACTTTCAGTTGAATTCGATAAAATGTAGTACAGGTGACTATAAACTACAAGTTATTCCCTGCAAGGTAAATGCTTACGGTAGAAAATTCTACAACTATGACTGCAGAAGCATTCACCATAATCTGTCATAAAACACAAATATCAGGAACTGCGACACTTAGTTTGTCGCACACATTCTTAGCACAATCACTGATTTGTTTTAATCTTAAGCATAAATTATAGAGTGCTCTATCAAAATAAATAAGGGTGGAAAGGCAAGACAGACTTTTATCATTCTGGAAATCTGCTACATTCAGCATAAGGAGCAAAAGCCAGATTTCCAACACGGATGTTAAATCAGTGCTTCTACATCATTTACATATTTGGCGTGCCACCAGAAGCATTTGCAACAGCCTGCTGTAGACAATTTCATAAAGAGCTGTTTTCGTTGGCTGGGTACTGAAGACTAGATGACCAACCAGAAAGCAATAGCAGCAAAGAACTCCGGTAATGAACCATCGAAAAACTTATTGCTCAATAAATATTTCGAAAAAAAAATAGAGATCGATAGGTCATACACTGAAGAAACTGTCGAATGACATCATACGCCAGGCGCCTGAGCGGAAACTGAGTGGGAAACAACACGTTGGGCTTCCGAAGGTGATATAAAGGAGATCGAGTGAGGAGGAGATGAGAGCTTATGAGCAATCATCATGCAATGGGCTAAACAAGACTGAGGCAAACAGTGTGAAATGGATATGTGCTGCTAGAGCCCTATTCTGTTCAGAAAACAAAGAGTATAATGATTTATAGTAAATAACACGTTAACATTAATGGTCAGTGCTTTACAGTACGGTCTGTAAACATTGAATCAGGTTCAAAATGCTAATTAAAACGACATTGAGGCTGAAAATAATTGACTTACTTTGTCAAGACTTCAGATGCTTCTGTAAACAGATAGGTTGGTAAAGCAACTGATTTGCGTAAGTTAGTAGTACTAGTAGTAGTAGTAGAGGCGGCAGTCCCAATTTTTGATTCTTGTACTAGTCTGTTTGATACATTATGAGACTGATTAGTCACATCTGCACTCTCAGTACGATTACAGAATGTACTATCATTTATAACTGACTTATTTTCAACAGACGATTGCCTTGTATGTGTAACAGAACTATTATTATTATTATTACTGTCCAACTTTGGGATATTGATTTTAGCTGGGAAAACACGAATCTCGCTAGGAGGCATTACAATTTCATAAACATTAACAGGTTGATATCTACCAGTATAAAAGGAGTGATAAAATAACACATGAAAATAAATTAGTTAATAAGTTTTAAAAATCCTACATAAAAACAATTAATAATGGTAATTTCCTTCCACATGAATGGATTTTACAGTAGATGTGTGCAGAAAATTTCTTTAAGATAGGTGACTTTAATACAATTGACTGGTTTGATCATAAAATTCTAATTTATTCCATTTAAGGGCTAACTTCAGAAACGCCTTCTAATTGTTACCGTCTTGCAACTATAACAACACAGCTATTTTGATGTAATTGTGTGTAACGACAGAAGAAAAGGGCCAGGCAACAGATCCTTTATTGAGGAAATCAAGAGATATTTATAGATTTTTATGTACATTATTATTTGTTATTATTAGCAGAGAAACACTGTCGTGTGATTGGTCGTTTTCTCACTGGAAGTTATTCTGTCATCTCTTTGTGGCCGTTTCTTTGAAGGTCAGATCATATATATGCTAATTGTATCCGCCCACGCAAAGTCTGCTGTTACTGGTTGTTGCGTTAGTATTTGTTATTGTTTTTTTCTCATGACCAAGATTTGGGACGTAAACATTGACGTAAATTGCTGTCTACCACTTTTGGTTAGCACACAGCTCTCACCACAGTTGTATTCTCTGAGCTGGATGGTTTATTTGAGAAGCTTTCATTGCCCATCTTCAGGGTGTACTTCAATTTGAAGTGAGCTTTTAGATTTTTCCACGAGTTCATAAGTCATCTCTCCTGATGACCCTAAACGTGATTAATTGTTGTTTTTGTGTTTTCACAACCTCTAGGCTACTTGTATTGGTATTGACTGTTCCCTTGACCTAAAGTTTGTACGCATACAGACAACCACGGATAACAATTCGACTGGAACAACGTTCATATATTAGACAGAGGACTCAGCAAGAATGCTAGAGAATTTTTAGAAACTTGGTATTCTAGTGAATCGTCAATCAATAAACAAGTCGAAACAGACAAAATTTACCAACCGATAAGAAGGAAATCGTTATTGATATAAGGATAAAACCTGGGCACTGTGGTAGAGTATAACTCAATTATGGATAAAATTTTATTTTGATAAACTCTCAGAGTGTTATACAGTAATATTTACTGATGACCACATTTCGAGCACAAATTAATACTGCTCATAATCATATCAAGACACTCACGCAACTGAAAGTCGTACATCAAAACTCCTTAACCGGTAACTGTCAGTTACAAAGTCTATCCGCATTTGTTATTAAACTGGATAGCCCCAGATAAAATTATGGAGGTGAGTCAGAAAAAGAGGATATAAGTTATGCAAATAAAATGCTCAACCAAAATTCAATGAGATAATAAAATATTATTATGTGTTAACCTGAACATGAAAGAAAGCCTTCTGAGGTTTGTGTGGTACTTTGTTTGTCACAAGTAAATGAGACACAGATAAATTACATTGGTTGGTCAATACATAGTAACCAGTGTCATGCACGTAATCATCGGTGATGGTACTCCTGTATAACGGGAGATCGATCGTGAACCTGAATCACATAGCGGGAACGTCTCTGACTGCGATACTGGATGACACGGTTTTAAGTCTCATAAAGGAAGTCAGTTCCTTTATGGTTGAGGATGTGCTCCACTGATGAGTGCTAGTAAGCGCGAAATCTAGATCCAGGGTTGACTGACTCTAATCATTTAACATCAATAATAATACATTATTATTTATTAGATATTAGTTCGAACACAACTTGTTGCCTACAAACACATAAAAAAGATAAAAATGGATCGGAATTTAGACAGCAATATAAAAGACACAAAATTATAACACTAATAATGTCTTACTTGAAAACAGCTAGTTTTCTATCGAAAGAAAAACAATGCTGCAAACACTTATGAACAGAATGCGTACAACTGAAATCTAACATGGATTCCATATTCTGACCATTGACTACTCCACTCCCAACTGTCGAAGGTGATGACGGCTTCTGTGTTTCAACTAAATCCAATTCATTACCTGAAGTGCTACGTGAATATGTTGAATTTTTACCAATCATACCACAACGAGCCCAATCATTAGAACTGTTAATCATTATATCGAGGAATTTTACAAATGATAAATGCCATGTATCAGCAGACATATATCTGGTAGCTGAATTCATTCGACATATTGGACAGAATAACCACATTAGTATTCGACTCTTAGGACGTGATTTTGAATCATTATTACTGCATAGATTTGGTGGATCTCCTAATGCATCTGATCGAGATGGATCTTGTGTCAACTTACTTATCGTAAGTTGTACTGAACCTGAGGTTTGAATAAATCTTTGGATATGCTCAGACATTGGAACATTGCATAGCGGGTTACGACATTGTTGTTGCCTAGAAAAAACATAACAAACACAATATCAAATTAGGCCCCATGTGGGAACAAACTATTGTTGTAGCCACTTATATTACTATTTATTGTACGACTAAATAACCAATACTGAGTGAATAATTTACTAATAAACTTTATTCTCGGAAGCGACAACCACGTAGAATAGATTAATCACTTAAATAATTTAACTAACGCAAGTAGAAGGAATTGAACAGACTCATATCCTAAAGATTGAATCTTCTGTATCTTAGGCCACCACAAAATATGTATATACAAGATTGGAATAAGAACTTCAGACAGTTCAGTAGTTTTTACTTGTTGAAGACGGGACACATAAGAACTTTGGGCCAGTCACTACTTATCATCCATTATAACTAGAATAACTCGAACAAAACCATCTGGCTACCAAAAGATGAGATGCTCACTAGCGACTTGCCCTATTCAGGCAGGTAGTTACCTGGGGTTCTGGTGAGAAGTCGTGACCAGTAGGGTGCAGCAGATTGGGCGTGAGGGCAAACACTCGCCGAAGACATTTGCAGTGGTCGCGCTATGTTGTGAATAGGCAGAAGTTAGAATTCATGGGCCATTGGATCGGGTCCCAGTGGCTTAATGGTATACGAGCTGGCTTGCCTTTTAACCAGAAGGTCCTGGTTCGAACCCCGGTGGTGCGTACTGCTGAAGAGTCCCAAACTAGGCTGACGAAACAGCTGTCCAATACTCCCAGGTTTTCCAATGGTTCTCTAACTAATGTCAGCTCATGATGAAATCCTGTAACCAATCACTCAAATCCCTACGAACCAACATTAAATACCAGAAAAGTTAGGGCCAAGAGGTTCATTCAGAGAAAAATACAACCACAAGCACTTTTAATTCACTGATCAGTTGTAAGAGCATGTGACTCCCAAACGCCTTATAACATGAATCATTTCACTACTTGTTGGTGGTGGCTACCTGTGGAGTCCAGTAAGCATGTTGCTTCCTATTTGGAACTCATCGGCTGAATGTAGCCGCATTCCCATTGAGTGATGGTGTTCCGAAATCTAGTGCAACGGCGTGAGAGCAACTAGCACCAGTTGTACAAGAATTGGGTTTCATGGCCCAGTGACACACTGGGTAACACTTTGGTGTTGAAAACGATGGGTACTGAATTCATATCTCAGTGGGAACAGTACAACTGACTGGAGCTTCAGATACTTTCGGGCATCAACGAAACATCTCCACTAGGAACTGGCATATCAAAACAAAACCAACATTTCGGTGCAATAGAACCAATCAACGGGAAATTCAAACTTAAGAATATTTTTTGCAAGTCAATTACCTAATTAATAAAAATTAATTAACGATACAGTTATAAGTATAAAACTTGGGCACTATGGAAGAGTATAACTCCATTATGGATAAGATTTTATTTTTATTAAATCACACAGTGTTGTACAGTTATATTAACTGATGACGTTTCGAGCACAAAGTTTTGCTCATAATCATATCAAGTGATATGATATGATTGATATGATTATGAGCAATAGTTTGTGCTCGAAACGTCATCAGTTAATATAACTGTACAACACTGTGTGATTTAATAAAAATAAAATCTTATCCATAATGGAGTTAACGATACAGGTAATTTAAGAGGAAATATAGACTCACATAAAACAAAACTTCTCCAAAAATAATCCAAGCGGTAAATCACTCTGACCATAAAACTCCACTGTGGCTATTATAGGCGGGACACAGGGTTCTGGTCGCATAATACACTTCGGTGTAAATAATAACGCCAGAAAGCTTAGAGATTGATATGAACGTGGATCTAAAATACTGCGTCGTAAACGCTGTTACAAAGAATAGAAAACGGAAGAGAAAAAAAATGACAAGTTGATAGTCTTCTTATAAATTAAGAAAACAAAGTGGAATGACGAATGGGGAGTGGAACTGAAGATTTCAGTTGACGTAGCAGCCTTCATTCATAAGCAAACTAACTAGACAAATCAACTTGCAGTAGTACCATAGATAATATGAAAATCAATAAAGCACCTTTAGAAAGTTTCTTGTTTCGGTTGTATAACTTCGATGTTGTACAGATTTTCAAATATATCTGACATCTACTCGATCATTCGGTTACTGTTGCTTAGTTACACCCGGAGAGAAAATAAATTTTGCATAAGATGGTATTGCAGAACATCCGTGAAGTATACAGAATTCCTTACGACTGGAAGATTTAACATAATAGATACCTACATATCGACTTTATCATGATCGATTTACCACTGAAACAAGAAGTTCAGTAATTTAAAAGCACGACTAAGTTGCTGCCTTGTTCACTCTTATTTATAGCATACTTTCATCACCATGTACAGTTATAGTGAACACTGTAAATGAACATGAAAATTGAACGTTGGTCCATTGGCCTTGTTCACCACTGGCGGGCAACTCGAAGGCGCGAATGATTCAATCGTGTACAAGTTGGAAGAAGACGAAAGAATATGAATAGAGGTATAGTACATTCCTTGTAAAACATTTGTTTATAGACTTTGTAGGACAAAGAATTTAACTGCCAAACAATACAATTTCTTATTACAAGCCCTTGTGTTTTGGAGTTAAAGTCGACAATCGTTCACAGTAATTATCGATTCGGAGTGTCTTCGCAAATAACAGGAACTTAGCGTTAAGTTCCTTGACAAACATCATCTATAAAAAATAACTTGATGACATAAAACTATACTAGTAATAACATTACACAGGATCTGAGAAATGTATAGCCTTTTAGAAGATATGCTCATAAGTCCCTACAAACACTTGATCAGTGATGAGTTCTACGTAGCACAGTTTTAACTGAATAAACATTGTATAATTTTCTACAATGATTCCCTATCCTTACCTGAAATTAGTATCTAATCTCTGATTTATGACTAGGGAAATATTAAATGAACAGTAGTGCGCATGTAGTTTACATGGAGAGATGATTAATCGGTTCAAAATTATCTCACTGGAAATATTACAGGCAGGTATATACTGTCAGCAATTCACAATAGAAATTGTATTATGTTACATTCACTGAATTAAACAGTCTTAAAAGGTTTATCGGAAAAAAGAAAATTACATTCATGCTTTGTATGTTATTGAAACAGTAATAAAAAGTCGCCGTAGACATGTCTCCAAAACACACACAGACATACATGGCTACAGTTGCCAGAGTTCTGGTTAAGTTAGTGAAGCCTATCGTGCAATTTGACAAAGGGTTCTGATGTTAAATGTCCCCATATGAAGTTGGTAGTGTGGTTTGAAGAGACTAATAGTAGTGTTTTTCCGGTTCCTGTTATTATTGGCAGTTGCATAGTTATGGAGGTGTATAGGCAGTTACTAATTCTGGCTACCTGAAACAGAAGGAGCGTTAGTGTTGTGTGACTGCAGATCCCAGTGGATAACCGCCTAAAGGCGGTCACACTGTGGTGGTGTGATACAGACATTGTGTTCCAACGGAATATTATTGTCATATATTCCCACAGTTCATTACGGCATTCGCGATAGAATGCTATGTATATCTGAATATTCTATTTCATGTCGTTTAATGTAAACCAAAATCACACGCTCAGTCTTTAGTTAACGAATATAAACTACATACATAAACAGCAGTTTGATTGATGAAAATATACCTTGGCTTCCGTGTCTTGCTTTCTGCTGTTACAACAGGACCAATCTTAAGCGGATTTTGCAGTTGTGTCCGTACTAAAATTTACCACCGGCTACGGAGCATCATATGATAAGTCGGGATGTACCATTTTTGGGGTCGAAATTTCTAACTCCCCTCTCTCTCCGGAGCGTAGAAGCAGCATAGCTGGTACGCTGGTCATCTCAGGGAAATATCTTACTTCTATTAAATTTCTAATCCCCAGAGGTACGACTTCGTCTACAGACCCCCTCAACATATTGTAAACACTAGGACGGTAACTATTTTTCTTCTAAGGGCTATCCAGACAACCTGTTTGGAATGGTAGGTTCTACAGGAACATTAGTTCCAGGCAGTGTAGCTTGTTGATTCATTGCAACATGCAAGCGAGACCAACATATCAAAGTATTAGCTATAGTTCGGGACATTTGCGGTAATAAACAGCCTCAAAAAGTCCATCCGAAAAGCAAACTGCTTCCATGATTTGTGTGTGTTATTTGAACAGTAATAAGAAACCGTCAAAATATGTAAATAAGAGGTATTCACTTTGTCAGCACATAGTAATGGAACCAAATCCTGATATATTATTTCGTTTATTAAATGTACTGTGAGATGTAATGTTATTCAGGAAATAGTACTGTTCATTAGAGTCTCGTATCTGACCAGGAAATATAAAAATTCAAAATCGATGAAACTGCACTTCAAAACAACACATAACACTTACTTTTATACCTTCAGATTCAGAAGAAAGCTGGACACCAGAATTAGCTGAAAAACCAGCAGTCTGTGTAGACAAACCAAAAAATTTTGATTTCAATGATTTAAACTTTTCTGCATTAAATAATGTATCCCAATGACCAGACAGGATACTACCTATACCAGCCCAAAGACGTGGAAATGAACGAGAAACTTCTCCATTGTTTTTTTCAACACAATTCATATACGCTCGAGCTTTATAATCAGTATACAAGGCCTCATCAGATGATGTAAGCGTTTTAGAAATGATTATTCCATCAAGTGCAAAAGTGTTTTTGATATCTTCATCAGAAAAATATGAATTATAAAGAGCAGATTTTGAAGTGTGATGTTCATTAGATGCAGAAATTTCTAAATTTCGTTTTGTAAATGGATGGTATAACTCAGTATGTTTGCTGTCTTCCAAACTGTGATTATTTGCCTTCGCATTTATACGATGATATTCAAATGCTTTCAATTCACTGCACACAACCTATAATGTAATAAGTAGAAAGTTGAGAAAATAAATTGATATTTTTTCAGTTAGTCTCATTCCAAAGTGATATCAATAGCACAACAAAAGAACACCGAGCAAACACTTCAGTTATAGACTATTCAGTCGATAGCACTTACGTCCTTATGACGGACGAAGTTCATGAGTGCCAGATTTTGAGGTATCAGTGTTATTATGTATCCAACTGTGAAGAATTCAGTCACACAGGTTACTTAGCCTCAGTCCACTAGCGATATAAAGCAACCGTTGAAGAAGCCCTAACAGTCAGATCAAAAAGTTGCCTGATCCTCCTGAATTGATGACAGTCGATATGGCAAAAGACGCCAGTATGAACCTTGCTATAAAACGTCAATAAAAGGTGCCTGTTGACCAGTTATAAATATAGACATATGAAAAACAGGAAGTGAAACCAGGGTAGATTTGTTTTTCATGTTTGACCATGGACTGATATCAGTTAGAGGACTATTGAAAACCAGAGAGTATTGGACAGTTGTTACGTCCTAAGTTGGAATTTTTCACCGGTACGCAACTACCCAATTAAATCGCCAAAGAAGTTTAACTTCTAACAACTCTTGATTTTACCGCGACAACCGGCCAATGTCATCGGCGAGTATTTGTCCTCACTCCAGCAAGATAATTTGCTATATTACCAAACTTCCTGAAAAAATAGCAGTTCTTCTGAAACCCTAAAGGGGATTTATTGTTCAAAAAATCAGACTTATTATCATGTTATTAATTTCATAAATAATGCTAGGAAACGACTCCAGTTTCACTAATAGTGGAATCCAATCAAATAATGAATATGTGACACGGAGGATAAGCTAAGCAATGCTATATCACTGACGAAAGCTGAGTTTGATTCCAGATGTTAGAGACAGCTTACTGTCAAAATGTAAAACCTGTAAATTGACAAGACGTTTAACTTATCAAAAAGAAGTATAAAATACTTTCACACCACAGTATTGTGAGTAGGCTACTACTGTAAAGCGTATGTTAGATGGAACCAATATACACAAAGATATTGCATCATACTAAAATAAACACCGTGGAAAAGAGTAGAAGAAACAAGAGGATAATAGAAATTCACATCGATAAGACATACTTTCAGTTTACGTTTCATTAAATCATTCAATCTGCGTCCAAATGACCAATCAACTACATATGTATAATAGGCGTACAAGTAGGCTAGTTCGCCTTCTCTAGACGCTAAATACGGTAAACGAAATTCAACACTCGGTGAAACTGATAAAAGACGTCCATTTAAATAGATTGCTAAATCTGAACAAGCACCAGCATCTGATTCATTGCACTGAGCACCAATAATCTGGTCATTTATCTACAAGCAAAGAATAAATGATTAGAACAAAAAATAAATCGAATTGTTTGGCAGGATTAATGTTAAAATTCTATTGTGAGAAAATACTGCAACTTTACAGATGTCATGACTTATATGATTTAGAAAAAAAGAAAGAACATCTATAACTACGTTTATAAATATGACGCGAGAACAAGCAAAAACGTGAATAAACATCGGCATGACAATAACTAAAGATCGATATAGGCTTAGTAGTGTGTGAACACTAGGGAAAGTATTAGAAGACAAAAACAGAAGTTTAAATTACAGATTTTGTAGGGGTTAAAATTAATTTTAACATAGATTTCTTCAAAAACCTGTCTGACTGGTTTCAACGTAGAATTATGCACAGATGTGCAGCAGTTCGTGTCGCCACACTCCCTTCTTGTAGCACACAAAGCAGGAGAAGAGAGCAAAGAGAGATTCAAAAGAGATAATAAACAGAAGTGTGAGGCAAAGAGAATGATAACATGGAAGAACAGTAGACTTTTACTAGACATAACAAATCCCAAAGAGAGAAAGCATCTGCACCAGCCATTGAGAACGCTTTTGAGCCATATCACCGATTGTCTCCAGCCTCCATTGGTTTTTGCCATGCCATCGACCCCACCTGCCCACATGACTGGCATACATTAACTGTTGTGCATTTCATTAACTGATGAAGCCATGTTTTCGTCTGACCACCACTGGCTCTTTTCCAACTTAATCCGTCCTTTGTCAACTATTATTGCCTACAAAGGAAGGTGACGACCAGGGATGAATGAGTAACACATGTCCTAACCATCTCAATAGGTGTAACTTCACAACCTTGTCTACTGATTTCGTCAAAACCAGAACCAGTTAGCAAACGCCAAGAACCAGGGAGCAGTGAACATCCGTTTCGTTCTAGTCTGGGACTCTTTATCAGTGCTTATGCACCAGGGATGCTACCACGGGCCTTCAGGTTATGAGACCAAGCTCGTTAACTATTCACTCACCCATCGCCTACCAACACCAGTTAGAGATCATTGAAAAACAGGGAGTACTAGGCGGTTGTTTCGTTAGAATTCATATGTCGTTGGATTCCAACCTAAGTGACCAAGTAGTCAAACCGCTTGACCTCGTAACCTGCAGGCCCCGGGTTCGATCCCTAGTAGGGTCATGGGTGAGCACCACTGAAGACTCCCAGACTATAGCGAAATAGATGCCCAGTGCTCCTTGGTCCTCGATGATCACTAACTGTTGCTGGTTCCTGACAAAATCTACACTGAAAAACGGGGAAATTGAAATTCCCTTATGGTTCCAACTCACAGTTTATCTTTATCAGAACTTTAAAAACTACTCTCAAAAATATTTCTTATCTCTATACCGATTACTCTCAAACCCAAACTACTGCTCCCTGTTCCGTTTTGATTACGATATTGATATCTGTTACATTTTTATAAGACCAACCTAAACTCTATTTTACCCAACTGTAATCCAGCTAATATCAATCTTCTGGGATAAAAAGTGACACTGAATGAACGATCGCCAACCATTTCATTTGATACAATCTAACAAACTTATATATTATATTATCCTACCCGTCCAATACTGCAAGCCGAATAAAACCATTATTTATTTGTGAACATATCGAACCCAACAACTGCTGATAGTACGCTTCTAGTTAAAACATATAACCTCTTTATTTTGTCCAAAATCAATGACCATATCATAACAACATACTATGACGCTAAGAACGGCCATGTATCGAAATTCACCTTTATTGGCCAATCATACACTTGAAATACAAATTATATAGAATACATACACACTATGTTAAAGAATCACCAGAATCAACCTTTAAATTTGCTAACAAGCAAGATAAAAATGGTCCAATGAGTTCTTGACAAACTTTTATATCACCATCGATATGGGGGGGGGTTAAAGCATGTGGCTACGCGGTCACAGACTTTACCAATTAAGTCCTATTCACTGCCTTTACGCAACGAGGGTGTTTCTTGCAGAAATAAAAGGGTAAATGTGAACGTCTGGCGCCTACGACCTAGGGGAGTTGCAAAACCCTGATTCCAAACTTGTGATGTATACGGGCTGTGGAGTCCGAACAGATCAAATGATATATGAACCTACTTTGATCATCAGCAACCATGGGAACGTAGCTTCTAACGCTACACCACTATAGTGTGGATCAAATTTCAAGTCAAAAACTAGGGTGGCTTCTTAAGACAACTAACTTCTTCGGTCCTAGTGTTCGGGCAGTATCCCAGCCCTCTCACAAACTATGAGACTTTGTATGGCGCATTTTTTGATACTTATAATATACGAAGTTTGTGTTTTAATAAATAATATAGAAGGATCAGCATAATACCGAAACTAAGTGAAAAGATAAAGGTAGATGAGATGGCAGTGGTAACGAAATGTGCACAAAAGTATACAGTACAAATATCCTGTGAACAGTTTAGAGAACAATGCAAACATGTTATTTTGAAAACAGATTTTACCATAGCTAAATGAAGACAATAGTGTGTTTATCCTAAATTTATTTTACCCAGGTAATTACATCGACAGATTAAGAAACCATCGATAATAATATTATGTTTATCCATGTGAATAGATAGCAAAATAACCAGTTATAAGAGTAACAAAATTAATACTAATAATACTAGTGTGATTGTCAAAAGAACCTTTAGAGTTGTTCTATTTCTACCGTCATATTTTAGCCTACCATAAACAGACCACATTAAACAGTTATGTTCCATAGTTCGAATGTAAACTTGAATGTATTAACATATAACATCATAGAAACATCAGAAACAAGTATCTAAAGTTCAATCTCATTTTTTTCTAGTATTTAAGACTGATTAATGAACAAAGAATATTCTTATCAATAAATTCGTCATCAGGTACTACACCTTTTTATGACCATAATAATTAAAGACAAATTTGTTAGTCACAGCATTGTTCTAAATTATATTCAATCAATATTATCGCCAGATTACAGTTCGAAGGTATCAGTGAGAGACGATATGTATTAACATAACATTGAGCTAAATATCAGATAAATTAAGAGAAGTAACACAGAATTTATAGGTTGGACAGTAGGTCAGGCTAGTAATAGTGGTTGATTGGCACTGTTTCTTTTGCACGCAGACCTCCGGTTGATTTAAACGAGCTGCAAAAGCCTCTATTGTTTAGAATGTTTGGTATCTAGAGGTCCTTGGTAATTTATTCGATACCTGATAGATGATAGAAGAAGACCCTTTAGTGTTAACTTTGTGGCTTGTTTGGATGATGTGATCTAATACAGAGCAAAGGCCAATTAAAATTGGCTTCACAGAAGCAGTTAAATTGATTGATACAATTATTTTTGATTTTTGATTATAGCTTGATTCCACACCGTGTTTTTTGTACAAGTATGAAATTTTCAGCATGTGATACCGGCAGCCCAAATTTTGCAGGTCGATCATTGATATCAGGTGTGAGTCGGCAGCAGATCGAAACCCGGACCATGTGCATAGTCGGAGAGAGTCATAACCGCTGTGCCACCGACGCACAGGCCAAGGTACTTTGTCTTTTAGCTTCGGAATTAAAAAAATTGTACGGAAAGTATAAGCTGCAGCTTGCTGGCATTAAACGTTCTTTGAGTCAACTTTCTCAACTTGTTGGTTATTATTTCACTTGGTATATCACCTTTGAATTGCAGTCGTATATGCAGAAGAATCCTTTCCCACTCTCTTGGCCATGTGTTTCGTGATGAACTTTTGAGGGTGACTGCTTTCAATTAACGTGTTGTATACAACCCTCAGTTCGTCTCCAATATAGGAATAGAACTTGTGCACTGTGGTAGAGTATAATCCCATTGTGGATAAAATTTATTTTGTTTAAGTCTCACAGTATTATACAGTAATATTTACTGATGACTAAGTTTCGAGCACAATTCATTGCCGCTCATAATCATATCAAGGTACTCACACAACTATCTAACTTCGTTTATATAATTCCATTATATCTCATCACTTGACTTGATTGGTAGTAATATTTTCCATATTTCCGGTATGAGTGATGAGTCATTACTATTGCACGTGTTTGGTGTAGATTCTATCAACAAAGATTCAGTAATCAACTTCACTCTCCACCTATCTATATTACTTCATAAAATCTTAATCCTCTCCTACCCTATTGTGTGCTTGTGTGTTAACGCATACAGTGCGATTGCTGAGTGCTTTTTTCTCAATCACTTATCTTCGCGGGATCAACAATTTTAACCTTAGCTATATTCTGATGTTCTGTCTACTCCTGATCCACTAGTTTCATTTAAGTAGTTGACCTAACTCACAGACACTGTAAGGTATTTTTTAAATTATATTATTTTGTTTAATTGGGTCCACCGGGTCCTTTAACCTACAGAGCTTGTCCTACCTGAGTGAGTTTGTAGGTTTGAAAGCCACCCTAATTCCTGCTTTATTAAGAATCCTATGTAGGGTTTCAGATGTCCTCTCTTTATATGGTATAACTGTAGATGCCTTATATTCCCTCTTATTTATGCTATTACTACTAGTTTCACAATTATTTTTTATTTTGCTTTTCGCCTTTTCTGATCTTCCCAGTGAATTTTCGCAGGATAGTTATTTGATGTACTCGTCGTCAAATTATTGTTATGTACTGGTCGAGAATTTAATAGTCCTGACGCAAGAAAGACGGAAATCAGAAGACCACTAGGTTTGCGATGATACTTCTATTTTCCAAACACAAGGAGAATCAATGTCACACAAGAGTGTGAGGGCAAATATATATATGAATGTCCGAACAAGTGTGTGAACAATCAGTAGACAGTCTTAACATGATTGGCTAATTGTAATGGAGTATCAATCCATATATACATAGCAAAATATAGCAGACATGTCAACAAACACACATATTGTATGGATATATATCACCAAGGTCAGACTGTCAAACAAAACACACATATTATATAGATATATATCATACTAGTTTCACAATTATTTTTTATTTTGCTTTTCGCCTTTTCTGATCTTCCTAGTGAATTTTCGCAGGATAGTTATTTGATACCAATGCTTCTTCTATCTGTTTTATTTCATCATTTGGGTCTTTTCTTGCACTACTTAATGCTACTACTCGATTTGTTAGTGATATGTATCCACATATATATATTTATGTGTGTGTATATTGGTCTCTCTTTCTGTTTGCTCTCTTAGTCTGTGACCATTTCACTGGTATGAACTTGTCTCCTTTATCAATGTATATTCTCCTTATATTATATATAATATGAGTGTTTGTTGACAGTTTGTTGCTTGGTGACATATATCCATATATGGTTGTTGACATGTCTGCTATATTCGCTATGTATATTTGGATCGACACTCCATTATAATTAGCCATTCATGTTAAGACTGTCTAATGATTTGTTCCCACGCTTTGTCTGGAACATTCATATATATTTCGCATTCACAACCTTGTGACTTTACTTTACTTACCACTTTGGTGTAAGACCATTTATTTTCGTCTCCTTGTGTTTGGACAATAGAAGTATCATCGCAAACCTAGTGGTCTTCTGATTTCCGCCTTCTCGCGTCAGGACTATTAATTTCTCGACCAGTCCATAACAATAATTTAGCGACGAGTACATAACAGTTAGACACTTAACTAAGCCTGCCTTAACAGTTAACGGATGAGATGAATTAAAGTCTAAATATCTATTAGAAGGTGTTGGCTTTTTATAAAAGCTAGTGTGCCTGTTCAGTAGCACACTTATAAGTAATTTCTGTATCAGTGACTACTTATCTCAGCCGTTATCTTTAAACGTCGAGTGATCAAAAATCTTTCTCATCATCATTCTAGCTTCTATGTAAAGTTGGTGAATTTTAAAAGCTCTACCAATGAAATCGAAAGAATAGGCAGCAACAAAACTATCAGAATCCCAACACCAATTGGAATACATGCATAGCTGTAAACAATAATACATTACAAATAATCTTAAATGATAACAATTTACATCATTTATCACAATTTTACGTATTGGTTAATTTTTTATAGTATTGCAGAGCAGGTCACCTCTTTCATTTATCTAGGCAGCATCGCGTCAACAATACAAATGGTGGCACCGATTGGGATGTTAAAGTCAGTCAGTATCGGAAAGGTATGACAGACTTTTATCATTTTGAAATCGGTGTAGAAATCTGTTAAATTTAACAGAAGGAACAAAATCCAGATCTTCAACACGAATTTCGAACCAGTGTCACCAAAAGCATTTCCAACAGTCTGTCGTTGACTCGATACTGAAGAGACTAGATGGCCAGGAAGTATTAGCAACAAAGAATTACAGTTATTAATACGGTGTATTATTTCAAATAAACTTACCTAGTAAGAAATTACATTCTACCACAGTGCCCATGTTCTACGCTTACATTAAGGAGCTCCGGTAATAAATCAACCTAGAACCCACTGCCTAACAAATATACCGAATGAAATGAAGGTGGATCGGACACAGGTTTAAGAAACTGTTGAGTGACATCACGCGCCATAGCCTTGATTGGAACTCCAATGGGAAAAGGAGTTAAAATGACGTGCAGAACATTATGTGTGGGTGAGGAAATGAGAGCTTATGGCCAATCGTTGAGTCAGTTAAAAGAGACCGAAGAGAACAGAGTGAAAAAGCTATGTGCCGTTGAAGCCCTCCCTATATTACACGTGAAACCCAAAGGAATAATAATATAAAAGTCATCAAAATGCCAAAATAGTCATGACTTTAACGATTCATTCAAGTATTAATATTTGTGATATAACAGCTATGGTAAAGCAAGTAGATACATGAAAGGCTAACAAGAGAGAGAAACAAGTATAGAGAAAAAAAGGTGAATTATGGCTAATGTTATGCATGAAAATATAGTTGATAACAAGTTGTAAGAAACTCAGGTTTAAACTATTTCTGATAGAAACACGACTTGATTTACATAATATACTTTTAACCTACACCGCAACCTTAGACATAATTCCTCTACAATTCTGCTGTATATGAGAGCTGTTTTAAATACATTAGAGCTCGATATGATTCCTAAAAACGCTTTATTCCTACAAATTCAGTTCTCCTGGGATAACACCAGCAAGATATTCATACAGTGACTTAGGAATGCGGTAAAAAGAGTAACCATGCTGCTGAATTACGATATGTCTTCAAAACAACCCTTAATTTGCGTTCGGCAGTAAAAGATAAACTGCCTAATTTCACCTCTTCTATGTGTATCTAACAATTTAACTGCTTCTATGCAGTCAGTTACAAAAGCCGTACAATTACGCGTGTTTCTCGTCAGATTTCCGAATATCAACCTGCGTGGTTAAGTAAACGACAAACAAAATCTATTCATAGCGCTATTCTATCTCATCTCGTGGTTACAGAACACAAGATTGATGTTAACGAGGCGACTTTCAGAGTCATCGACCGCATACCAATCAATATAAATTCACCTTGCGAGTTTGTCTACTACATATTGCAGAGGCTGTTGGGATCCACATTAAGAAACCTAACTTATGTATCTTAAAGAAGCTGGTTCAGACATTGTCCTAATCTTGGCCATCAAGGTTCTAATGATCCTTAATTTGTTGTGGAAATTTCCTTAATTTGATTTGATATTCCACTTAATATTACATTTTTATGCTTATTATAACTTACGCATCTTTCGTGAACTGTAATTCTATTGATCTAACCATTGATCGACAGTATTTAAAAACACTAATACTTTTAGTGACGACTATTCTAGAATATTCTATGTATATAAACATATATATATATATAAATGTAGAGCCAGAAGAGGAAATTTTCGAAAAGGATACTCTTTGCTCATCTTTTTGTTTATATTTCTAGATGTCTGAAAGAGTATTTTCGCTATACTGAAATCTTCCGATTATTGTATAGAATTTCAGTTCATGAAGTCTTAGACAGTCAATTGGAGCTGTGAAGGTCTAGACTGGTTTGGTCTACATCCGCCGAACGCAAAGAATCAATGGCTGAAGACTGTTGGTGGTATGAACCAAAACCATTCTCAGTGGTGCAGACGCATTCCAATCTTTGTAACCTACTAGATCCATTAAACCCATGTGTTTTTCCATGTTACTTATTCTTTCATCCGTACACTTCTGCTCATATTGTCCTTTTGAACTTCTGTTCTCTCTCTCTCTCTCTCTCTCTATATATATATATATATATATATATATATATATATTGAGAAGGATATTCTTTTCCCAATTATTTTTATCCTAGATGTCTGAATGAATGATTATTAGAACAAATAAAATGATCCACTTACAGTAGAATTAGCATTAAGCACACTAGATGGTAAAGTCAAAGCTGTTTTTCTTAATACTGGAGAAGAAACTGATGGATCGTCATTACTGTATCTAACACAGGCTTTCTGAAGAGATTGCACACGATTCTTTGATGATTGTATTCCTTGACTGATGGATACATTCGACAGATGAAAATTATGATCATTATTTGAATAGGATAATTCTAATTGAGCATTATAGCATAAGCGTAGTGCAAATAGAAAACAACGCTTTGCACGAATAACTGAAGCAATATCATGCCCACGTAGAATAACAGTTGCTTCATGGGTAATATAACGAATAGGACTTGTAGGTGTGTTAGTCTCAGACGGATTTGGAGCTATACCAGATTCGCCTGAATTATTTTCAATGAAGGTTAAGAATTTTGTCGAATCTTTAGAAAAGAAAGGGAAAGAAAAGAGGGAAGAGCATAAAAAATAAAAGATTTATTCAATGGGACTGCGAACAAATAATTAATTAATGGTTACCTGCTAAGCATCACTAATTGTTTTGGTCTATCATCATGCCATCTGCCTTCCTAGTGATTTAATAGTTTAACGCTGAATGATGTCCATGATTAAATGAAAACACAATTTACAGTAATTTGAAGGAAACAACCTTAGGACAAGAAGTAAAACCTGAATCAACCTATTGGATTGATTTGTTTAAACGCATCTGATTTGTGGTAGGTAGATAACCGAACGAAAACGGAATTTTCATCAACAGATTATATGATGTACAATTAAGATATTCGTGCTTTTCGATACCAATCAAGCAAGCAATAAAACTATTGGTATGTATCCATATATATATATATATCACAAAGAACAGACGGAATAGGTAAAAGACTTTAAGTCAAATAAAAAGATCTTGCGAGTGTCACTTCCAATTTAATCTTATTATATATCATTGCCCTGTGTTCCTCGTGGAAAATGGAGTGTGGTAATTTGAGCGGCTTCACATCCGTCCAAAATCCTATGGTGAAACTTCCGTCTTAAACCTACTGGAAGTAATACTTCACGTCTGTACGGTCTGCCCAAAATACATAAACCAGGACTTCCTCTTCGTCCAGTCCTGGATATGTCAAACTCTACCTACCATGGAGTGGCAAAGTGGCTAGGTGAACTCCTCCAACCATTACACAAGATGGTAGTAAATCATAGTGTTAAAGATGTTTTTGAATTTATTGCTAACGTGGATGATATTAATGTAAATGGAAAGCAAATGCTTTCCCTCGATGTAGCATCACTGTTTACCAATGTACCACTTATGGAGACTGTGGAATTCATATGCCAACAGATACTAGAAAAACAGATCGACATCGGAATACCGGTTAGTAGTCTGAAAGAGTTGCTTTTAAGATGTACTATGAATGTACATTTCATATTTAACAACCTTTACTACAGGCAAATCGACGGTATTGCCATGGGTTCTCCGTTGGGGCCAATTTTAGCAGATTTCTTTCTTGCCAAGATTGAAAATGGTCCATTGAAAAAAGTAATAGAAAAAGCTGATTCTTATTTTCGTTATGTTGATGATACCTTTATTATTCTTGATGTGAAAGCTGACAAGAATGAAATGTTAAAAAAGTTTAACGATGCACATCCATCGCTTATCTTCACTTGTGAAGAAGAATATGATGGTGGACTACATTTTCTTGACGTCCAATTGAGCAGAAGAGAGGATGGTTCACTAAAGAGAGATGTCTATAGAAAACCTACATCTGTAGGACAATATACACATTTCCTCAGTTATGTACCAATCCGTTACAAAATCAATTTGGTCAGATGCCTGACGAATAGAGCAAGACGCATCTGTACAGATGACTCTCTAGAGAATGAGCTAGGATACATCCAAAATACGTTAGTCCAAATGGGTTATCCTAGTAGATTTGTCAGGAGACACATGAATGCTAAGTACAATAAAGAGAAACCGATAACAGTTAAAAAGAAACAACTGTTCATCAAACTGCAATTTAATGGGGACGTGGCTAGTGAAGTCTTACATCAGAGATTATCGAGAGCGATAAAACGGACTTATACTGCCGCCACCCTCTGTTTGTCATTTTCCAGCCGGCCAATTTTGATTGCTCAAGTGAAAGATAAGTTACCTAGTTGTGCCACTTCCATGTGTATCTATAAATTTAGTTGCTCCTGTGGAGAAAGCTATATAGGCCGAACAACTAGACAGCTTAACAAACGCATTAATGAGCATCTTCCTTCATGGTTCGGAAAAGGTCAAATAAAGTCCATACGAAGTTCTATTTTGGCTCATTTGATTGATAGTGGTCACCAAGTGGACAAAAATAGTGCTTTCAAAGTTATTTACCGCATTCCATCAAGTCTTTCGAACGGAATCAGAACCCGTCTTTTACACTTAGCCGAAGCTATGGGAATTCGAGAGAACAATCCTAGTCTTTGTATACAAAAGAAATTTGTTCTACCTTTGTCTCTCCCTTGGCCTAGGTGAATTCTATTCAAAACCCTCCCACCCTTTCTTATCATCCCTCTCCTTCGTACTTTTATGATATTTATTTAAACTCTGATTATCGTTCCATTTGATTTGACCTAATTTATTTATTTATTGAATTGTCTACATATATGCATATACTAACTTTGTTATTCTTATCACCTATATAAGCCTTATTAACAATATTTTGTTATTATTATAATCATCGTTATTAACTTCGTTCAAAACATTTACCACATTATTATTACTATTATTATTATGATTATTGTTATTATTATGATTACTATTATTATTTGATCCACTAAATCACCGTCATTGGTTAAAATTTTATATATATAAGTCTATGTAAATTAGAGTAAAGCCTGAAGAAGATCTAATTGAAAACAATATTGTTCGCTTATATGTCTTGTTCTGATAATATTACACACAAAGACTTCAGTTCCTATACAAAGAAGTAAAGTGTCATTCCCTAAAATATATTTCAGCAAACCATATACCAGACAATTCTACAACTGAATTTTGTTAAGACAGCCGCATTCATGAGTTCCGTTCAGCGTTGCAAACATTATCCAATATCTCCATCAAAGTGAATAATACAATTAAAGGCAGTAAAATAATTTGGTCAATCGTGATTAGCGGTGGAAACAAAAATGCACATTTCTTTTTATCAGGGACTCATCACCAGGATGTATCTGCATTCTCCACTGAGTGATATTGTTCCCACTGTGACTCGAACCCAGCACCCATAGTTTCAAACACTAAAGCATCCACACTAGAAGCTGATCTGTCAACAGAGGTTGAAAATACTTTGACTGGACACTAGTCAGTAACTAGTGTGATGTGTCTAGTCCTTTATTTGGTGCAGACTGAATTCTATCAGTCAGGTTTGCAGTGTGGTCACCATTCTAGGTAGCTCGTCATCACGGTGCACATTGATTTGATGATATTAGATGGTTGGAGTCAATCGTCCATAGGAAGCCTTGGACCTATATAGAATTGCGTCTGTACCAAAGATAGGACTAGATACATCACACTAGATACTAGTGTTCAGTCAAAGTATCCACTACAGTCCTACAAGAGGTCATTCGCGAGCCCGAATAGCTCAGTGGTAACGTCTCTGACTGCAGCACTCACTGGGTGACGCGGGTTCGTATCTCAGAAGGGACATGAGTTCCTTCAAGGTTGCAGATACGCCTTGCTGACTGGTGAGTGCTAACTAGCACAAAACCTAGGTCCAAGGTTTCCTGTGGTCGATTGCCTCCAACCATCTAACAGAGGTTGAACATTTCAGCTCAATCATCCAGCTGGAAAAATAAAACTGATTTAAACAAATAAAGGTGATAAAAATAATATCCTTTATTCATGTTATTAAGGGGAAGAATATAGACCAAATAAACGAATTTTTCATCTACTGTAAAGTGCATCAGACTTCACTCTTTTTTCTCCAGTTGTCAGTTCTGGACTTCTATTCACAATTAACACAATTAATATGTTACGGATTTCAGAAAACTTTCTTCCTTTAGTAATAATAAGTTAATCCTCAACTGAATAATCACGAAAATCAATGGTTGAAAAATAGATTTAGCTTACTATCTGGTAAATGTATTTGTTTCACTTCAAAATGATGACATACACCAAGACGTGTCGATGATTTTTGAAGGTTGTTATCCGATTTCCTTGCAGGATTACCCATTAAACGATCAACAGAATCTAAGATATCTGCACCTGTCATTCGAGCAATACGATATAACACTGACTACAAATGTAGAAATAAAAGGATAAATACGGGGGAAAAAAAGTAAGTAAAATGTCTCAATGGAGAATCGAAAGCAGTTAAAGAACTATAGAAATCCAAGGAGTATCACACATCCATTTCACACACAGACACCCGCCAGTTTAGCACTCTTTAGCGATGTACTCGAAGAATCAAACCCTAAAGTACTCGGTTTTTGCGTGAGTCCACCAACGTTCATTTAAACCGGTAGTTTGAAGTCCAGCTGTCGTAAACTTTTAGACTATTCTATCTATCAATGCTTAAATATTCACCAAAACTAAGATAACTTAAGATCAGTCTTTGTTTCGCGTCTATATAACTTTATTCGTGAAAAATGCAGCAGAACTTATAAGTTGTACCTGATACCAAAGCCAGACCGGTTGACAGAATCTAAAGGCGTAAATCACAACAGTGCCCTGCAACCAGACAAAGCCAATAGTGGGTGGATTTCAAATACCAGTTGAAACCCGTAACAAAACATTTTGGATGATATAATAACATCAATAAAGCCTAAGAAATATTTGCGCAATCACTTATCATTACAACCTGTACTTTAAAAATAAAGCTGACCAAAATATATAAAAATGGAGATTTTTACCACCTTGGATGCTAGGAGTCAGTGTGCAAAAAATCCCTGGGCCTAGACTTTTAGCCATGTTTCAAATTCGCGGTTTAATCAGGTCGAAAAGTAGCAACTTTTTATTACTTAGCTATTCAGGTAACAGCCGCTTTCGTGTATAAACGAGTAGCACACGGGAGTAGGTGACTGCATGTTAACGATTATAGATACACCTTAGTTTAAATACTAGTGAGAATGTATCAAACACTGACATATAAACAGACAAACAATGGATTATCCTTGACTAGTGATACGGTGATTAAAATCAGTCCGGAAATAAACCAATCAGAATTGGACTATGCAAGATTATTACCAGTATTATTCCCATGGGTTCCGAATGGAACATAAGGTTTCAACAAGACATCTCCACTTTCTCCTATTTTCTGTCATCCTCTTTAGCTAGGTCCACGACCGCCCATAATCTCTCATCTCTTCCTCACATGATCTCCTCCATGTCAACCTCGATGTGATGACCCACTCGTCGCTTCCCATTTGGATTCCACTCGAGTGATGGCCTGGCGCACGATGTCATTCAACGGTCTCCTCAATGTATGCCCGATTCATCTCCATTTTATCCTACATATTTGTTGAGCTATCGGCTGTTGGTTGGTTTGTTCCCAGCGAGGGTTTCTTGTTACTAATTCTTTCTGGCCGGCCGGCCATTTGATTTTCAGTATGGAGTCAGAGAAGGCAGATGTTGATTAAAGTCTGCACTGGCCTGTTGGAAATCCTTTTCGTGACACGCAGTGCAAGTTTTTGACTCATACAGAAGTGCCGACTTGACATAGATGTTGAAAATCCGAATTTTGTTCATTATGCTGACTGAGTTAATGTAGAAGATTTCCAAACTGGTTTCAGATTGATGAAGGCGTATCTTGCCTTTCCGATTCTGGTATAATGACAGAAGACAAAGGCCATGCAACAGATAGTTTATTGAGAAAATCAAGAGATATTTATAGATTTTTATGTACATTATTATTCGTTTTTGTTAGCAAAGAAGCAACATCTTCTGACTGGTTATTTTCTTGCTGAAGGTTATTCTGCACTGCTTGTGACCGTTTCTTAGAAAGTTAAGCCATATATCTACGAATCATATTTGCACACGTTAAGTCTGCTGGGATTGATTGCTGAGTTCCTCAAGGTTGAGCCATGTTATTGCTTTTCTCATGACTCCGACTCCGGATATAAACACTGACGTAACTTGTTGTGTACAGTTTTGACTCGCAGATAGCTCTCACCACACTGGCCTGCTTGACACCTTCATTCGTACCGCCTATAGTTGAAACGATGCTTCCTACACAAGTGAAGGAGGTAACCTCCGTTAAATCTTACCCTTTGATGGTAATTGGTGCTGGTTGTTGTTGCAGTTCGTTGGTTATCTTCATCACCTACACAAAATAACGCCCACAATTTTATTGATTATGACTATAAACTAATTGACATAGCCTTGGTGATTTTTCGAATCATACATTAATTCTGCAAAAATCTACTGTGGCCGATACTGGAATATACTTTTCGGCTCACATCGTTGTTTGTTCTCCGTTAAGTAGAGCGGGCTAGGGAACAGGTAACTGTCGTAAAATATTGTCAGCGTAGTCAAGTGGTATTCATGATTAACACATTAGTGTTCGAATTCTACGTCCCTATTCCATTTGAAATAAGATTACAAAACTAAGCAGCGCAACACGGTTACACTAGATCACATTCGATGACTGATTTGTTTAGACCTTCGTGCGTGTTCTTGGAAAATTCCACTCATAAAATGACAAGCAATAAAAGTCATTACTTTTATAAAATATCCAACCACTAAACATAAATATATGTATATGCAGGTTTTATTTGATATAGAATATTCCATGACTTACTTGTTTTACATTAGAAAATAAGATAATTCCTGATTTGAAAATAAAATTCTGTGCTATATGACAAACAGTTCCACTAACAAATATGATGTTTGGATGTAAACAAAGTATTTTACATACACAGTTGGTGATATATTCTTCTTCCTGTAAGAAATCGTAGAAAATTCAATGATTGAGAGATGACATTAAAGAGAGAGAGAAGAAAGCAATATATGTGATAAACACAAATACTCAGTCAACCGAAAATTAATAGAAAATTTAATTTATACGAGCTTGACCGTGGGTTGACATCATTTAGAGAAGCATTGAAAACCAGCAGGGAGTACTGGACAGCCAACTGTTTCATCTTGGTTTGGGAGTCATCGGCAGTACTCACCTACCACATGGGGTTCGAACCCAGGACCTTCCGGTTACAAGGCAAGCTCATATACCATTTCGCCACTGAGACCCGACTTAATGGTCAGTTTATGAATTCTAAAGTCTAACAATTCAAGATTAAATGCGACCGCCAACCAATGTCATCGGTGGAACATCCATTCTCTTGACTGGTCACGACTTCTCTCCAGAAGACATGAGAGTGGAAGACATGAAAAGATTAGCTGTCTTTGATCATAGGTGCCTGCGTTCTATCTCCCGTGTGAAGTGGTATGATAAGATGAGCAATATTGAGGTTAGGCTTCGATCGAGTGCTAGGTAAGGAGGGGAAATCAATCGACGAGGCTGTAAAATTACATCGACTGAGATGGTTAGGACATGTGTTATGTATGCCTAGTCATCGCCCTCCTCGACGGACAATGTTAGCTGATATAGGATCAGGCTGGAAAAGAGCTAGCGGAGGTCAAACAAAAACATGGCGCCAGTCAATGAAATCTACAACAGTTGGTCTAAGCCACGTAGGAAGGTGTGGACTTCCTGGTTGGGGTCCTCGGGACGGTAAAAACAAATGGTTGGAAACAATTGTTGATATGGCTAGCTGAAAATCGTTCTCAGTGGCGCAGATGCATTCACTCCCTGTAACTTATGATTTCCAATGAAACTATATTATTCTTCGTTATTACTATTCCTTTGTCTCACATCTCTGTTTACTGTCTATATTATGCATTTCTTCTACTGTATTCTGTTGCTTTGTGCGCTACAAGGAGGGAGTGTGGCGACTTGAACTTCCGCACATCAGTGCAAAGTTCTATGTCGAAAACAAACAGACAGACACCAGAACTCCAGCAAACTCTGTCCTGTAGAAAGTCACTATCGAGCATCAGATTGATTCTCAAGAGTTGATTTGTAAGGAATAGATTTGCTTATACTGGGTTAGAACCCCAGTGGGTACGCACTACCGATGATTCCCAAACTAGAATGAAACAGCTGTCCAGTACTCCCTGATTGATTTTCAATGGTTCTCTAACTGATATCAAAACGTGATCGCACTCGTATAAACAAATTTAATCCTTACAACAAACCAAACTCTTGAAAAGAAAATTTAACTGTTTGGTGTTATCAAAGCTTTGAAATTATCCACTGCATACCTGCATAATCTGAGACTCCAACCATGCCATTTTAGAAGTTGTCCTTTGATAACTTATAGATGAATCTAGAAGAAGTATTCGTGGATTATTCAAAACTGTTGGCATTAATTTATGAGTTGGACGTTGAGAAAAAATAGTACCAGAGAATATATTTGAATTGTTCATATCTTTATCTAAGAGCTAGAAGGAAATCATAATAAAAAAGGGAGACACAAATAACTTACAATAATGAATGACACAAAATCAATATGATAATATAAATGCTCAAGACTAGTACTAATTAGGGGAGCATACAAGACACTAAGGCTTCATAGATTTCAAGATATCAGACAATAATTGTTGTGGAATTTGATGAGTTTGCGATTTTCCTTTATCACTTGCAACAGAATAGTTTGCTTGACGGTTTAACCCCCTTCGATAATTGAGCAAAGAATATCCTTTTCCTCTTCTGGCTCTACAATTATATGTACATATATGTTCATACACATGGAATGTTCTAGAATAGTCGTCAATAACACTATTGGTATTTTTAAATAATAAGCTGCCTAATTTCGCCTCTTCTATGTGTATCTAACAATTTAACTGCTTCTATGCAGTCAGTTACAAAAGCCGTACAATTACGCGTGTTTCTCGTCAGATTTCCGAATATCAACCTGCGTGGTTAAGTAAACGACAAACAAAATATATTCATAGCGCTATTCTATCTCATCTCGTGGTTACAGAACACAAGATTGATGTTAACGAGGCGACTTTCAGAGTCATCGACCGCATACCAATCAATATAAATTCACCTTGCGAGTTTGTCTACTACATATTGCAGAGGCTGTTGGGATCCACATTAAGAAACCTAACTTATGTATCTTAAAGAAGCTGGTTCAGACATTGTCCTAATCTTGGCCATCAAGGTTCTAATGATCCTTAATTTGTTGTGGAAATTTCCTTAATTTGATTTGATATTCCACTTAATATTACATTTTTATGCTTATTATAACTTACGCATCTTTCGTGAACTGTAATTCTATTGATCTAACCATTGATCGACAGTATTTAAAAACACTAATACTTTTAGTGACGACTATTCTAGAATATTCTATGTATATAAACATATATATATATATATAAATGTAGAGCCAGAAGAGGAAATTTTCGAAAAGGATACTCTTTGCTCATCTTTTTGTTAATATTTCTAGATGTCTGAAAGAGTATTTTCACTATATTGAAATCGCCAGATTATTGTATAGAATTTCAGTTCATGAGGTCTTCGACAGTTAATTCGAGCCTTCTAGGTCTAGACTAGCCTGGTCGAGATCCGCCTAATGCAAAGAACCAATGGCTGAAGACTGTTGGTGGTATAAGCCAAAACCATTTGCAATGGCGTAGTTGCATTTTAATCTTTGTAGTCTACTAGACCCATTAAGCCCATGTATTTTTCCATGCTACTTATTCTTTCAAGTATTAGTTTTGTAGGGATTTTGTTTGATTGTATGTCAGGTCGTGGTGAAATCCTCCATACTTATTCTTTCATCCATACACTTCTGCTCATTATTATTGCCCTCTTGAATTTCTGTTTTCTCTCTATATATTTGGAGCGTGGGAACTTGAACTGCCAGTCTTTTGTGAAAAGTTCTATTTTGCATCTCAGTTGGTCAAAGACTTTGAAATAAGTAATGGTATTCTAGATATTGAGCAAATCAGTTCTTCTTGTCCGATAATTTGATAACTTCTAATCATCGATCGTGGAAAAACAACATACATAAAAACGCGAGTGACAAATTTAACGCTGGTGAAGTTAGTTTTCCATAGATGTCAAAAATATAAGTGATGAAGGTTTTTCGTATGAGCTGACAATTAATTACTGAGATGTACACTTAATGTACAACTCATATTCAACGATGTTATTTACAGACAACAAGATGGGATTGCAATAGGATCTCCACTGGGCCTATTACTAGCAGTCTGTTTCATGGCAAACCTCGAGAATGGTTCACTCAAATCAACTATTGATAATTTCGAATTGTATGCTAGATATGTGGACGACATCTTAATTATCTGTGATGGTGGTCACGATCTTAATCAGTTACTACATATATTTAACAACTGCCATTCAGCTACAAAGTTTACTTTTGAAACAGAAAACAGATCTAAAATTCAGGATTTCGTCATGAGCTGACATTAGTTAGAGAACCATTGGAAAACCTGGGAGTACTGGACAGCTGCTTCGTCCTAGTTTCTGTCTGTCTGTCTGTTTTCGACATAGAACTTTGCACAAATGTGCGGAAGTTCAAGTCGCCACATTCCGTGTAGCACGCGAAGCAAGAGAAGAAAGTACAAGAAAAGCATAATAGAAACAGTGAGCAGAGGTGTGAGACAAAGGAGCAATAAAGAAATACAAAACAGTTTCATTGAAGATCATAAGTCCTAGTTTGGGACTCTTCAGTAGTACGCACCCACCGGGATTCGAACCCAGGACCTTCCGGTTACAAGGCGAGCTCGTATACCATTAAGCCACTTCGGCGAAGACATTGGATCGGGTCCCAGTGGCTTAATGGTATACGAGCTCGCCTTGTAACCGGAAGGTCCTGGGTTCGAATCCCGGTGGATGCGTACTGATGAAGAATCCCAAACTAGGACGAAGCAGCTGTCCAGTACTCCCAGGTTTTCCAATGGTTCTCTAACTAATGTCAGCTCATGACGAAATCCTGAAACCAATCAAATCCCTACAAACCAAAACTTGAAGATCTAAAATTCCTTTTCTTGATGTTGAACTTCCAAGGAGAGCAGACGGAATTTTAAGAAGGTTTATCATCCATAAGAAACCCAACATGGAACAGCCAACTGAAAAGCTTCTACAGGTGGTACCAATCAGTCGAAAAAGAAACCTAATTAGATCCCTTGCTACTCGCATCCGACGCATCTGCATCTCTGATACCCTGGAAGAAGAACTACACTTCTTGAAATAAATTTTCATACAAAAGGGTTATCCACAAGATTCATAGACAAAAACATCAAACAGAAAATCCAAAAGCAAGATACGCCATCCATGCCAAAAAAGACACTTTATATAAACCTCAACTTCAAAGGTGACCTACTCAGTCATGTCCTTATGAGGAGAATTTCCACTTCTTTAAGAAAAACTTTCTTCGCGGCAACACTGAGAGTAGTGTCCTCCAGTCGCCCGCTGATCTGTAGAAGCTCAAAGGACAAGATCTCACACCTGACCACTTCTATGTGCATATATCATTTCACCTGTTGCTGTGGAGTCAGGTACATCGATCGTTCGACGAGCATCCTGTCAAAAAGAGTCAAAGAATACTATCCAGAGTGGCTGCAGAAAGGAAGTAGTGGCCGTATAAGGAGTGCAATGATCGAACATCTCATCACCACTGGTCATTCCATCTCAACAAATGCCTCCTTCAAAGTGATCTATAAAGTGAAGAACAGCCTGCCAAAGACAATACGTTCCGGTATTCTTTGCACTGCAGAAGCCCTAGTCATTCAGTTAGAAGAATCAAAACTATACATACAACCACTTCTATTATCATGGCAACAATTCTGTTGATTTGACTTAACTTTTGCTTGTCTTTTCTAACTATTTAAAACGCTTGCGTAATTCCGTATTTTATTTTGTTTTCATATACACCCTGAGCAGAACTCCTTCACCAAACTCTTCTTTAACAATCGTTTGTGACAACTCGTCACTTTTGTTACTACCCTCTTATATCAATATTCAATTCCTCTGAACGCCTTTTGTATTACGCAACTCCACCAAAACTTACTAATTGTATTTTCGTTTGACAAATTCAATGTACCCACATACAAAATAACCGTATATATTTGCCCTGTACAGCTGTGAAAATGAATTCGCCAAAAAGAGACTCTTCACTGAACTAATGGTCTTCTCTCTATTAATGCATTTTTGCCTCTGAAGAGTTAAATTCTCTCCTTCACGTTCCCCAGTAGAACATAGGGCTTCAATCTAGTGGCTTGAAGTTTCTGTAGCAGTGTTTATTTTACAGGATGAGGTTGCTAGCCTCATGCCCAACCTTTCCTCTTTACCAGAATTATTTCTGGCTTAGTGAGGCAAAGGAGTGTGTTGGCCGGGGATCGAGCCCCGGACCATGTGCATGGTCGGCGAGCCTCTTAACCATTGTGCTACCGACGCGTTAAATGCTCTGTTATAATATATTTCATAACCATGGTACTCAATTATTTTCAAATTTTAAGATAAATAAATACCTCATTACTGCAATTTACATGATCCGACACCAGCGTATAAACATACCTTTTTAATATGTACATAATATCGGATATCCATTGGTGAATAAGAATTTTGTTTACGAGAAAGATTAGAATTTGCCGGACTATTTTGTACCGCGTTATTGTTTGCCGCAGCTTCATTAGACGTTGAATGTGCCTGTTTTTGCTGTTGTTGCCGGTTAAACTGAAAGTAACGCATACCAGTGGATCGTAAATCAAAGCGAACAGTATGACAGACATCCCAAGCCAAACGAATTAAAACTGGAACCCAATAAGGATCTAAAGCATTATCCCGAACATCTTGTAAAACCAACTGATATATATATTCATCGACTATACTTCTGATAATATAAGAAAAATATTTTGTTAAAACAACAGTGTCTTACAATAAATACGGGAAGAATATAAGCATTAAGTTTAACTATAAAGTGAAGTATATACTACACATTGATATGAGTAGTTGGGAATCCCTCACGCCAACTAGTAGTGCTTGCTAAGCAAATTAGAGTGAATTTGACCACCAAAAAGCCGTTCCGCAGGTTTGGAGCTTGGCTTAACTCATCTCAAATCAGTTCAAAACGTGACAGTTTTGGTAAGTGACTTAGGCTAACTGACTTGAGTGATTCCCAGACGTTCAATATCACTAAGTAGGACAAACCATTCTGCGACAACAATTGCTTTTTGTTTCCATTTAAAGTATCAAGCACATGACACACAGTGGTCTGAATACTTTGTGTTTCCGAGATGAAAAGAACCATGATGGATTTTTACCTCGAAGAGTGCAATTCGCATATGACGTATATTATGAACAGAGAGTTGTGTGAAACTACTTTACAAATAGGATTGCACTGATCAATGACAGCTAACACATGAGACACTTTTGTACAATCACTTCGATACTACCATAATTTCTCAATTCCATATAGATTTTTTGGCGGTGGTGAGCAGTGTAATTCACAGTTAAAACTCTGTTACCAGGATCATACTTTCAATCTACCAGGTTATAAGTCACACTTGGTGTATGATGGCTAGTAATACTACCATCCAGTGGCCCACTTCAAAGGTAATGGCGAAGGAGTCGAACCCGTGAACCACTAGTTGGAAGTCAAATGCTACAGTCAATGATCTGCATCACCACAATGAATTCCAGAACACTGACTTTATCCTTTTGGGGATATGTCAGCTAGATCTACGCACATCCGCATAAATGACAATATTTTCCCTAAAGCTAGGTACAGTGATAAAACTGACTACTTCAAGACAGATTCACCCCTACCACAGATCGACGACGTCAGATTTGTAGATAAAGTAAATCGATATTATAACTTCAAAAAGCGATCTTGTGAAACCATATCCTTCAAGTGCACTAGGATGCCTTTTAATGTATTGATGTCTTAAAGGAAACACAAAATCCTCACATTAAACAAACTCCCGGCGAACTTCGTTGATAAATTAGAGAACTGTACCAAATATGACCGAAAAATTACTGCGAAATCATAGTTTACCACAACAGAGAGAAAATCAAAAGGATTCTTTAAAAATGCAGTACAAGGGCCTTTCGCAACCCAACAATCCTCTATTTTGTGGACGCAGTCCATCGGATGTTTATTCCATTTGAAGATTTCTAGTCCTGTTTAGATCTTCATACGGGTTATAATTTTTTAATCTTTTTTAAATTTTCGATTATAGCTTGAAAACACAGCATTTTTGGTACAAGTATGGAATTTTCAGCATATGATATCGGTAGCTTAAATTTTGCAGGCCGACCATAGATATCAAGTGTGCGTCGGCAGGGGATCGAACGCCGGACCATATGCATGGTCGGCGAGAGTCCTAACCGCTGTGCTACCGACGCAGCGTCTTAGCTCACTTGAAGAATAAGGTTTCACAAGCTTTCTTTTCCAACTACATTTACAAAACAAAATGCTCAGACTATGGGACAGTAAACGTATGAAATAAAATCTAGAACCAATCTAGACAACAGTATATTAATGTGACCAAAAAGAATCCATCAAAACTCAAAAACCTAGAAAGAACTCTACATGCCGTTGTAATATCTGGTCACAAAATCGATTTTGATAACACTAAAACTATCTTTAAAATATAACGAAAATCTTAGCAGAGTCTCGACAAACAGAACAGAATCGATACTGTCTGAATAGGCATAGTAGGATTAAAGAAAACTTGGCCTAACTTCAATCCACACCCACCAATTGATTTTATCAACACATGTGTGACAAGAATTAAACCAAAATTGTACACAGTTAGATTTACTAGTCATGCCACTTATTACACCTAACATACATGCATGTGCGAATTCTTTGTCTTTTCAACTATCTAGCAACGTATGAGTATCCATGGTGGAGAACAGTGATGAATTTATCAAATGTAAACTTTGATAGTGTAAATTCCAAGTTGACTATCACCTTGATAAAGTGGTTAACACTAAGCATCAGAGACAGTACGGAAGAGAGTTTGGGAAAACTCACTTGATATTGTAAATATATTCTTGCTTGCTTATACGTGTAATACCATCAAGTTGTGTTGCAGCATTTGATTCCTGTCTGATAGCAGAAGTTAATTGTGAAATATATCGCCATTTCTTTGGTGATTCCGACCCCTCAAGATTGTAATCTCGCATTCGACTAACATCTTGTCCAACTTCAAAATTGGATGTAGTAGAATCATTATAAGGAACTATACGTTGAATATTTTGTAGGATAAAAAGGTGAAAACAATATTTAGTAAGTGAATTATTGATAAGTTAAATAATACATATAACATGGCCTGCTAATCTAGAAACGTTGTATCCCATCAAATAATCATATATTACCGACGGAAAAAATCTAACTTCATATCGGGTTAAAACCCGTATTTAGTTTCTATGGGGTTATGCTGTGGTGAGAGCTGGCTGCTAGCTAAATTTGTACACAGTAATTTACAGGCAGAACTGACGAGGATATCAAAGCCAGAATCGGAAAAGCAAGACAAGCTTTCATTACTCTTAAGTCTGTGTGGAGGTCAACATCACTCACCATCAAAAATAAGATCCGGATTTTCAAATACAATGTGAAGTCAGTGCTACTCACCATACGGATCAGAGACTTGGCGCGTCATGAAGAGCACCTCAAACAAACTACAGACCTTCATTCACGGGTGTCTTCGCTCAATACTCAAGATCAGATGGCTAGCTAGAAAAGATCAGCAACAGGGATCTCTGGCAATGAGCGAACCAACCAGGAACCCATTGTGAAACAAATAGGCAGGAAGAAATGGAGATGGATTGGCCATACGCTGAGGAAACCATCGAGTGACATCACTAGACAAGCTATCGCTCGAGTGGAACCCGAAAGGGAAGCGGTGAGTTGGTCGTCAGTACAAGGTGACTTGGAGGAGGTCATGTGAAGAGGAGATGAAAGCATGTGGGCAGACTTGGAGCGGGGTGAAAACGTTGGCAGAAAACAGAAGGCAATGGAGACGCGCAGCTGAAGCCCTATGTTCCTCTAGGAATTAAAGGAGATAATAATAATAATTTACATCAGTGTTTATGTCCACAATATTGGTCGTGAGAAAAATAAGAACAAAGACTGACACAACAACCAGCCACAGCAACTTTGCGTAGGCGGATACAGTTAGCGTATAGATGATCTGACATTAAAGAAACAGTAACAAAGAGATGAAAGATTAACTTTCAGTGAGAAACAACCAGTCAGAAGACTGTGTTTTTCTGCTATCAATAATCTATAATAATGTACATGAAAATCTATAAATATGTGTTGATTTCCATAATAAACGATCTGTTGACTGGCCCTTGTCTTCTGATGTTACAATGCTACAATAAGGTATCTAACATCTTGGGGATGCAATAACATTCAAATAGCTTAAATACTGACTAGTCAAGACTGACTGACTAAATTCAAGTCACCACACTCCATGTAGTACACCAAAGGTAGGGAAAAATAATCAAAAGAACTATAATGAGTGGAAATGTGTGGGAGAAAGAATAGTAACACGGAAAGGCATGACGGTTCAATAAATATGGATGATCACATACAGTCCTGCATGTGCACCATTGAGAACGATTTTGAGTCATATTACCGTAATCTCCCAGCTATTGGTTTTCAGCAACCCGAGGACCCAACTGGACTATGTAGAACGTCCTACGTGCCTCACAAACCAATTGTCAAGAAATTCATCTACTGAATTCAGATACAGGTTTGACCAACCTAATCATTTTCCAAACTAATCCTATATCAGCTAACATTGTTGGATGAAGAAGGCGATTGCTCGGTAGCGCAACATGTGTCCTGGCTATCTTAATCGATGTAGTTTCACAACCACATCGATTGACTATCCTTATTACCTAACATTCTACGTCTAACTCAATATTACTCACCATAGTATGCTAATTAACAGGAGATAGAACATAAAAATCTATAGTCAAAGACAACTAACCTTTTCATATTTTCCACTTATAATGGCAATCTCTCATGGGCATAAAGAAGGACAGAGCAAACTGCTGCGCAGTACACACCACGTACGTCCTCTGATCGATGACCGTATATCGCCTCTATACCAGTTGGCGAGTGCCAGACAAGCCTTTTGTATCTATGCTGAGATTTCATGAGTGATCATTCCATTAGGGTCCATGCAACTTCCAAAGTAAGTGAAATGGTCAGACGCTCTACCATTTCACTCCCTATCTTTAAGCCAGGAGTCGTCGGTGTAGTCCAGCCCTGCAGCATCATCTTACATTAGACAGGAGCCAAATACATACCAAACATGAAGATTTCTGCCCAAGGTGTTCAGAAGACTATATATCTTGTCAGAGTCTCCACTTAGGAGGACGATATTATCCGCATACTCTAAGTGGGCAAGACTGTACCCTGGTAACAAGTCAATCCCTAAGTCGCTAAAGTTAGTTAGAGTTTAAAGAGTCAAGTGATTAAATTGATGTCTTTATCCACTCAGTCACGCCATTTTCATTTTTATAATACATGAAAGGACTTTTTATTACAATAGTATTTACAGAAAACAATGGCACATCCATATAACAATGACAAAACACCAGAAGGCAACATGGAAACGATAGGCGGGAGCAATGTCAAATTAAATCATTTTGTTTGTAAAAACATTGTACACTATTATTCATCTACTTCACAATAACTGACAATAGTGACTTCTATCTGAATTAGAAGTTATAATCACTCATTTCAACTCATAGTCAATAGTTAGTCATAACAAAAAGTGAGCATTGCTACCAAAAAGAGCACCACAACCCACCCACCCATTCTTCCAATCTTCCCCTAAACGTTTTAAAAAGTTGCATAGGAAGTTAACGTTAAATTTTAGTGAGTGTTTCTCACAATGATAACAGTACCAGTAGTAGGCAAGAAGAAAAAGTAATGCAAAATTGGCACCTAAATATAAACAAATTCACCTGTAGATGGTTTTGATTCACCATCAGTAAAACCTTCCATTAAAAAGGGTGTTGAAGATCCAGAGCTTTTATTATCATGACCATTAATTTCTAATAACCAGTCAGGTTCATCAATTCCAGTAGTACTTCCATAAGTACTCGAGTTAACACGAAGTAAATCATTGTCAAAACATATTGAATTTGTTGTCTTTCTTCTTGGGCTTATTGCATGATAAGATCGACTGAGTGAATCAATCTACAATAGAGACATGAAAGTAGACTGATGAGTTCACTCAGTTGAATGTGAAACGTGAAAATGATTAATACACCATCTTTGATGATGAAAAAGCATAAACAATAACAGTCGAGCGGAAACAAGTGACTTAGTAAGCAGCCACTTAGTGAAACTCCATTATAGATAAGATTTTATTTTGGTAAGTCACACAGCAATATTAACTGATGACCACATTTCGAGCACAAATTATTGCCGCTCATAATCATATGAAGCTACTGACACAACTTTTTACTTCATTTACATACATGTGTGGGATTGACCAGATATTTGAACAAAAATCAGTATGTGATAATGTACATTCAGAAATAATAATATGAATGTTATTGATCAATTACAGTCAGATGGGAAATGAGACGAGTGTTTTTATAGTAAGTAACTTGTGAGAATGTTGTGATGTACTTGAATTGAAATAGAATTTTGAGATTATTTATTATCCTCTTCTGATTTGACTGGCGGTAATAATATCTTTCATATTTCTGGTATTTGCATTGAGTCATTTCTGTTGCATGTGTTGGGTGTAGACTCAATGAACCAGGATTCAGTGATCAATCTCTCTCTTCACCTACATAGATTACTTCTTAGAATCTTAACCCTCTCCCACTCATGTATATAAATGAAGGAAAAAGTTGTGTGCGTAGCTTGATATGATTATGAGCAATAATTTGTGCTCGAAACGTGGTCATCAGTTAATATTACTGTGTGACTTACCAAAATAAAATCTTATCTATAATGGAGTTATAACCCTATCACAGTGCTCAAGTTTTACACTTATATCAGCTTAGTGAAACTGTTCCTAATTTTGGAGATGATTAAGAGCCATACCATAAGGGTTTTTGAGCCAATGATTCTTAACATTTCTAGGATCTTTTCGTTAAGTTAAGCATCGAGTTGTTCAGGCTTTTACGTTTAAACAACCATGATTTTCAATTCAATCTGGATTTTTCTGTTGATTGATTGAACCGAAATGTTTGACCTCTGTTGACATATCGGCTCCGGTTGCGGAAGCCTCAACTATGTCTGGGGATTTAAAGTGAAGTAGTTTAGTCAAGGATGACTGGCAAGGAGTGGGTCTCATGGTACAACTGGTTTAGTAGATAACGCTTTGCAGTTTGAAACCAAGGGTACTGGGTCCGACCTTCAGTCGGGACACCATCACTCACTGAAAAATTACACATACATTCAACTGATGAGGCCCGAATAGGACGAAATGCGCATTCTGGATTCCACTGCTAGTCACCATCCACCAAATTACTTCAACCATAATTTGTTTATCGCATATTTTTTTCTAAGTAAATCAATTACAAATAAAAGCAATGAAGCTTTGAGGGTTTACTACTGGAGTGGTTTTCAATACCGTTCGAGATACAAAGAAATGCATAGCTGTAAACAGTCAAACTAACCAATAAATTCAAGAGGTATTTTTAGTTAGCTAATAATTTTATCTTTAGGCCATCAAGTGATAACAGTCACAGAGCAAAAGATAAAAAAATAGTCGATGTAAAACAAAAAAGCTAAACACTTATTTGCGTCAAAACATAATCCTTCCTCTTGAACGAAGTTAAACGCTACTAAAATCATTAGAATGAAAGGTTTGATTTCTTTCAAGTTTGATCACTGATTGATATCAGTCAGAGAACCGCTGAAAACCAGGGAGTACTGGACAGCCGCTTCGTCCTTGTTTGTGACTCTTCGGCAGTACGCATCCACCGGGGTTTGAACCCAGGATATTCTGGTCTCCAGCCCATTAAGCCACCGAGAGCCGATTAAATGGTTCATGAATTCCAACTCCTACCAAGTCGAGATTTTAGCACTACTGGCAGCCGATGCTATCGGCGACTATTTGTCCTCGTGCCCGACCAGGTGGACCCCACTGATCACAACTGCTCACTGGAACTCTAGACAGCCCCGTCGTGTGACCGGAAATTACTGGGTTCGAACCGAGGCGAATAAGTACTACCGAGGAGTAGAAAGCTAGGACGAAACGACTGTCCACTACTCCCTGGTTTTCAACGGTTCTCTAACTGATATTAATAGGTGGTCAAACTTGAAATGAAGTGAATCCCTACAAATTAACTCTTGAAAACATTTGATTTCAATTTGTTATGTGTCCCTCCCCATTGTTGTTATCTAAACCGACAACAACTAATGGTCTCCGTCACAGACACTTAATATTATCATTCCTGTTGAATTCCAGTACTGATGATTCGACGTTTAAAGGATTGACTTATTATAACAGGAAAAGTCTCGTTGATTTAGAGCACGCACATGATATGGTTCTTCTATGTAAGAACGCTGACAAAGTGCAATCCTCTGAACACTGTGATCAAACATCTCTGTAAACGATTTACTAATGTCAAATGCAATATAATGGCTGAAAAAAAAAGCTTGAGCTAAATTTAAAGATCAGTAATAAATTGAATGAATATGTCAGCCACTGCACTTATTTGGAGAGTTGTATCAATCCTAATGGACTGATTAATGAGAAAGTCTCAGCACGGATACAATAGGCTCATTTTCTACCGACAGATTAGCATCACCTTTGGCAAAGGAATCACATCCAGCCACCCATCAAAAGAAGCATGTATTGTGTAGCAGTTCGCCAGTTCTACTTTACAGCTATCTAATATGGTCATTGAAAATCGAAACTATGAGAAATCTAACCTTTTTTTCACTATATATATACCCTCATTCAACTTCTCGTGTCAGGTGATATAATTTGTACACTAGTAATGAGGTTAGATGTAGTGCCTTAGACTAGGAGAAGAAGCTGGTCGATGAGGTTGTGAAGCTTCACCGACTGAGATAGCTATGAATTACACATGCTCAGCCATCTCCTATCTAGATTAATTAGTGCTAAATGAAATAGGATAAGGCTGGAAAAGAGTTAAGGGTGGTTAGGGTTATGAAATCATCGAATGTTAGTTTAAGCTACGCAGAAAGGTTTGGACTGTTCAGATAAAGTTTTCGGAACGCTAAGAATCGACGGTTTGAGACCGTCGGCGACATGGTTCAAAATCTTTCACAGTGTAGTAGAGGTATGCAGTCCTAATTATTATGCAGATTCTGAAAATCCTTAACAATCTTCATCTTGCTTTCCCCTGTATATTTCTGTATGTTGGAGTTTCACTAAACTTCTTTACTTTTAAGTGTTTTACTCTGAAATGTCAGAAAGTGAACGCCTTTACTTCTGAACAAAGTTCAACAATTGATAAATCACGTCACTAGTGTCGTATATACTGTTGATTTATTTTCGCTTAAAGAGATGAATTTATTCAGAAACCTCAAGTGTAGAATGTCACAATTCAGAAAGCAATGAACTGAAACCAAAAGGAATAGCAAGGTAGGACTAACCTCTTTCAGTTTATAAAATGTGAAGTCATCATGAAATTCTTTGCAATTAAAGTCCTGTAAGTCAGTTAGTAGACCAAGATCCATAAATTTCTGACAAACAATACGCCCTTTCATCCTGTAATAAAATAACCCACAGAAAAATAGTAATGAGTGAAACAGTACAGGTAAGTTTGCGATACTCTCTGAACATTCATTTCCTTAGCAAGTGAACAAAAATATCTAGTTGAATCTATCTTATCCTTCAAAACAATGCATAAAGATGAAGCAGTCATAAATTCTGGACATCTAACATAGTCATCACTAAATTTAAGTCCAAGTAACGCGTAACAAAGACGGAGTTACAAATAATTTGGTGGGTGATGACTAGCAGTGGAATCCGGAATGAGCATTTTCTCTTATTTGGGACTCGTCATCTGAATCCACCTACCTGCATTCCCCAGTGGAAGATGGTGTTCCCACTGAGTCTCGAACCTAATACCCATCGTCCCAAACCGCAAAGCGTTGTCCACTAGACCACCTGGATCACAGGAGCCACCTCTTGCACAAAGGGTAACAGTTACTATTTTTTAATTAAATTTTGATTTTCCCGTAGAAACGATGGGTACTGGGTTCAAGTTTCATTGGGGACACCACCACTCACTGGAAATGCAACTACATACAGCTGAAGAATCCCAAATAGGGTGAAATGTTTTTGATGTGGTTTTGTTCTCTGAGCTGGATGGTTAGTTTGCGAAGCTTTCATCACCTTACTGGGTGACATCTTCAGCGCATACTTCAATTTGAAATGTGGATTCTGAATTCCACTGCAAGTCACCATCGTCCAAATTACTTCAAGTTAATCCTCAGACGTTGTCGAGGCTTCCATACTAGAAGCTGACATCTCCATAGAAGCTAAACATTTCGGTTCAATCAATCAACGGGAAAATCAAAATTGAATTTTTTTAAAGTCACACAATGTTTGACCGGATCCTTATACTTCGTTTCTTTTTCCTCGAAGACCTAACTTGAATTAGCACATGACTAACAATGTAAAGTAATCCAACTTCTAGAGACCATGTAGCTTTGATTTTTGTTAATTGTAGAATACAATAAACATTGTATTACTCCTGGATCTCTGTGATGCATTTGAGAAAAACGTATTTATCCCTAACGTCGTTCAAAAAATATTCCCCTTTTTATTATTATTTTATTTTATTCCTTTACGTTTGCAGAGGAACATAGGGCTTCAGGCTAGAGACTTGAAGTTTCTGTAGCAGTGGTGATTATTTTTACAGGATGGAGTTGTCAGCCTCATGCCCCAACCTCCCTCTTTGGCAGTCTTATTACTGGCTTAGCGTGGTAAAGGACATAGTTCACTGGGGGTCGAAACCAAAACCATATGAGTGGTTGGCAAGCATTATACCGCTGTGCCACTGACGCTTAGGTACTCGACTGTGGTTCCAAACTTACTCTCTTTGGCTTGATTAATTACTTATTCAAATTTACGCAACTACATATATATTTTTTTCCGAGTGGAACATAGGGACTCAACAGTACATCGCTACTTCACTCTGTTTTCTGCAGTCCACTTTCGCTGGCCCCACGATTGTCCATAGGGTCTCATTTCCTCCTCACACGATCTCCTCCATGTCACCCTCGAACCAACACCTAACTCATCATTCCCCATTAGGGTTCCAATCGAGTGATGCCCTGAGGTGTGATATCAACCAACGGTCTCCTTAGCACATACATGCCCAATCCATCTCTATTTTTTCCTACCTATTTGTTGAGCAATAGCTTCTTGATTGGTTTGTTCTCTGAGTTTCTTGTTGCTAATTCATCCTGACCATCTGATCTTCAGTAAAGAGTGAAAGCAGGTGTTCATAAAAATCTTCAATCTGTTGGAAATGCTTTTTGTGACGCGAGCGCTAAGTGTCTGGCCCGTATACAATCCTTGACTGGCTACTGAAGTTTTGAAATATGTAATTTCCAATCACAAATACTTGTCAACACTACTATTTTGTTATATAAATTCCACCAAGAAGACGAAATTAAAGGGAATAGAATAAACTCACCTACAGCGTTTCAATTCGGGAATGTTATTGACTAACCAATAAACCAATACTAGACCATAAACACAATAAAATTCCTCAGTTTCTTTTTTCAACTTAAATAACTGTAACAATTTAGATGAACTGTCGTCTTTTGTCAAATTTTCATTTGAATGTCTATGCACAAGACCGTATGATTCAGTTGAAACAGTACTTAACTTTGAAGTAGCTGTAATCGGAACTGAGGAATTCTGTGAAGAATTAGCCCAGAGTTTTAACCACAAGAGATACACTTCTTGATCTGAATCAAATATTGATGTTGATGTACTACTGAGTAAGCATTCGAATGAATGAGCTGAAGATAATTTGTTAAATGAAACATTATCAACAGAAGTATCTATAGAATTGTCTAAAATCAGGTTTTTCTTTTTACATGGTGTACGATGAATTACATGGAAGGCACTTGATCCCATGGTATGATGTTTTCTTTCTTCAGTGGATTCAGGTGGAGATGACAGACCATGGGTAAGGCTGCCACTCGTGAATGTTGTTGAAACATAGGCGGGAAATAAATCTGTACCTTCGTCTGTTGAATTGGTAGAAACAGAGTAACGCGGGATAAATGAATCTACAGTTTGTCTACGGAAGCGTAAAGTTGAATTTAACAGTCCTTTTGCATTCGACACAGTCGCCAAACTATTATTCATACGAATATTTTGGTTAGAAAGATGGCTAACATTAGTAGAAATAGAATCTGACAAAGTGGTTTTCAATTTTTGGTCTGTTGAACTCATATTTCTCTTTAAACCATAAACATTATCTGCATTTAATGATCGAACAGTATGTTTAGATAATAAATTTTCTGGTTTCTTCGAGTTGTTAGAAATCAACACTTCAGCGCAATAACTGCAAGCTCGCTGAAGGCCATCAAGACCAATTTGAGTTCCTTCAACCAACTGTTTTTTTTTAAAATACAACGTGCGATAAACACATATAAATTTTAGCGAAATAGTGTTTTGTGAGATAAAATAATAATAATAATAATCCCCTATGAATTATTAACAGGATGTATCACAAAACCTAAGACAAATGAGAACGAACTTATGACTAAGGCAGTACAGTAGTTAAGCATATAGCGAAAAACACATAGGTATAAAATATTCAAAATATAATCGATTCTATTGATTTCCACTCCTAATATATGTTCTAGTATGTCATTGAATTTGAAAGCACTTATCTGTTTGATTGGCACATTATTTTTACGCTTGCCCGATGAAAGTTTGTCAGTTACTAAGATTCCTACAAAACTGATATTAAGAAAGTAACTACAGTTGGAATAATGCAGTTCTGTAACTTAAGTGGATGATATTAGAAAGCATTCACAGATTAATCAACGACGTATTGGATGAAGACATCACATTCACACGAGAAGAAGAGTTAAACAACAAAATGCTCTTCCTAAATGTCTTACTCAAGAGAATGAACAAAGGAAATCTAGAAATATAAGTAGACAGGAAGTCAGTCCATGCAGACCAAAAACTCAAAAACAGTAACCCAACAGTACATGAAAGAAGCTACGTGCAGACACTACTCAAAAGAGTTAAAAACACTGCAGCATTTTAGTCATGAGGAGAAGAGAATAGAAATATGTATTAACTGTCTTCGAGAAAAATGGATACCCTACAATTTCACCAAAAACAATCTAAACTTGAATCAAACTACCAATAGGAAAGAATCCTCAAAAACCGCAAGAAAATTCACCCTACCGAATATGAAGAATTTCTGAAAAAAACGGCTAGAATACTAATATCCTTTGGAATAGATATAGCACACAAGCCAACATTGTCCCTTTATTCAGTACTTCGCAGACCAAAAGACCTACCACTGTCTCAAAAATAAATTACATTAACTGTGAAAAGAACTATATTGGTCAAGGTGGGTATTCCCTTCGACTCCAAGTCCGAGAACAGAAACTAACCGTCAAAGGACATAGAAATATATCCCTTCATATCAACTCATGTACACATCACTGTGACGGGGAAAATATACGAAATTTAAGTAGTGGACATGCCAAAAATTGCCAGGGGATTCCTAGAGGCTTGATAATTAGACGAATATGTAATCAATAAACACACACACACACAGGTCAAATTTAACAACTAGTAAAGAATAAGCTACATGACAAAAATGGTAAAATTCCCAGTCAATAATGCGGTCGATACTAACACAAATTATCGACCGATCGCAATCAGTTTTACCGTCCATGGAGACTTCAAATAAGTTCACTTTGTATTGAAGTCTGATCCGATGATGTTTTCTGGAACGAAAATGAAAGCTTCATAATTAAGGCACCCAGATGAGAGAACACAACCACACAAGAGGATTAGCTATAAGTATAGTCATTTAGCGTCACTATACACGTTTATTTGGACTGTAAAACTTTTGACGTCGAATTTTAACGTTATAAAGCATTTTGAAATGAGAAAAATGGTTGTCAATCGCACAAGCGATCATCCTTGTTGCCAAGTGAATGTTTATTTAAATACTTGCTTGGAAATGTTTTCTACCTCAAAATTTTTTCCCACATTCATTACCACCCGATTTGATTTTCAATCACCAAACACTCACTTCTAAATTACTTGAACTTATCATTATGTAGCAGCATACCGCTCTTGTGCTGCTTGCAAGTACAATCAAACCTTTTAAAATAAGCAGAAAAGCAGCATTCAGAGCAAGGATATATTTTAGAAACCTAAATAAATTGTTAACTCATCAGTTACCATTATGACATTCTAAATGCTCTTCGTAAGGAATAACCCATTGTGATACGGTGGCGAACATTTGCAACTATGGTTGTGGAAGTCCTGGTATATGCCCAGTGCTACTTCTTTACGAAGATAAGGCTGAAAGTGATATTAAAGGCTCCACCAAAAGTAAGCAGAGAAGTTATGCGGACCATAATGATAGATCTTAGGGAATCCATGTCAGAGAAATTACTCAAAACTAGAAGCACACACCCAGGACTAGGTATGATACTCTGCATAAGCAAAAAAAGCCCTTAAATTGATTGTTGTATTAGGAATATTGATTTCAGGGGAAAAAAAGCTACGGATTTCGCTTCTAAATTCATGGTAGGATGGTAGTCAGGTTTAGTTATAAAATTATGGTTGACATACTGTATTACAGCCCTAAAGTTAATGTCATATCTACTTTTCCGCCTCCTGAACTTATAAGTAACCAGTAACAATATAATATATGTATAACCTACAGTAGTGATCCTAGCTTCTGAATAGGGGCTTCACATCATTTATATCACTACATGACAAGTAAAAGAATACAATTCAAACAGGAGCATCGATTCATAATATTCAATGTAAAAGCGATGTAGTGATAATAAAAATAGCTTAAGAGCTCTAAACTTTAGAACACTGAAATAGGGCTACTCCTACTAGTAAAAGAATTACCTGGTTACTGCACTGATTACAAAATATCCTCCCACAAACACGACAGTGATGCTTTCGACGGATTGTTGTGAAACGCGAACCACACTCAAAACAAAATTTACAACTCTCATCTTGCATCCAATAACGTCTTTCGGATAACCCCGGTGAATGTGCAGATGAAGAAACTCCAGATATCTTTTCAGACGTATTTTCCCTTAAAACAGGAAGACTTATGTTTGACTCTTCGTTCAGTTCACTTACCTATCGAAAATAGGGCAAGAGAAAAGTTATTACGTCATTTTAAAAAGAATTCTAAAAAAACTTGACAACAGAAAATGGTTCTATTTCTGTTTTGGAACTTCATGTTCACGAAAATAGAAACCGAACCACTGTAATGAAACGCAAAAGACTTTTTAGCAAAAATAATTTTTATTCATTTTGCTCAAACTGTGAATATGTCTGTCTGTCTGCTTTCGACATAGAACTTTGCACAAATGTGCGGAAGTTCAAGTCGCCACACTCCGTGTAGCACGCGAAGCAAGAGAAGAAAGTACAAGAAAAGCATAATAGAGACAGTGAGCAGAGGTGTGAGACAAAGGAGTAATAACGAAGAACAAAACAGTTTCATTGGAAATCATAAGTCACAAGGAGTGGATGCATCTGCGCCACTGAGAACGATTTTGAGCCATGTCACCAATTGTTTCCAACCATAGATTTTTACCGTCCCGAGGACCCCAGCCTGGAAGTCTACACCTTCCTACGTGGCTTAGACCAACTGTTGTGGATTTCATTGACTGGTGCCAAGTTTTTGTTTGACCGCCGCTAGCTTTTTTCCAGCCTGACCCTATATCCGCTAACATTGCTCGTCGAGGGAGGCGATGGCTTGGCATACGTAACACATGTCCTAACCATCTCAGTCTTTGTAGCTTCACGACTTCGTCGATTGATTTCCCCTGTTTACCTAGAACTCTACGCCTAACCTCAATGTTGCTCACCTTATTATGCCACTTTACACGGGAAATAGAACGCAGGCACCTATGATCAAAGACAGCTAGTCTTTTCATGTCTTCCACTCTCAGTGGCCAGGTCTCACAACCATAAAGGAGGACGGAGCGGACTGATGAGCAGTACACCCGCCCTTTGGTCGATAGTCGAACATCTCGTCTACGCCAGAGTCGGCGTAAACTAACAAATGCGAAACGAGCCCCTTGTATTCGTGCTGAGATTTCGTCAGAGATCAGCCCGTTGGGGCTGATGGTACTTCCCAAATAAGTGAAGCGGTCAACGTGCTCTACCACTTCACTTCCTATTTTTAAACTAGGCGTCGATGTAGTCCAGTCCTGTAACATCATCTTGCATTTGGCGGGAGCGAATCGCATGCCAAACATTCGTAGATTGCGGCTCAAGGTGTTTAGAAGACTCTGCATTTCGTCAGCGTCTTCGCCTAGAAGGACTATATCGTCTGCATATTCCAAGTCAACGAGATTATTCCCCGGTAGCAAGTCAATCCCTGAGTCGCTGAAGTCACCTAGGGTTAAGTCCATTAACACATCTATGATGAAGTTGAATAGAAAAGGAGATAATGGGCATCCTTGACGGACACCACTGGTCGTCATCAGTTCAGATGACAGCTCGCCGTAAGCCCTCACCTGGCTGTATGAGTACGAGTAGAGTGCCTTAATCAGTGCAATATATTTTCTCGGAATTCCCTTTACAGCCAAGCATCTCCAGAGAACTTCTCGATCGACAGAGTCGAATGCTGCCTTTAGGTCAAGAAATATAATGACTGTTGGACGCCGGTAGGAATGCCTATGTTCTAGAATCTGTCGGAGGGTGAAGATATGATCAATACACCCTCTTCCTGGTCTAAAGCCTGCCTGGCTCTCTCGTGTTTGTGCTTCCCGAGCACCACTCAGTCTACGCATGATTATTGAGCCTAAGACTTTAGATACTATATTAGTCAAGCTAATCCCTCTGTGATTATCACAGGAAGACTTGTCTCCCTTCTTGTATATGGGGATAATCAGTGACTTACACCAACCCGATGGGACTTCTTCTGATTCCCAGACGCTGCCTAGTACCTCAGTTAATCCGGACAGTAAGCTGTCTCCACCGTACTTAAATACCTCTGGAGTCATTCCATCAGGTCCCGCTGCTTTGCCTAGTTTCAGATTGGTGACAGCTTTAGTAACCTCAGTTAGTGACGGAGGACCTGTGTCTATATCCCATTCAGGGAGGTGTTGGATGCTCGGAAGGTTGAGCGTGGCTGTGGGCAAATTAAACTGCTCCTCATAATGCTCTTTCCAACGATCCAGTCGTCTATCCTGGGAGCTAATTATAGTGCCATTTTTTTCCGAGATTGTCTCACTGATGATTTGTCTTCTCCCACCCGTTTCCCTGATGAGTCCAAAGAGTTGCCTGGTGTTGCCTATCCTCGAAGCTTTCTCCATCTCTTTGGCTTTTGTCGCCCACCACTGTTCACGGTCCTTGCGGAGACTTTTCGTAAGTTTCCTCTTGTGCAGCTTTCGCTCCTCATTGAATTCGGAGCTCGCCGGAATAAGTCTTCTAGCATCTATCAGTTCGGATGAGGCGGTGGAGATCCAGTGGTTTTTACTCACCTTTGGGTTTACCTTATTCACAGCTTTTACAGCTGTATCTATGGCTGCCTGGATATTTTTCCAAGCTTCTTCAGGGTGAGCACAGCTGTCGAACACAGATATGTGTTTAGCTAGTTCTTCCTCAAATACGGATTTAGTTTCCTGATCGAGCTGGGGACGTGATGGTTTTACCGCCAGCTGTTTCCTACGTCCGTTCAGTCGTAAGCACACCCGAGCGCGGACCAGTGCATGGTCGGTATCTACGCACGTGTTCCAGAAGGAGCGACAATCTCCTACCGACCCACGCCAACGATAGCTTATTGCTATGTGGTCTATTTGTGTCCAGCGTTGGTTTGATGAAGGGGGTCTCCAAGTCAAACAGTGTCTCTCCTTGTGTTTGAAGTTAGTGCTTACAAGAAACAAATGATTATCAGAGCAGAACTGTAGGAGACGGTCACCGTTGTCGGTTCGCTGGCACGGAACTCCATAGGTGCCACCGACATCCTTCTCAGATTGACACAATTTCCCTACTTGAGCGTTAAAGTCACCAGCTAGAACGACTATGTCTGAGCGTTTAGCCTTTCGCACCAAACTAGACAGCTTTTGGTAGAACTCATCCTTCGTTTCATCTGAACTGCAGTCAGTGGGGGCGTAGGCGGAGATTACGAAAAGGCATCGGCGAGTAGTGCAGTCCTTCCTCCTTCTTACTGATCCGTTCAGGCGGACAGCACACATTCGGCTATCTACCGGGATCCAGTCAAGCAATGTCTTTTCTGCCCTAGTACTCAAAGCTATCCCTACGCCAGCTAATCCTCGTGAACTAGCTGTGGCATCTCCTGACACCCTCAAGGTGAATTTTGCAGATTCAACCTGTTGGCCAGGTGGGGTTAGGTGAATAACCACACTTGGGTCTTGTATGCGTGTTTCTGAAACACAGCATACATCAATGGCTCGTGATGCCAGGGTCTTGGCTAGTGATGCTTGTTGTCCTATTTGGCAAAGTGTCCTAACATTAAGAGCTCCTATATGAAATTGGTGGCGCGGCTTTAAGAGGCTGTCGGTGGTGGTTTTTTGGCTTCCATCGTTTTTAGTGGACGCAGAGTGGAGAGGAAGTGGAGAGCTATCAAGTCGAGGAGTTGCATCAGTGGAAGGAAGGCAAGATGATAGAGATGAAGATGAAGACAAAGATGAGTGAGTAATAGAGAGGTTTCGTGTGCATTTCGGATTGTGAGGGCGATTGTTACTTCCCGGCTGCCCACACCGTGGAAGTTGGTTGCGTGACCGCAGAGCCCAGGGGACAACTGCTTGAGGCCGGTCACACGCGGCCTGTTTTTGTTCGTTCTTTTTGTTTGGTGTGTCTCAGTAGCATATTTATCACTCCTGCCCTGTGACACGGCAGCAGGAAGCGCGGTCGTTGTTAATCCGGGCCACGGCCGATCCGGCATGAAATTTTGTGATTTTGTATTGGACATGATGTTGGATTGGGTAGCTGCTTTTTGTTTAACCGCTATCCAAACAACCTGCCTGGCATGGTAGAACCTCAAGAGACATAAGTCTCAGCCAGTATAGCTTGAATAGGTCATTGCGGTGTTCAAGCCCGACCACCACGTCAAGGTAGCAGCTTTCGGTCGGGCTGTGAATATACGTGACATTCCCGTGATATTAGACTGTCATTCCTTGCCAATATCGAAATATTAAAATTTCTCGGTCAAAACTATCATTCATTAACAAATACACAAAAAAAAATAAAATAATTCACCTGAAGCTGGGATCTTTCTTACCCACTGCCGTTAATTTTGTCACTTCAATTCTAAAATTGAGGCCGTCAATAATGGAAAACGGTGTAAAAACTACGTCTGAAATTCGCTTTGAGAACGCGAACTCTGTGTAATACATAGTGACACTCAGGATGTTGATCAGTGTGATACGTATGACTTTGGGGGTATTAAACTAGCTTCTTGTTTGTCTACTTTCATTAATGGATACGTCTTAATACCAGGGGATGAGACCCATACAGCTACACCTATAAACTTGCCACCGAAAATTATTTCACTACGCAATGTATCATTTTGAGGAAAAATCACTGAAAACTAAAATGGAATGCCAGCTTCACAAAAAGCATCTATGGACAAACACGCGACAGCTTGATATGGGGATAAGTGTTCCTCGAATATTTTAAAGAGAGATGATAGTGAGGAATCTTCGTAACCTGAAGACCATGGGTTCATATGTGTGCACTTCTGGAGAGTCCGAAAACAGGATGAAATAGCTGTTCAATGATCCCTGGTTCTTAATGGTTCTCTGACTAATGTCAGTTCGTGACGAAATCGACCTTAAAACCATTTAAATATCTGCATTCGAAACTTGAAAATTACGAATTATGTTAGTCAATAATATCGCTGTAGTTGATAAGTGTAGATCAAATCTACAAGTTATGAATGCATGCTTTTAAACTTTTATTTACTCTCAAGGAAATTATTTTAGCTAACACCAGATAGACACTATCAAACAGGATCTAGTACCAAAGCGCCAGGGTTTAATTCAGCACACCTTAGATACGCACGCAAAGAGGATGGGAGAGAAGGAAAATACAACAAATAACCCATTATCAGAGTCCCCATCAGGTGTAAATGCATCCAGTGGGTCAAAAAAAGCACAGTTTAAGATGTCAATTTTCAGTGTTTATGAGGACTGCATGAAGATAATGCACACTTAACAACATAGTTCAAACAAATAGTCACTGGAATTGTGGATTAATTCAACCATTTATTTTGATTTGACACTAGTAACTAGTGTGATCTGTCTAGTCCTCAACTTAGCTCGTTGTTATTGATGTAGTAATTCAGGAAAAATAACACATGTTCCATTTACCTCACGCCTCAAAGTCAACAAGAAGAATTAAATAACAGATATATGGAAGAAAGAAAGCACCAATGACCTCGAAACAAGGGATTATCAGGAAAAAGTAAATCAGAGACTCTAACTTAGTTCTAACCCTAATCTTTCCCGAGCCTAACCTTAAACTAATGAGGGTCCCACCTTAGTATTTTGCATTTGCCACACCTTTATACGAATACAGTGTTGTTAACCCAGTATCACCACCTTGCTTTGTTTGACCGTTCCAAGCACATTGATGAGTCCGTTTGTCTGGCTGTCTACTCTCTGAATTCTCGGATTAGATCCCTGGACTAGTTTAACTGACTTTTTGTGGGTGTTGATCAATGGCTGAATTTACATATATATATATATATATATATATATATATATATATATATATCAATGAATGTAAACTTTTTGTTTGTGAACGCCACTATCACCATCTTAAAAATTTTGTATTATCCATGATTCCTCACACTACCACTACAAACACCGCATTAGTGCTGACAATAAAAAAAACCTGAAATGTTTATCTTATGATTGTTTAGTGTTGTTCAATCAAATTAACTGATCATCTTGGCTATAAACATTTTTAAGAACATCTCATAATTTCTTGTATGATTATAGCTGTTACTGTCCACCACGTATACACATATCGTAGCTTACACTAACCAATACTGAAATATTTTTTCATTATTTGTGTTTATCTTCCTTTTTACTTGGTATTTTTATTTGCATTTTTTTCTTATTGTTTTTTGTTATTTCTGTTTCTTTTTTTGGTTTTTTTGTTGTTGTTTATTTATACATATTTTATTTTTTTATAATACTCCTTTTTAAATGTACGATGAAATTAGATGCAATATTGTAGATATGTGCTGAAAATTCCACACTGTACCACAAGTACTGTTTCTGGATAAAGCGAAATTGTTATTGTTATTGTACAAAAAAGCGCACACATTCACAACTTCAAGCAACAAATAAAATGCAATAGATTCCTATTTACTTTATATCATTAGCCGTAAACCTGATAACTAATAAACTTACAGAATTGTCTGGATTATGAGTAGTGTTAGTTATCCGAACTTTCGAGTTGCCATTTCTATGATGTGAAGTATTAGCACCAGTCAGCTTGGCGAAAAAGCCCTTAAAGACGCTCCTGTTTTTCTGAGAAGTCTCAAAGTCTGGGACGCCGAATGAAATATATCTCTTGGCATCGTTGCGTCCTGACTTCATTAATAGTAACGTAGTATTCACAGCACGCGCGGAAACCTTCGAAATCGGAACAGCTCCATATGATTGAAGGATGGATATAAGTTTGTATTTAATCCCATTGGAACACAAGATTGCCAGTTTTTCATACAATCAGTGCATGAGTTATCCCATTTCTCCTTTTCCTCCACTAAATCGGAGTGTGTCAAAGGATATAGCAGGGTATTTAAAGGACGAAGTGTATCGCAATAAGGTGCTGTTTTTCTCGCCACGTCACTAAGTCTTGGAAATGACTACTGAAATAAGTGTAGTCAATGAGCTTGTTGACAGGGGAAATACACAGACAAGGATAAATGAAAGGAAAATATTCAAATTGGGTCTCAGCCATAGATACCAGATTAAAAATCTGAGTCTGAAATCATCTGCATTCTAAGGTCTGCATAAGTATCTGGCAATTAATCTAACTGTGTGTTAACACCAGGCTGACTCTTTAAGTATAGATAGGTTTTGAGGTAAGTTTTGAAAGATTATGGCGACGCATCAGTAACCACATATTTAAGGTGATCTGCTCACGATACGGTAACACTTAAGTTGCAGAAACTACGCGTGACATTCAACCTGCTATTTCAAAACTCAGATTTATTAAAATTACCAGTAGAGGCAGTGTTATTACTAAGTTCACTCTCCAATCGCAGTTTCAGATTGGTATCATCTGACTCTAAGCTTGCAATTTTTCATGTTTGGCTACATGACGTTAGAAACATATTTTACGGAAGAATTAGTGATTTATCACATACATTATATGAACTCAGCGCTCGTATGATAAAACTAGCGTGACGCTTCAGGTAATCGGGCATAGAACTGCGTGGAACTTGTGTTTCAAGCTTTGCATGTATAGTTGAACTTGCATTTTTGAAGAACATGTCCAGCATTTTCCGGCTAAAACAAAATTTAACCGTTATTCGCCAGTTCCTAAAGTCGTATCAAGTCTCTTTTCAAACGTAGCTTGCCGTTATGGCTCCAGATTCCCCTTTGGTGCGTAGCGTAATCCGAATGAAGAGTGATTTATTAACTTCATGGTTAATGTAGGTGACTAGCCCTTATAAGTTTATAAGAAGGTTCAGTTATTTTTCTTCTGTTGATTTCAGAAAAAGTAGCAAAATACTGCAGTAAAAGTGTCCTTTTGAGATTCGAGTGGTAAGTAATTCACACAAACTATTGGCGCACAGCATTTGTCACTCTATATTGGATTCCGAAGTTCACTGTTTCAGCTGTCTCGCTCAGCTGATGGAACATGGACGTCATGTTCCTTCCATCTGTTTGTGCACGATCCCTAGCTGGTTAAGCAATCATCTCGCACTCCGATTCGGTCCAAAAATGTAGTTCGAAATTTGGACGGCCAATTCTGCGTTTTGCTTCGCCTTCGGTCTACGCGGAACAAATACTATCGAAGTTGTGGGTGTTGGATCTTGCTTTAGTGTACTTCTTACTATCCGTGAACGTCAACACCCTTAGCCCCAAAACTGGTAAGCCCTACCGCGAACTTCACCTTTGGTAAATACGCAGACGAATCGAAAGAGTTCATTCCATTCTGTATTTGTTCCTGTACTTCTCTCAGACTTTACATATTTCGCATTGGGTAATCATACCCATAAGGTCATCCATATATCATCAACTATCGAAACGATTCAGCTCACGCCATTTTCACTAGATAAAGTAGAATCATGGTTTCAGACAGCTGAGTCTGATTTTAGCGACCATGTGTTGACTGACGAACGTTCACATTTCGTTGCAGTAGTCCAACCTCTACGGCGGGAAGGGTCATAGACTTATCATTTTCACTGAACACACACCTCTCACGTACTCTCTGAATTCAACTTCACAAACGTTGTAAATGTTGATGAGTATTGAACGTTCAATTCGTGGTTGTTTGCTCAAACCCAACTTCCCCAATTTTTCGCGGAGGCATCAACACACCAGTCATCGTTTCTGACCGATTGGTGTCAGTATCTGACTGATTCGGACAGTTGGTGATGGTTTGGATAGTCACCGTTCATCTTTCCTGGTGCCGGTCAAGTCTTCTTTGAACAAGCAATATCTGGAACGTTTTTGGAATTTGCTCAAGTTCAACAATGCCTGGGTCAAAGAAGGGACAGAGCGTCTTGGATGCAAGCAGGAAAGTGAGTCATCGTGACTTGTCTGTTAATTGTAACGATGTGTCTGATGTTAAGCATGACATGGTTGATGTTACTGTTTCACCGTCCAGGGATAATAGGAACATCAAACTCCCTAAATTTGAACCACGGTGTTTCGACGGAAACCCAGCTGATTATTTACAATTTGTGAAGTAGCTTGAGATCATGCTTAGTAGTTTCTTATTAAGTGATGAATTAAAATTGATGTATTTGATGAGGTACTATACTGGAGTTGCTTCAAGAACTATACAGTGCTGTAAGCGCGTGCCCCCTACTGAGGGATACTCTGAGGCCAGGAATGTACTGCCTCAAAGATTCAGAAGACCTTCGATGATTGTAAGGAAATTATTTGAGGCTGTTAAAGATAATAGTAGTCAATTACAAGATGACTCCAAGGCACTCAATGAGTTTCTGGATAATCTGTTGACTTACAAGAATGCATTGGTTTCAATGAATTGCATAAGTGACCTCAACTCGAGTTTTACATTAGAAGTAATAGCAAGACGCCTACCCACTCGACTGCAAAGGAAGTGGGTGAAGATAAGCTCCCGTGCAGAGGATGAGGATATCGAGCCAAATTTCGATGATATCCTGAAACTGGTAAACGATAGTGTCAATCAATCTATGAGCAAGTTTGCCAGTATATTGCATCTCACCCCTAGAATAGGGCAGTCTGAGGGCGAAACGCAGTCATTGATGACGAAAGGGTCTCAGAGAAGTGGATATCTAGAAGGCTCTATGGTGTCTAGTAATGCATATAGACTTAGTGAGTGTAACAGGTTTCGTGGTACATCCTCAACAAATAAGTTACAAGTTGTGAGACAAACGCGGTTGTGTTTTACACGTTTGCAAGAAGTTCATACAATGATGAACTGTGAATCAGTGAGCAAGTTTAGTGATAAGCTAAATGTGAAATCAAGGTCTGACTCCGAATTGTGTGAAGATAACGGTGTGGTGAAGGAGCATGTATTTGCAACTGGTAAGCCATTGTTGAACAGAATGCCACAGAAGAGAGTTACAGTTTCAGAGTTCAGTTCTGGCTCCATAAGTTTACAAGGTATTACTAGTCAGAGTGAAGATATAAAACCCTTTAATGATGTGTGAGGAGGAACCAAAGTTGTCTACTTCTGTTATCAAAGAGTTTGAAAATGATGAAGTCCTAGATGACAGTGAAGTGAATATTCGTGATAATGATCATGATACTTCACATTTGTCTTTGGTTGATCATGATGAGATGAGGGGATATGCCTACTGCTGCTAAGTTAAACAAAGGTTCTGTACAACTACAACGTGAAGTAGAAATAAATGCAGATGCAGTTGCAGAAGGCATACATACTTGTGAGACCGTCAGTGTGATTGATCAGCGTGTAGCCCATCTATCATCAGATGCTATTGCTAAACCTGAGCTGATAGTAAAAGGCAGCAGTGGTGGTGGTCTTGCAGGTAGACAAATTTCTGAAAGCTGAACAACAACAGCTTCTGATCCACCGCTCGGTTCATCAAGTGGGATCAATCATTCGTCGTTGGTGTTTTCATCCACAATGAAAAAGACGCCCATCAACTCAAGTGTCTTGTGCAATGACCATGATAGTATTGGTGCATTTGAAAAGACGAAAGATAATGCTCAGTTTAGAGAGGATAAGCCAAGTGTGTACGAGAGGTTAACTGTTAAATTGACTTCCATGAATAAAGGTATTTCTAGTTTCAAGTTACTATTTGAATGCTATTATCTTTGGTGTAAATTACTCTGTGCCTACGCTTGGCTGATCAGATACGTCGTGTGTTTGTTCGTCATCTATATTCTACGGCACAATGACATGGGCGTGTTACCGTTCAGATTTGAGGATATGGATGATAGAAGGAAGTCAGCAAATGAACTCTTCGACGATTTTCCAATCTAGGGCGTCAACCTGAGAAGGGTTGCAGGCGTACTGCTGTAAGTCCTGCAATGCTTCAAAGGAATTCCATCGAGACACGATCAGCGAGGTTATTTACACCGTTTGTATATACGTGTGGCGTGTCATATCAATTGGTGTTTTTTGGATTCATTATGTTTACTCGTTGTTTTCGTACCTTGTTGTTATTACATAATTTTGTTAAAATTTTCGTCGTGATTACTTCTGAAGTTGTTTCGAGTCTTCTACATCCGTGAATGAATTGATTGATGTTAGAGACAGCAGATGGATAGTATACGCCGGGGAGGCTATTTCTGAGAATGAAATGCACACGGAGATGATTGTTAGCTGCGGTCCGACACGCCGGGGAGAAAGAGTGTAAACGACTGAGGCTCGCATGCGTCACCGCTACTAGAACTGAGGCAGAATGAGTGACAAGCGATTTCAATGGTAATTGGTAGTGAGCAGATACGACGACGTGCGTGGAGTACCATGAGGTGGTGCTATGGTCACGTTGCTTTCTGCAAGAGTCATTCTAGCAAATGGCGATTGTGTTGCAAGAGGATGCCTTTAACTGGAAGGCGCAGGTCGTCATTGATGTGTGAGATTGTGCTGTGGGTATGCTTGTGGTGTGTTGGCTTTTCTGTTTGTTTTCCATTTCAGCTCTGTCCGTGTGACCCAGGTTCTCGCAATGGCATCCAAGTCAACGTGTATTGGTCGTGATGGAAAAAAGGAATGGATCCCTTTTTTGCCGAGGAGCGTCAATGTAGTTGAAGATTGAACGATCAATTTGCGGTTGTTTGCTCAAACCCAACTTCCCCAATTTTCGCGGAGGCATCAACACGACAGTCATCGTCTCATCGATCGCTGCTCAGAAAGCACGTACAAAACCGTCAGAAGTAATATTGTGATTTAATATTGTAATATTTGTTCATAGACCTTAGTTGCAATATTGGTTATATGTTGGTGTTAGAATAAAGAATTCTCGAGTCGCCACTCTGTGTCCTGGTTTTGCGTTCGTTCGTACTAAGCGTTTCTGAAATGCTTCGAAGAACAGCGTGAGCCCGAGCGTAGCGAGAGCTGGGCATTAATGGTTTAGGTGACATTGCTGGCATAAGTACTCACGTAAACAATCACGACGACTACACTATATTTCACAGGTTACATCAAATATTCTCAGTGTTTCCTGAGTGAAGAATACTTTGGCGTGGACCTTGTCGCGAATGTGTTCTCTCACCCAAATACATGGCAAAGCTAGTGTGAAACTCTATTGTCTTCAAAGAGAAGATACCTTGATTCAGCATGAGTTGTCGAAAACAACCCTGGAATTATCCGAGAAACTCTTATGATGCATTATGATATCTGCCCAGTGCTCTCAATGTCAAAGTGAAGAAATTCAAATGGGAGCGAGTAAACGGTAGAAGATACAAGGACCGTGTCCGATACAAAATGCGTTAATCCTTATTTAAAACCATTTGTGAGACTCGGTATAACCGTAGCGAAAGACAATTGCGCTGGCGATTTCCGGTTCTGCTAGGATGGTGGCACTGACCATATAGTCATGATTGATGTCATGAATATTGATGGAATTAGGGTCTGCCGTCCACCGAAATTATCCGCAGCCTTTGAATATAAATAAGTGTCTTAGAATAGGGTCCTATGAACGTCCCTTGACAGTGTCTGTCACTGACAGGCCCTAACCGCTTTCTCCGGCTTGAAGCGTTGTGTTAAAGTTGAGGGAGGTTGAATAGACAAGGCCTCTGACAGGATCAAATACGCTTCCAAGAAGTAATGGGCTGTTGGATCGCACTTACCCCGAAAGATGAAACACGGACCAATATCTGAGCTGTACGCTCAAATCGGGTGGTGATCAGTGGCATGACTGAACAAGAAGCAAATGAAGCACGAGACCCAACAGAAAAACATAAATGGAGCGACGTACAGACACCCAATTAGCATAGGTCGACAACCAGTAGGCGCTACACCAAGCCCATCCTAAGAGTTTTACCGACGGGAAAACCATTGGGCTTTTAATTCCGACTGGTTTTGTCTTAGGATCCTCACAACCCCACTAGGAGGGAGTGAGTTGTAGTGGTGAGTAATTCCCCAGAATTACTGGCCACAGCATTCACCACTGAACATTGGATGCTGACCCTCACTGTTTTAGTCGATTTGTGTACCTGAAGGCTTCCAGTCAAGCATCCACCCCATGTGTTAGCATATTTCGTACAATCCATGAATGTCAACGCCCTTGGCCTCGTAAAGGATAATAAGTTACTGTAAAACGCAAAGTATGCAACGCTGTTAGTAGTGAGGCAGGTGGACATTATGGACTAATGAGAAGAAGAAGAGACAAGCAGCACGCTATATTTTTAAATATACTCAAGAATTATGTATGTTTTGCAGTTAATCATTTTAAACAAGGGTTATTTTCAATGTTTTTATTCTTAACATGTAACTGCTTCATGGCCAGCCTGGAAATTGGCGTCTTAAAACCAACAATGGACAGATTGCTGCTGTACAAAAGGTACCACGAACACACTTTTATAGTTTGTCAGGATGATTTCGATTTAAATTGTATCTTACAGGAGTTTCACAACTGCCATCCCTCAGTTAAATCAGATCGGACTCTGCCGAAGAGGCTGTCAATGGAGGTGAATAGTGAACGTTTGTTTTTGGAACTGGTAGCAATTGGTGGGCAACTTGGAGGCGCGAATGGTTCGATCGTGTACAAGCTGGACGAGGACGACCAAAAACGAATAAAAGTACTTCATAATTTTGTATAAAATATTTGTTTATAGACTTTTGCTGTTCTCCGCTTTAACTGATAAACAATATAACTTCCTTCTTACAACACTGGTGTTTTGGGTTTAAGGTAGAAGAAAATACATAGTATTTATCGGTGCGGAGCGTCTTCGTAACAATAGGATCTTAGGGTTAATTTCCTTGACAAAGGCCGAAAATGTACTATTACTGGCTCAGGTACTAGCCATCGACAGGAGCTCTAGCATAAGGGTTGAACATGTTAGACCATGGGCTAACAGGAAAATAGTGATGGAGTCACTGTATCTGATGCCTTCTACCTCTGTGGTCGTACACGGTGTTCCGGAGCTGAAAACTGGCAATGCATGTGAAAATCATATACGCCGGCGCACACCTGATATCTATGGTCGCCTGCAAAATTTGGGCTACCGATATCCACGCTGAAAATTCCATACTTGTACCAAAAATACAGTATGGAATCAAGCTGTAAATCAAAAATCAAAAAAAAAAAAATACATGACGTACAGGAATAGAGACTGCTGTCATCTCAGATTGCCTTGGCGCTTCTTGAGCAGTCTCCATTTTCTGACTACCTCGTCCCACTCATCTCACACTGATTAGTTCTCCAAGACTGCTAAGTGTCACATTCAACTCTCAGGAGCAGTTGGCCATAGTGCTTCAACGGTGGTATGAGATCAAGGGACAATAGGTCTCATCCGGTGCTGCGAAAGCAGACCTGAGACCATAAGCAGGCTGAAAACTGAGGCCGTGATACGTCCCCAACGGAGGGCAACTAAGTGCCCAGAGGACTCAGATAGGCTGCAGGCAGATCTAAAGCTTCTGGAATATCGGGCGGTGGTCAGTGGCATGACTTTCAACCTGAAAAAGTGCGAAGTAGTGAACATACGCACCTGTAGACTGCAGAATGCAAGTTACATCCTGTGCAATGAAACCTTGTTCTGCACAACGTCGGGGCACGACTTAGGTCTAGTTCTAACGGAAAAATGGACGCAAGCATAAATTAGACGGGGGACGTGGCGAGGGCATATGCGATCATACACTCTACACATGGACAGTTAGGTGCACTGACTCCCAAGGTCTTTCTTAGGTTGTACAAAACATAGGTCAGGCCACACCTTGAAGTGCATAATATTATTGCACCCACACTGCTTAGAAAAGACGCCAATTTCTTGGAAAGTGTCTAAAGACGGGCGACAAAAGAACTGGTTGGTCTCCGAAATAAACCACATGATGAAAGGCTAAAGAAATTAGGTCCATTCACACTTAGCTACGGTCAGCTTATGGGGATATGATTACTGTCTTCAAGATAACAAATGACCAGAACCATCCAAACAATGGTGTTCTAACACTGAGTAGGTATAGGCTTTGTGGTGGAAATCCCAGAAGGATAGCTCACCAGAGGGCAAGGACACGAGTGCTCTCCCAGTTCTTTTCACTGCGGGAATCCCTTACCTGCAGATGTAACTATGGCACCACCAGTGGATGCCTTTAAGCGAAGGCCGGACAATCATGCACCGACACAAGGACTGCGTCCAAATGGCTTATCCCCTCAAAATCCCACACACCATTGTTGGGGGGTAGATAACTACGTTCGTCGTTTTACTCCCTTACATTCTCTCCCATCTTACTCTTCTGACAACTTTAACCACGCTTATTATTATCACTGAAATATATATATAAATTAATTTTTCCACCACGTTCCCAGTAGGACATAGGGCGTCAGGCTAGTGGCTTGAAGTTTCTGTAGCAGTGTTTAGTTTTTGAGGATGAGGTTGCTATTCTCATGCCCAACCTTTCCTCTTTACCAGCATTATTTCTGTTTTAGCGAGGTAAAGGAGTGCGTACGTTGGCCGGGGATCGAACCCCGGACCATGCGCATGGTCGGCGAGCATCCTAACTGCTTTTCCACCGACGCATATATATATATATATATATATATATATATATATATATATATATATATATATATATATATATATATATATATATATCAACTTCAAGTTTAATCAGCTCTCTGTTTTACGTTTTCTTTCTTTATTTTTCTGTCTGTTAATCTGAATAACTTCGCTAATTATATCTGTTTTTATTATTGTCTCTTTTCTTTTGACGACGATACCGGAGGACTAACTGGTGAGAGGATCAGCTCCATTCACAGTAGTAACAGTCTTAACACACCTCATACGACAAACTACATATAATTAATCCGAGCACTACTCCTTTTGGAGTCAACCAAAGCTACGACAGTTAAGTGGCGGGGCTAGCTACGCAGAAGTTTACCGAATATCAGGAACCTATAGTTCACAATCAAGAGGTTTGTAATAGTTCGTTAAAACGATATTGAATTTTGTAACTTTAGGCGCTTCGAACTGTATACTACGCTACTGTGATGTCGTCGATGCAAACATTGACTGGTGGAGTTGGAGGACACATCTTAGAAGATGTGACTACTATTGTTGGTGAGTAATTTCTATAAAAAATTAAAAGTCAGTGTTTTGTATTTTTCATTGGTGTGTCTGTCATCGTAAAAATGAAGTTCGAAAACTAAGAAACACTAAACCCAGTCAGTTAATTTTTTTGTGAACCTGGGATATGTGGGTAAAAACGTGGGTAGTTTTCCGTTTAAATGTGGGCAAAGTGGGATAAGGTGGGCTGTTTTCGTTTGTAACATGGGCAAAGTGGGAATAAGTGGGCTGTTTTCTAAAATGACATGGGCAAACGGGGAAAAAGTGGGTATATTTTGAATTCCTGCACATGTGATAAATGGGTGAAAATGTGGGTTACGTGTGAAAACTGGGAAAAGGTGGGACAAACAAATTTTATCTGGACATGGGAAAACGGGGTAAAAGTGGGGAATGTGGCCAAAGTGGGTAAAATCGGTTGCATTTACACCATCTTTTGCCCACGTGTTTGCCGATCTAAATTACCCATTTATCCCACGTTTGCCCACGTTTGCCCATGTGCATTAACCGACTGGGAAATTAGGCCATGTTGTTCCTTCTGCCTGTCAAATATTCTGCATAAACATAGGAATGCGCTAAAAAGTATTGCTATACTATAAATACACAGACTGTTGTCTTTAAACGATTCACTCAAATGTTTGGTTAGGGATTCTAGGCTCTAATCTGCTAAATGGTTCCTCCTGTAATAGGTTAACCATTCTAGCGGACATATCTGTGGCCTTCCTTTGGGCTGTTTTTTCATTAGCGGTTCCTATTTAGACAAAAGTTGTATACAATTATTGAGTTTACGTAATTTCCAAAGTTTAATGAGTATTTCATTAGTGATTCTGAAAAAGGCCCTGAGTTTCGCCCTTAACCCTGTAATCCGCATCTACGTGTACCGTGGTTTTCAGGTCATGACTTACGATGACACGTAGATCCGTGAGCATCTGATTTGGCTGTAGTGGTGTCCGGTGTATTTTGTACACGTTGGTACTTGCATGTCCGATGCGCATGGTTATCTACTCAACCGGAAATGCTTTAGAGAACGTGGTTGAAATCCGAGTATATAGGCAATTTCTAACAGAGGGATTTAGAAAAAAAGGTGTAACATAATGTCGTACTCACCTAGATTTCCTACATTTTCCCACTTACTGTATCTTTTAGTGAAGATTTTCCAATTTTTTACAGTGTCCAACCACTTTATTTGTCTTAATTTTTTTTTAATGCGATGTACTCCACATTTCGTCGCATTTTCCCTCATGTTAAGCAGAATATTCTCTGACAGTAAATACTACCTACATCTCGAAATTCCTTCTCGACTATCAGTCTAATACTGTTTTATTTAAATGTTGATTTAAAGTGGATCACAAAGTATTTTCAGAGTTTTGGCGTTTTCAGAATAAAAAATTACCATCCTTTGGATATGGTTTGCCATGGTGATGCATTATTTGCTGTGATTAAAAAATGTCTTGTCAAGGCACTTTTAATGTTTTCCGTTTGAATAGGTAACCCTACCTTGCATCCTACATCATGCAACTGTACTTAAATCACAATCAGCCGTTTCATTTCGACCGATTGTGTACTTTACAGTTCTGGTGTTTGACACAACTGCATTCAAGATAATTTTACAATTTGGTAAAAGACGAACCAGTAGGCTCTGCATGTAACTGTGATACCACTTCTGCATATTTAAATTTCACAGGTTTCTTTCGCCCACATATACTTATAAAAGCAGTCTTACTGTACGTTTTTTAAATAACCTCAAATAGATCATATTTGTTAATTAGAATTGTAAAGCCCTATAAATGATTAAAGTTAAATTACTATTCAGTTGATTCAAATATTTTTCCTTGAGATCGTTCACCCACATTTATTAAAAGTTACCATTCTATTTATGTTTTGTTCGTCCGGATCGAATTTCATTTATACATTTTAAATTGATTCCACCTCAGTTCTTGGTGAAGTGATGGTTGTATTCACATGTATTAACTCTGAATTTGTGTACAGTTTAAGTAGCATTTTACGCCTACTTATAACAACTATAACGACCAACAAAGTGCTTTCAGTATTCTCTTCAGAAGTTTCATCTTAAGAATTTATGGTTGATTTCAAGCCACATTCTTAGCCTCCCACCCAACCTATACCTCCATATGTGATTCTGAGGTGGTCAGTGACTCCTTAGATTGGTGCTGTGTTTAGCTCTGATCCATTTTGATTTTCCAGCTTTACTCCACTTTTCTCTTCGAGATAGACTGTCGCTCAGCATGGGTGACATGTCGTATCTGCTTTGATCGATGAAGCTTCACAACCTTGTTGACTAGCTTATTTTTGATACCAAGAACTATTTCTAACCCAGGCATTACTTTGTGTTGCTCCACCTAACGTAAACAATTGAATGAAGGTATCTATAGTGAAAGGCTATTTATCTTTCCATACTTGCTTTCATGTGGCATCTCACGTGTAAAGTGTGATGGAGTAAAATGGTACACATGCACAGTGCTAAGTGGCCCTATTCGTCACCTACACCAAAGTTGGTGATTGTTTGTTATGTTTCTGCAAAAATTCACTTTCCACTGAGCTGCTGTTCCCCAAAGTTTTTCATTTTGGTACTAGTTGTAAGCATCAAAAAATTTGTAGGTAAGTAAAGTGTTCAGTTCTGGCAAACATAATCAGTAAGCAAAATTTGTAACAATCAAATCAAAGTATTTACTGAGCATTAAATTTTTCTAGTGGTTAGATTTCTGGAGAATTGTGTAACTCCTGAATGGTTTGCATTTTAAGTAAATTAGTTAAAAAATGAAAACTGTTTTGTACATCTTATATGTGCAGTATTAATATCTTAATGGACTGTAATAATAAAGTGAATATAACATGCTGGTAAACAAGTAAACTACAGTAGTCAGATTCACCACCAGTCATATCATCGCATCGAACAGAAGTTATAAGAAATGGGCGAATATAAGTGGAAATAACAATTAAAGATCAGAGTGTAATGACCTCCTAATCAACCTCAACTTCTCTATACATGTTAGATCAGTAGCCAAAGACTTCATAGGCTACTATCATGTCTGAGCACTCTTAACTCTCTCATAATCGGATTCTACTTTAGTTAACATCTCTTTTTAAGGAAAGCAGTGTTATGCACATTATGCCTTCCAGCCGTTTCGTATCACTCACTTCAAGATATTGTTTTTATCGTATGTATTTTGAAGAATAAGTAGTTTAAGGTTTTTAAACTCTAAGTAACTTGATATCTCTACCCTTTATTAGGATCGCCTACTTCTAGTTGTGTAAGTACTGAGGCATCTGAGTGTTCTTCGTCATCTAATCGTCCAAGAAAGAAATACGAATGTGTACCAGAATATATGAAAACAGCTCCAGATTATATTGATCAGAGAGTACGGAATAGAAACGCGGTGAAAAGATTTCGTGAAAAATCGAAAACGAAAGCAAAGCAACTTGAGGAAGAAAAAGTCAGTTTAACTGCATTAACAAAACTTTATGATAATGAATTGATTCGAATTAACCGTTCTAAGCAGGTAACTTCATTTTTCAACCTATTGTTCAATTTTTATTATTTAAAGTTATTTATTTTATGGCTGACTTAATTTTTGAATATGAGGTATACTTATGCTCTTATTTGTGGATGTTGGTCCGTTGAAAAGGATGTACATATTTTATGAGTGAGGAGATGGAATATTGACTTGTGCTATGTAATCAACGGAGATCTTGCACAATGAAGTGATTATAAAGTTACAAACTGAAATGAAGAACTAGAAGTTGATATTTTTTTAAAGAAATCAGTTCAACTACTCTTGTTACCCATATTCTTCGGTATAATAATTTCATGGTTATCAAATACTAAATGTTATTCATTCACTTTAGAAATTAGCTCTTATCTCTCGTATGTTGTACACATATCACCTTTACTGGTTTATTGTTAACTAGCATTGGAATCCAGGACACTCATTTAGTCGTATTTTGGACTTGCTGGTCACCATTAGCATGACTAGCTTTCATTTATTGATCATTAAACATATTGGGACATGCATTTAAAGAGGTCACATGTCAAAATGAGGCTAATAAGTTTGGTTCAGATATGTCAACAGGAAGTGACGAGGATATGAGTGAATAGTTTCATACCACTTTTATTGTCTCCTCACTACGCATGGCTTATTTTGTCTTTCTTGTCCGTGTTTGTGTTTAATTTATCAGATACTTCAATTACTATTGTCTAGTTTCCTATGATAGGGATTTTCTACTAACTAATTTTTTAAATTGCAAAACAAAAATTGATGGTACCAGTGCTCATCTCACAGGATCTAATATTTTCGTCGAAAGAATTCTGTATATTGCAGCTTTTAACTGGAGTAGTAGTGTAACAGCAGAAGACAAGAGAATTCGGTAATGGAATTATTTATTGGCAACTCGGAACACAGATACGTTTACTATCTTCAGTATTGTTTTGCTTTGTCTTCTTTTCATGTTTTCCATGCTGTTTCACGAGTATTGTTTTTTTCTTCTCTTCGCCATTCAATCCTTCTCTCCACCATTCGTTAATCCTGCAGCCGTTATACATATTTATATTCGTATCCACATACTACTTACAAGTCATGTCAGTAGTACACGTCAGCAGCAGTAGTTCATCGACCAAGTATTTCTCATAATGGTTAGAGTTCCAAACAACTATTCTGTTCTTTTCAGAAGAGAGAAGGTAATTCAACTGTCGTATCGTAAGACGTATAATATATTACAGCTGTTATAGCTAAAATTGCTTTTTGTCAATGCTTTGTAACTAGTTTGGGATTTGAACTCGTGCCAGTATGTTTAAACTAATCAACTACAAGCAGGAAATCAATATCTGTGAAGTTGAATCCATTCTGAATTATTTTAAACGTGTTATTATGGCGTTACTGTAAGGTGGATGATTTCATTACTGCAGAGGTTTTACGTTGTCTTAACTTGTTTTCCTTGTCTGATCCTTGATTCCTCGCCATTACTAATTATTTGTATGGCTTTCTATTCGGCTTGTTAGTTGTGTTGGAAAGTCAGGCGAGTGGTACTTCGTTTAGCTGTGTCTGGCAAATCAATATCTTATTATGAAATTAGAGCCCGTAATCCTGCCCGAGTCACTGCCTTCGTCGTTGGGTAATGTTAGCTAGCTTAGGATTAGACTGGAAAAGAGTTAGGAGTGATCAAACTATTTTTTGTATACCTTTACATCCCGAGTAGAGCATAGGGCTTCAAGCTAGAGGTCTGAAGTCTTAGTAGCAGTGGGTTTTATTGTTTTTATAGGGTAGGGTTGCAAGCCTTACGCTCAACCTTCCCTCTTTACTGGCCTTACTACCAGCTTAGCGAAGTTTAGGACTACGTCAACCGGGGGTCGAACTCCGGGCCACGTGTATGGTTGGCGAGCGTTCTGTTGCTGTACGACTGACGTACAATATAAAACCAGGGAGTACTGGACAGATGCTTCATCCTATTTTGGAAATCATAGGGGTTAAGCAACCTCCGGGTTTCGAACCCCGGACCTTCCGGTTACAAGACGAGTTCGTAGACTATTCAGCCAAAGCCTGATGTCGATCCATCAAGTCTTTGACTGTCAGTATGAGCGATGTAGGGAGGTGTAGACTGCCTGGCTGGGGTTGTCGTGGTGCTAAGATCCAGGGGTCTGAGACTCAGTGATATGACTCGAAATCGTTCTCCTGGATACATCATGTCCCAATGTTTTTCCATTTTACTATTCTTCCCTTCGTACATTTCTTCTTATTATGGTTATTTTGTACCTCTTTTTCTCTTTTCGCTTTGTGTGTGTCAGATGAAGTGTGGCATTTTGAACTGCTGCTCTTCGCTGCAAACTTCTACGTTGAAACTCGGTCAGTCTGTCTGATTATTCAATGAGCAGGTTAACTTTATAACATTTAAGCCGAAATTACTCCCACTGACATTTCTGGAGTGCATAGATAACTTGTACTATTAAAAAATACTCAGTGTGGAAAATTTCGCTATATTTTTCAGCATTGAATCTGATTGGCCACTCAGAGTGGAAGACATGAAAAGACTAGCTATCTTTGATCATAGGTGCCTGCGTTCTATTTCCCGTGTAAAGTGGCATAATAAGGTGAGCAACATGGAGGTTAGGCGTAGAGTTCTAGGTAAACAGGGGAAATCAATCGACGAAGTCGTGAAGCTACATCGACTGAGATGGTTAGGACATGTGTTACGTATGCCAAGCCATCGCCTCCCTCGACGAGCAATGTTAGCGGATATAGGGTCAGGCTGGAAAAAAGCTAGCGGCGGTCAAACAAAAACTTGGCATCAGTCAATGAAATCCACAACAGTTGGTCTTAGCCACGAAGGAAGGTGTAGACTTCCAGACTGGGGTCCTCGGGATGGCAAAAATCTATGGTTGGAAACAATTGGTGACATGGCTCAAAATCGTTCTCAGTGGCTAGCGCAGATGCATCCACTCCCTGTGACTTATGATCTCCAATGAAACTGTTTTGTTATTCTTTATTCTGCTTTGTCTCACACCTCTGCTCACTGTTTCTATTATGCTTTTCTTGTACTTTCTTCTCTTGCTTCGCGTGCTACACGGAATGTGGCGACTTGAACTTCCGCACATTTGTGCAAAGTTCTATGTCGAAAACAGACAGACAGACAGATTGGGATATATTAAATGCTTAAACATTTAACAATTGCTGCGTAACTAAATTCTTCATTCTACAATATAACTCATTTAAGTCTTTTTTTTATTGTTCTGTTTATTGTAGGAACTCGAATTACTACTCTATCAACATGCAGCTCATAAAAATATTGTCAACCAACTTGATAAAATTTTACAAGCAGATGCTCAAGCACGACTTGATTTTCAAACAAAAATCTCTCATTTCAAATCTTCCTGTAGTTCCACTTTGACGGATATAATCAGTGAACAGTCTTGAAAGAAGAAAGATGTCTGTTGTTATTTTATTCTATTTGATTAATTTATTATTAAATTGTTGGATGATTAGGCCGAAAATAACAATTTGTAAATGAGATTGTTTCATATTTCCCACATATATATATTTTCCGTGTCTATTTTCACTTATTTACATTATAATATTGATAATATTATTTACTTTTGACTATATTAATGTAAATGTACTCTAGAAAAACATTGAATCTCACATAGGGTTGCTCTAAAGGTATATTAATTTTTACTGATCCTGTTGACCATTGAACAGTTGAAGTAACTACTATATTTAATAGCGTAAATTTGTTTTCTTTTTCTTGTCCGCTATTGTACATTTTTATTGATTTCTTTAGGAATTAAAGGTCGTTTTGTGTGTCATGAGGTTAAAAGTAGTTTATCTGAGTTATTTTTTTGCTTGTCTCTCTAGTCTACTTCACTTTCTCTGACCGTGTGATTCGTTGTTTAACTATAGAAGAAGAAACCATTCGTTTTTACTGTAAATAAATACTTTTCAAGATTTGTTTAACTTTACTGTTCAGCAAATAAATAATGTGGTGACGTCACTCATCGACGTGTGTAACGTTGTACTATAAGTAATGCAGACTTGTCATGTTTAGACATTCGGAGGTAGAGGATTTAGTACAGGAAGGGAAGAGTTGCAGGTAAGCACTACAGAAGAGTCGCGGACTAAAAACAAAAGTGCTGCTCTAAAACAAACAAACAAACAAACAAGCTGCTCTCTGGCTTTTCAGTTCGTGATGAAATTTCTTTTAAAGCATTAAATAAAGCAATAAGAAGACGTAATTTGTCTGAATCGTGTAATGTATTTGCGCAACACATTTCGAACAATCTGATCACACACGGACTTGTCATAGGAATATATATATATAAATTAATAAAGAGGTAAGAGGTGAGAAAAATAGACTTAGGTCAAGTTAAAAGGACATATTCAAGGTCAAAAAAAAAATGAAGACCACTAAACCAAATAGCAGAGGTAATAGTACATCTGCTATGGTATCAAAACAAAATTTACCAAGGAAGGTTTAATGTGATGACAAATTGTTTTTGAACGCATAAAGGTGGCTTGAACTTTCTAATTGCTAGGGCTTCTACAAACTTTAGGATACGCCCCAAACACGTTTTATAGATAGGTTTAAAAGATCTGTTAACATCAATTTTATGACCTGTCTCTATAATATGTTTCGCAATAGAAGAGCTAGGTCTCCTGTTCTCACCGTTAATAGGTTCTGATGATTCCATTTGTTTCTGGAGCCATTTTGGAATATGCTCTGAAGCCCTTACTTGCAGAGATCGATGAGTCCTCCCTATGTATGTGTGTCCACACGTACATTCAAATTGGTAAATACAGTGGGATGTGACGTCATTTTTCGCATGTTCGAAGGGCTTAGATAGATATAATGGCTTTACATTCTCTAATATTATGATATTAGCTGCATAAAAAGTCTTTTTAACAGCAGCGTTCAGCCTTTGTCTAGTTATCAAGCTGCTTTGATGTCCCATATAGGGTAGCTTGATGTACACGTCTTTCTTAGGGGCGAGTTGGAGAGTGGGTCTTGGTGTTCTGACTACTTTATATCTCCTGATGAACTTGTCTGGATAATTGTTATCAACCAGAGTTTGTGTCAATATTCTTTCTTCTTCATCAAGCGTGTCTTCAGTGCATATTCGTCGGATTCTACTGAAGAGGCACCTTACTAAGCCTCTTTTGTACCGAATAGGGCAGAAACTGTGGTAATTAAGATACTGTCCTGTCCAGGTAGGTTTTCTATAAATAGATCTTTTTATTGACCCATCAAGCCGTCGACTAAGCAATATGTCTAGGAAAGATAAACAATTATCTTCCTCTTCTACAGATGTAAGTGATATGCTATTCTGAACTTCATTCATTCGATTTAAAATTGAGGTGGCAGAACAAGGCTTATCACTGATGACTACGATATCATCTACATACCTTCTATAAAGTGGCACATTTTCGATTAAATCTTCCGATAAATTCTCAATGTACGACATATAAATATCTGCTAAAAGGGGCCCTAACGGACTGCCCATAGCAACACCATCAACTTGGCGGAAACAATCGCCTTCAAATGTAAACCTAACATTGTTAGTACATAGAAGTAATAAATCTTTTAAGTAAGATATAGGGAACGGGATGAAAAAATTGTTTGTGGAAATATAATCACACAAAATGTCAACTGTTTTGATCAAAGGCACATTAGTAAATAACGAGTTTACATCAAAAGAGTACATATTCTTGTTCATAATATTAATATTACTATCATCAAGAACATCAACCAATTCAAATGTATCTTTTAACACATACTTACAGAATTGTGTTTTGACTGGATTCAATAATTCCACTAACCATTTAGCAAGTTTATGCGTTGGGGATTTGCACATTGACAATATAGGACGTAGAGGATTATTGGGTTTATGTATTTTTGGCAACCCATACATATGTGGGAATTTACAATCTGACGGTTTTAATGAGTCAAGTTTATCTTTACTTATAGCATTTAGGCCATGAAGCTTCAGTAGATTAGCTGTCACTGTGCCCTGCAACAACTGAATATCTTCTGAGGAGGGATCACGACTAAATTTTCTCTTATCATCAAGTTATCTACTCCTGTCACCCAAATGACAAACAACACACTGAGGCAATGAGTGGCTATCAGGATGTCACCAGTGGCAGCCGCAGCCTAATGTAGTGGAAATCTATTTCATCCAGGATTATGACAGCAAAATTCAACTCAAAAGGAAGGCAGGAAGGTCACAATTATCCAATGCTACAAACAACGTGGAACAAGAATAGAAGGAATATTTCCATAGATAACTGCAAAGAATAATGGACAACATCCCTAATGGTGACATCAAAATCCTCATGAACGATATTAATGCCAGTTGAACTTGGAGCGGACAATGCAGGGAGATAATTCATCATAGGACAAGAGGCTGTCGCTCGGAGAAATAAATGCAAACTCTTTGCAGACTTCTGCGCCTTCAGTGTTTTAGTGATCGGAGGCAGCATGCACAAGCATAAGCATATACACAAAGCAGCATGGATTTCGCCTGACACACACCACAAACTAGACAGACTTCATCTCAATGTTGCTGAAGGAGGTGGAGACGCAGCTGGATACAAAGTCGAGAAGGGGAGCAGATGTCGGCTTACTCAAACCATATAGTTCAAGGAACCTTCAAGGTGAAGATGAAATCCAACATTCAGAAACTGAGGGGCAAAACCACAAGGGCAAACCTTCACTATAGATCAGATCAGAGCAAAGTCGGAGACACTACGTGGCATCACTGAGGAAACCTGCGTGGAAGAACATTGGTACTAACTCTCTGAAGGTGATGTTCAGGGAGACGTTTACAACTGTTCTAGGAAGAAGGAAGAGAAAAAGCACGAAATGGCTCTCAACGGACACCTACATTGAAGCTAATAGAAGAGAGGAAGATGGTGAAAGAGAATATGACCCAATGTAAAGGTGGACAACATAAGGAGAGGTTGAGTTCAATGTACACTGCACTAAATAAAGAGAGGAGTGAAGAAGAGTGCTAGGAAAGACAAAAGACAATTATACGGCACGTTGGGTAGCAGGTGGAAGAGACCTCAGAACATCATATCAGATCAAACCTTTAAACCTTTAAAAGATGTTCAATGCAACCTGATTACCAAGGAGGGGAAACGAATAAAACAATGGGCTGATCACTTTAAAAGGACTCCTGAAACGACCATCACTTGCAACTCGCCCAGAAACACATTACCATCAACACCATATACGGAACTGCCTGCCAGTGAACACCGATCCTCCAACGAAATCAGAAATCCTGGGTTTGATCAAGCTACTGAAGTCCAGACGGGTAGGCAGCAGGATCAGAAGGAATTCCCCTCACTCTGAAGCACTGAAAACGGACCCAGAGACTGCAGCAGATGTGCTCACGCCATTATTGCAAAAGGTTTGGAAGGAAGGAAGGATAGGTGCCTACCGATTGAAGGAGATTCTGGCTACCTTGTGAAGCAACCAAGGAAAGGCAACTTATGCCTCAATCTGAAAGAACTGGCGTGGAATAATGCTCTTGTCCAAGACAAATAAAATACTATGTCACATCATTCTAGAGAGAAAAAAGGATGCATTAACTACAGAGCTTCACCAGCCCAGAACAATCTGGATTCAGGAAAGGCGAGTCAGGTGCCATTCTAATTGCAACGCTACACATCTTCATCGAACAGACAGTGCGTAGAATGCCAGTCAATCCCGTACCTTAACAAGTTCATGGACTTCGAAAAGACAGCGTTGACCGAAAAGAAATTTGGAAACTGCTTCAACACTATGGCGCGCAGTAAACAAGTCATTATCAACCTCATTCAGCAGCTGACTATATGACAATGCCACGTGTCAGGTGATCCACAAAGGGAAACTCACTCAGCGAGGCGTTCGAAGTGCATACAGGAGGAAGACAGAGCTGCCTGCCTATTATCACCGACGACTATGCTCCTAATTGTGGTGGACTTGCTAATGCTTCAGACTGTGCACAGGGAGTGGGAAGACAGGAATACGCTGGACTAACAGCTAGAAGATCTGGGTGTCGCAGGTGATATATGTCTAATGTCATACAAACTGGAAGACTTGCAGGCGAAAACCAACAAACTGGCTGAAGATACAGACAAAGAAGACAGGACTCAAGGTGAACATAGAGAAGATGGAGATGGAGGTGGTGAAGACAACCAACCACCACCGACAGCATTAACAACAACCAGCACCCATCACCATCAACGAGAGAGATTTTATCTTGGAAGCCAGCATCGTTTCAACCGCAGGCCTTGTAGAACAGATGAAGATGTCAAAGCAGACCAGAATCGAGAAGGCGAGATACGCCTTCATCAAACTGAAACCAGTTTGAAAATCTGCACTAACTCAGCCAGTATAAAGAAGAAGATCCGGATTTTCAAGACAAATGTGAAGTCAATCAGTCACTTCTTCCATACGGGTCAGAAACTTGCACTACGCGTCACGAAAAGGATTTCCAACAAGTTACAGATTTTATTAAATAGCTGCCCACTTCTCTGGCTCCATACTGGAGATCACATGGCCAGTCGAGCAGAAAAAATTAGCAACAAATTAGCAAACTCTGAATGGGAATAACCCAACCAAGAACCGATCGCTGAACAAATATGTAGGAGAAAATGGCCGTTAAACGACGTCGTGCACCACGCCATCACTTAAGTGAAACCCCAATCGGAAACGACGAGTGGGTCTTTGGTGCGGGAGTGACATGAAGGAGATTGTGTGAGGAGGAGATGAGAGATTATGGGTGACTGTGGATCTAGATGAAGAGGACAGCAGAAAATAGGACAAAGTGGAGATGTGTTGTTGAAGCCCTATGTTCCACTCGGAAGCTAAGGGAGTAATAATAATGATAGGTAGCTAGTCTGCTTATTGTTGGATTACTGTTGAGTTGAAAGGATTTCATTGATATTTATCACTTTATGTGCCACTAGATTTAGTGGTTTCTATCCTTTTTAAAATCTAAGTCATGGACCTGTGTGTGTTGGATATTCTCTTGAGGAGTTGTGTGAC